GTGCTGATCAGCCTGACAAACTTAGATCGATCAGTCCTTTGTGGTAATCTTCTAGGTAATGGTTTGGGCAGGTTCATGTCGACGGTGAAACGTATCCATCTGTGGTCCGAACGGGATAGTTCTTTGGACACATGCCAGTTATGGATATAGTTCGACAAATCTGTCGTTACCATCGTCAGATCAATTATGGTCTGTGAACGAGCGTTTATGAATGTTGGTTCTGAGCCTTTGTTGAGTAGGGTGAGGTTGTTACTAAAAATGAAGTTAAGTGTGTCCTCACCTCGAGTGTTACAAGTGGCATTCCCCCATAACGTGTGGTGTGCGTTGGAGTCTGCCGCGATGATTAGGTCCAGCTTCTCCTTCTCACAGTACTCAACCAGTGAGTTGAGCTCTGGAGTCGGTGTGTCCTCGTCACTCGGCAGGTAGGCAGAGGCAAGGACAATGTCGGGGAGTTGCTGGTCGGTTCTTGAAAGTTTTATAACTGTTAGGTCCCTTGAACATAAATCGTTTATTATTAAGGTTGTTACATGTTTCGGCATAAATATGCAGGTTCTTGGATTACTTACGGAAGTATCGAGTAGTATCTTTCCTCCCATATTGCCAAGACCACATATTCGGCCATTCCTTATCCACGGCTCTTGGATTAAGGCTATGGTCTTCGGGTTGATTTCCAGCACTCTGCGTAAAGATGCCGTCGCAGTTTGGCTGTGCTGGAGGTTTGTCTGGATGAAGTCAACAGTCCGGGATAGGGGAGGAACGGAGACAGCTGTCGCTGAATTCACTCCCCCCCGTTTCCGGAAAGCATTCTTCATCTGTAGTGTTTGGCACTGGTGATGGAGAGTGTGTTACTTCCATTGCAACCGGGACCCCAGTTTCCTCGGTGGCTGGCACAGCGACTTCCATCGGAATTGCTGGATGCACAGGCTGTGAGGGCTCTGGTTCCGGTGCCATGGGAGCGGTGGTGGCAGTAGCATCATCCTGTATGGGATCCTCCTTGTCCAAAAATCGGACGTAGATATTCCCCATGAGGTAGTAAATGCGCCTGTCTTGTTCCTTAAGGGTTTTGATGTCGGTCTCCGGCACACGGAAGAACAGTTGGGTTCCTGGTGGATCCTGTTTGCTTCTCTCGTGTGTCAGAGACCAAGACTTCATGTTGAGGTGGCGGTTCTGCCTCGCGAGAAGTCTTCTCAGCATCTCTGTGTCCCCGGTGTGTCCAGGAACATAGAGCATGCAGGGAATCTTCTTCGGTATTGCCGATTGAGGCAGCACCACCAGTTTGGATTCTGTTGTTGGTGACGTAATGTTGTTCACCGTTCGGGTTAGCCAGCTTAATGTGAAGGCATCCTCGCACCATGTTTTGAGGACGCCGTCAGCAAAGTGTGCCCTACCCCGAAACCGGATGTCGTTTGGCTCCGTTTGAAGGGTAGCTTCAGGGTCAGCCATAAGCTCATCCCGTAGCTTCCCCTCGATAGTAGCGCGGATGTCCTCTGCCTGTGCCTGTGTCATTTCCGAGAAGGGCTCGGTCATGACGGCAACACAGAGTTCATTTGTTCTGTAGGAGGCCGCTGCTTCCGCGTAACTAACCGAGACTCCTCCCACCGTTCGGGGTCTGCTAGGTTTTGCTCTCTTGCTCTCCCCGGTCGGCGTGACGGTATCTTCGGGTCGTATACGCTTTTGGCCCTTTGTTACTTCTTCGTTTGTTTGTGCGCTGTTTGTTGGCTTTTTGCGGCCTCTGGGTTTCAAGCTGCGCTTGCGCACGGTTTGCGTGGGCGCGGCATTGGATTTCGCCTGGATTGATACCTCAGCCTTAGGCGCTGAAGCTGTGGCTTCTGCACTGCGAAGGTTGGGGTCCTCAATTTGCCTAGCGGCATCAGCTGCCGCAGCACGCTGCGCCACCGCTCTGGCTTTTTTTAGGCGTCGTTTTTTGGACGCTGTCAGATGCTCTGTAAAGACACCCTCCTGCTGAATGGCGTCTTTCAGAGCTGACATGTCCATTGTTGTTTCGTTTGTGGTTTTGGAGGTTGAGGGCATGTTAGCTGATGCAGCCTGGGTCAGCTCCCTCAGGTTCGCCGCAGATGTCGCACCTTCGGGCGCAGACGTTGCCGTCGCATCCTTAGGCGCAGCCTTCTTTGGCTTAAAAATCATAGATAGAAAATACTATCTATGCGTTACTGATATTATGTGATAGTTATGATGTTTTCACGTGGAAATGAGAAATTTCCTGTAGTAAAAGGTATCCTAAATTTATTTAAGGATCAAAATCCGAGTAATAAGTTATCACTACACAAAATTGAGTTAAAATCCATTCCGTACTTTTGCGTGAAATGCACACAATGCAATATCCAATATCTCTATCAATCAGTCTATATTCTGTACATAATACGCAACAGTCATGTCATTGTTTTTAAAAAATATCAATATTTCTATTCTTCATCAAACATCTTCATCTTGTTTTAGCCAATGATGGTTTATAATAATCCTTTGACAGATCTATCAAATCTAGATAACTTGTCTAATAGTAAAACAGTTTTCTAAAGTCATTTTCAAGCACGTTGTTATTAGTTGGAAATAGTTATTGGTTACCTAAACATTTAAAACCAAACTGGGTTGTACATAACATTTTTCAATATTGAACAGCTGTCCATACATTTATAGGCATCGTCATTTTTCATGAAAAATTTGCAAAGTATTAGGCAATAGGAATAGTTCTAATAAAAAAATAGAAATATTGATTTCATGGGCAAGCTAGCAACAAAATTGATTAGTTTTCTTTATAAGATGACGAAGCCGATAATCCGTATGGATATACAATAACAATAATAATAAAAATATGTCTGTTATCTTTTCGAAACCATTCGCTGTTCTCTAATCCTTAGCAAGCCATTATATTGAGTCTTAGACAAAAAGAACATTAAAAAGATAATTATCTGATGTCGCATGGTAACAATACGTCACTTTTATATATTTTTTAGTTTTCTATTTGCAACATCGATAGTAGAATTTCAAGTTTTCAAGGCGTATATTGTATACAGAGTTTATTAACCGAAAACAAGGATTCATAGAGAGAATGCTAAGTCGTAAATAAAAAGTACCATCTATGTTAAGATATTAAGGTCCTAAACATTGTTGATAAATAGGAATTTCACTTTGCTGTATGACATGTCCCTTGATCGTAACTCATCTCGGCCCGTCTGATATTACACTTTTGTAGGTCTTTTGTAGTTTGAAGGTTACTTTATGTCGTACATGATGCCTCAAATTAAGTTAAGGTAGAAACATTATAAAAAACAGAAAGTACAAGATGTTCAGAAGGAGTTCAAAAGTAAAAGGTCTCTCTTCTTATGTGATTATTAAAGAGATTTTGTTTAATTATAAATATTATATTTTTTTAATTAAATATCCAATAACAAACCTAAACCATTAATGTTTAAAAAATTAAACACAGATAATACGATAAAGGATAGCGAAAAACCTAACACTACATAACGGCTGGCAGCTATTTATACAAGTACCTAGTAAGTATTGAGAGGTCTGCAAGAAAAAATCTTTACTCGCTTTTGATATAAAATTATATTAATAGAAAACAAGAAAATTGCTTTTCTATATATCACTCTCAACTCTCAAGTTTCAAAGGCGATAAAAAATCGGACGGAGTATTTATGGACGGCTAACTTACTAAAAAAATTTCAAAAAGAAATGAATAAATAGGGATACACTTGGCACTCCATACTTGTGGCTGAGAGGCAAAAAAATTAGAGTGCCCATACGTTTACGGAAATATGTCATTAAAAATGAAATAGATGTTTTTAACGTCTTTTCCGTTCACTATTGATAGTTGCTAGGTTATATACCTACGTACAAAGTCGTAAAAATTAATAAAAATAAAATTTAAAATAGAACTACTAAATAGTATAGTATTATATGATCTGTGATAAAACACCCATAAAGTAATTTATAATGGATAAGTTTCATGATGTTGTTAATATAATATTTAACACAATGGAATTATAATACTCGTATAGATCAAAACTAATAAATCCGTGAAAAAACGTTGAAATCTATAAATAAATGCCTGATTGTGAGAAATTAATTTAAATTTCGATCATCTATGTCGTGTGATGTCACGAAGTTATTCTTACAAGCGCAACTTTAAACTTTCATAACTTTTTCATTTGTTGGGATATCTTAATAATTCTTCCATATTTGTGTTATATTTTACGTACAATAAAAAAAATAGAACTTCTCTATTGCCACATCCATTTAAATTCGTTTTAAAAAAAATAGTGATCAACGCCATCTGTGTGTAAAAGCTTTAATTTTTTATTGCGTATCTGCTCAAATAGATATCATATTAAAGATGTAGCTCTGCGCTATAGTTTCAAATAATTGCTAAAGATGGCGCTGCTTACTCTTATCTGAGAAAGACCACAAATAATGTTTTTGTAATGTGAAAGAGCGAGCAAGTACATTCACATTGAGTTGAATTCATTTGACGCAATACAGTAAAATAGAAGTAGTAGTGTTTTCCTGCAATCGAGCTATAAAATTAAATTATGGATGGAATTTATGAAGACAATAATGATGTGTCAGCGATATTCTTCGACTTAGATAATACTTTAATACAAACTAGGAAGGGAGACAGCAAAGCTTGCAATAAGGTACGTAATTTTTTTTAATATTTTGACATTGCCACGGTCATGGGGAGTCGGAATGAAATACGAAATATTGTGTGCGCGCGCTGTCATTGTTAGGTTCTACGTCGCTGAAAATTTCTTTTACATCGCTTGCACCCGCGTGTTAAGCGTTCACGTTCCAGTGTGTTATAAATAGAACTTTCATAGTTGGAGAACGTGAGCTCGACGTCCAGATTTAGTTATTTTGGAACAGAACTCGTGCTAATTATAAAGGTGATGTAGACAGTTCGCTCAATTCGATTGCTCCGCGCTCTCAGTAGAGTGAGAACTACTGCGTTTTGTGTGCATATCTAGTGTTTTGCTACAATGGGGGACATATCTGAGCCAATAAAAAAATGCATACTCATCTTGAAATCTGCAAAAAGTGACACTGAAAAATTTGCTGCATTATTTATGGTAACGAAGTTAGTGAAGAGCAAGGACTGTAATACTGCAGCAAAGAAAGCTTTATTTGAAGCAATTGGGTTCAAGTTTTTAAAGAAGCTTTTAACAGGCAATAATAGCGAAGATGATTGTCCGCCGTCCGTTTACAAATCTGTCGCCCTGTCCATCCTTACATGCTTTTGTAATGAACCTGAACTATCGACACATCCTGAAATGCTGGCCAATGTACCTGTCTTCCTTGACATAGTGCAGACATCAGACAATGAAGATTATGATGATAACCTAATTATTATTAGTGAAGCCTATACTTGCTTACAATGCATTGCTGAACATGAGGCTGGTCAAAAAGCTCTCATAGAAGTTGGTGCTATAACAAAAATGTCAGAAATTTACTCTCATCAAAGCTTCCAAACTGATGAAGCACTTAATATTCTTGTAAAGCTGGTTAGTAGATATGGGCCTGCAGCATGGGGAAATGATCCTAAACCTTTCCATGCATTGGTAAACAAAATTGCGTTAGACTTTGCAACAGATCAGTCAGAAAGAAAATTTGAATTAGCTACAATATTAAGTGCATTGCTCTACAGCTGTAATAAAACTACTATCATACCCGGATCTTCAGATGAAACATGGCCACAAAGTATCTACAGAGCACTATATGATATTTTAACTAGTAAAATTGGCAAAAACCAAAGAGACCCTGCTTTAAAACTTGCAGCCAACATTATTGATTTACTTGGAGTTGAATGGACATTCAATGATGAAGAAAACCCCAAAAAATTCTTTCTTTTACTGTTACAATTGTGTGCTATTGAGGTAAGAATGCAACTTGAAGATAGGAGTTTTAAGCAAGCATTTTCAAATGCTGAACTTGTGACTGCTTGTTTTATGGTACTAGAATCCTCCATCAACTACATGAGCACTGACCAACTAGACCTTGAACAGAAAGAAAAACAGTCTGTGTATACTAGTCTCAAAGGTGCATTCAACGCTGTTGTATCTATTTTAACTAAGGTATCAAATGACAAAAACAGAGATAAGCTTCCCGATGCTGAAAAAGTTTTTATATGTGCAATGGTTAGAGTTTTGGTTGCCTGGATTGCTCAAGAAACTACTGCTATGAGGGAACAAATATATGCTTTACTTCCATATATATTTACACTGGCAAATGACTCTTTTCATGCCTACAGAGCGAGAAAGTTAGCTGAAAAGAACAAATCTGATGGGGAACCCATGGACTCTGATATATCATTAATGGGTCAAATTGATTTATTGCGTTTAATGTTACCTGCTTTGTGCCATCTTGTTGTTGAAGATAAAGCTAGAGATATTGTGTTAAACTTAAAACAGGAAGATATTTTATATGAAGCCATGAATTTCCACTGGTCAATTGTACATTATAAAAAACCCCTTATTCCTAAATCAGAAAGAGGAAAAGTAAGGACTCAACCAGAACCAGAGTTAGACCCTCAAGTACTTGAAGATATGAAAGACTCCAGGGCTGCAATGGTTAGTCTATGTAATATATTCATGAATCTAACGGTACTAGCACCAAAAGTTGTAGAAAACAGCATGTTATTTAATACATTGCTCAAATTTATATTCAATAACTTACCAGAATTGAAAAATATTCCTGAAAACCTTGTGTTACATGGTCACCTTGCTGTATTAGGACTTCTTCTCCTTAAACAACAGGCAAATAAAGTAAAGAAAAATGATTTCTCTATATGCCGGTACATTCAATCTACTATTAGATTCCTTTGGGATGCATACAATGTTGATGAGTCAAATGATCCTAATGCACTTGTTGTTTCAATGACTTATAAGGAAAATTGGAATGAAATTGCTGACTTATGGTTCTTGGGTATGCAAACATTGAGCGGTGTTTTAACTACAATCCCTTGGATCTCCGAGTTTGCTATAGAAAGTGGATGGGCTCAAGGTATCGCTGAAATGCTGGCTAAAGTCAAAGTTGGTACACTTGCTCCAAATGTCAAATCTGCATTTGAAGACTTCCTGTGTAGATTAGTAGATTCAAATGAAAGTGCCATACCTGTACTAAAAAAAGGTGGTGCCTTAAAAATGTGCAGGAATCACAGATTAATGGATTTAGGCAAGAAATTGTTTGGAGATTAAGTTTATTTTTGTTTTTTTTTTAAATAATACTGTTTATTACTTTTTATACTGAAAAGTGTACTTAACTTTTTTTAATTACAAAACTGCTTTATTTTCTGTTCTGTAAATATTCCTCTAAATAAGACTTAATTGTTACATAAATAATAAATACATATTTTGCAAAAATAATTAAAAAGAATTGATATTCTTAATAAATGGTGTTATAAATTTGTGTTTTTATTTTAATTTTCTTCTAATATTAACTTATCTAAAAGATATATAAACACTTACCCTAATATTCAATAGTATGTATACAACTGAACTAGTAATCTAGTATCATCTTACAAACATGACGCTTTGCCAAAGAACAGGTGAGTGCACTGCTCCAAGAGTTAAGATCATTGAACTCAAAACTATTCCTGGATTAGACAGACACTTCCTTATACTCGACAGATTTATATTGCTTCCACTTGCAAGCATAAATAAGTAGGTACTGTGTATATTTATTAGAGCATGGAGCATATAGTTCATATTTTAACATATTTATTTAATACAAATACTCATTTGCTCCTCAAAAAGCTTGGGGATACTTTAGTTTTGAAATCGGTGTACCTATTTATGTTAAAAAATAATTTTATCAAAATCAGTTCAGTAATTTTAGATTTTGTCCCCTACATATTAAAGAAATACTTGTAACCTCTATAATGTGTCGGATCACGGATGATTTAAATCACAAGGTTGTAATGACGCAAATCGTAATAAACATGTTACGTAACGGCCTAAAAATTTAGTAATAAAATAAACTAATACATTTTATTATTAAAAAAAAACAGGAAATCAAGATAAGCATTTATAAACCAATATAATTGATACATTTTAACTATTAGAACGGTAATCAATGTATTCTACATATATGTACTCGTATATGTAGATATTATGATGTGTTATGAAATAAAGTGACTGATCCTCCTAGCCCATTTGCTTCTGCGATGCCAGTATGTGAAATAAGCTACTCTGTTTAATTTATTAATTTAACGTCTATACCAAATATATAAAACTAGCAGAACCCGTGGCTACGCTCGCGATAAAACTACAAAAAAACTGGTATTATGCTATTAGTAATAATGAATGGGAGTCTGCCCGATTTGTAGACCTTTATGATTACTGTTCCGTTCCATTGGGTAGTAGCATGATCATATATAGCCTATAGCATTCTTCAATAAATGATCTATCTAATGCAAAAGAATTTTTCAAATTGGATTAGTAGTTCCTAAGATTAGCGCGTTCAAACAAACAAACTACCTCTTTATAATAATAGTTTAGTCTATAGATAACTATATAACTGATGTTCGTGTTCTCCTAGCCGATTCCGGCCACGGCGGCCAACGTCATTGAGACTAGCCAACTGCGCAGGAGATATTATAGTGCACAAGTGTACGCGCAGACACAAGTGTACGCGCAGACACAAGTGTACGCGCAGACACAAGTGCACTCTCTATTCCTGTCACTCTCATATTCCGGTGGGACGACTACTCGACACGACCAGTGAGAGTTAAGGCGCAGGACCGACGGCTTACGTGCTCTCAGAGGCACGGGGGTGAAACACCGCCATCTTCCCAACTCCGGGCTGTTACTCAGGCTTACTTATACAGAAAGATTCAATAACTAAACTTGGCCCGACCCAGGACCCGAACCCAGAACCTCCGGGTGTGCAGCCGTACAAGCTAGCCACTACACTACCGAGGCAGTAACTATATAACTATACCAAATATAGTAAAACTTTCACGTAAATATAAAGATTGTTAGATAAATGGATATTTTTTCTAAATCTTTTCGGCATTCTAAAAAAAAATATTCTAAATTTTCATTTATACCTACATAAATTATTAGCATTCTCGCTGAAAACTAACGACTTAAGGAAATTGAGTTTACAAATACAAAACAGTCATATCAGATATTGGGCGTAAATGGTAAAAGAAAAGAGGGTTTAGAATGAAAACTAAAACCACAGATCACAATACTATACTGATGCCTCATCCCATTCAAAGAAATTGGAGCGCTAATTCGGATTATTTTTGGTTGTTTGAATAGATAATGGACGTCGTTGATTGGCAATTGGTTAACTGATTTTATAAATATGTGCAAACTAATGTATGGTAAATATTCCCCCCCAACGTGCGTTCACCTTGTCGTGGTGGGGGGGCTCAGTAGTGTCCGGCAACCCAACCGGGCGCGAAGCCAAGAAACGCACAGGGAGGTGGCCCTCTTCGGAGGGCAGTGTACCATGCGGGTTGCTCCTGGTACTTCTCTGATCCCCCCCAACGTGCGTTCACCTTGTCGTGGTGGGGGGGCTCAGTAGTGCCCGGCAACCCAACCGGGCGCGAAGCCAAGAAACGCACAGGGAGGTGTTCCACTTCGGTGGGCGGTGGGAGGTGGCCCTCTTCGGAGGGCAGTGTACCATGCGGGTTGCTCCTGGTACTTCTCTGATAGCAGAGTGGACTGTGGAGCAACCCCGTGGTTGTTGTGGTCTACTTCGGCAGACCTGCCGTCGGGGCGTCGTAGTTGAATGCGTAAGCGATCCTGCGACGCCCCAATAAGACGGGGGAAGGTTTTGTTGGGTTTTAGTGGGTAGTACTGGCTTTGCCGGTGAGTCCCACACGTCGTGCGTAAATGCATTTCCCAACGTTAAAAAAAAAAATGGTACTTCTCTGATAGCAGAGTGGACTGTGGAGCAACCCCATGGTTGTTGTGGTCTGCTTCGGCAGACCTGCCGTCGGGGCGTCGTAGTTGAATGCATAAGCGATCCTGCGACGCCCCATTAAGACGGGGGAAGGTTTTAGTGGGTAGTACTGGCTTTGCCGGTGAGTCCCACACCTCGTGCGTAAATGCATTTCCCAACGTTAAAAAATAAAAAGGGAAAATATTGTAAAATTCATTCTGCATTCGAATAAAAAAAACGGCTTTTAACCATTTTTAAACGTAATAAATAATTCATAAAAGTAAAAGCACCATCTGTGAATATACACTATAAACCTATCATCTGATTGCTAATATTTCAATAATCAGTAAAATCACACAAATTTGATTTACGGGCGCACTATTTCTTTTCCCTTCACTAAGAAGATTTTTTAAATAAATAATGTACCTTTTTGGAATCTAAGTTTTTATTTTTTGTTAATTTAACACGAATAATCGATACATGTAACGTCATTTATTATCATTTTTAAACTAGTTTTTCTTTGTTCGTGATGAGATCCTATGCTAATCTATACATATAATAAAATTCTAACCGAGTGGAATCTGTATATTAAATATTTTTTGGAAAATCTTATTGAAATAGTCATTATTATCGATACAGATGCCGAATCTATGGTTTTTAAACTCTTGTCTCTCTGTCTGTGTCTATCTGGGAACTCATCACGAGAAAACCCAGTGGTGTCCAGTGACAGTTTTGATGAAATTTGGTATGATGATAGCTGATTATCCGGGGGATTAACATTTAGAATACATTTTACTGCGGGAAAATATCTCATCTCTGAGAAATCTTTACAAACCATTAAATCATAGGGAAGAACTCGAACGGGAGAAAATATATATATTAGTACTAGCGATTCACCCTTGCTGGGTGAATCGCTAGTACTAATATATATATTTTTAGAGATAAGGAGACTACCCGCTTCAATAAGATATTTTTCGAAAATATTTTAGAATACATTAGGGAATAAAAATACAATAGTATCTGAATACAATCCTCTCAACTAAATTGAAGATCATATTGCTCAACCTATAAAGTATTTTTGTTAATTTGTTTATACCTTCTTGCCTCTATAACCAGTAAGTTAATTGTATAGTGACATTAGTGACAAATAGAGTTTTTTTTTTATTTTGTTATATTTCAATATTACACGCTTAGAACAAAATATACATAAGGATTTGATTATGCTATAAATAGATATTTCGATTTCTTACATTATAAATATTGTTTTTGGCAGCTCGTTGACTTATTAGAACATAAATATGGCATTCTTCGAGAGGTGGCTGCTGAAAGTGCATCCACTTTTCTTCGTGCATTCAGAGCCAGACCTGATGACGATTCTTACGCGATAGATGAATGGCCCACGCACCTATGGCGAAACTCACTGCCGAAAAACTATAGGCACATTGCCAGTCAGTATATTTTTATATATTTTAAACATTCATAAACTAATTTTCTCTATGACTACCACATTAGTATAAGTGCTTTAAATAAATTTTGATTTGGCACAATTTATCTTGAATACCTTTAATTTCTAAATTTTAGTTTTAATGCGTAAATTAGTCCTTCGAGCCATTCTCATAAATTTTACTAAAAGTTAAATTGAAAGTTTTATGAGTTGTAAAATGTAGTGTACTAAAATAGCGTCGAAGCTGGAGTTCCATAGAAAACAACTGTGTCGTTGTAAATCTATAATAATCTCAATTCTGTTTGTTCCAGAAAATGTATCGACTGAATGGTTAAAATTAAGGTTTCAATATTTAGCATTAACACCAGATGTGATACATCTATTAGAAACGTTAAGGTATGTGGAAAACGATACAAATATGTTTTATATTATGCAGAAATATTTATTATTTTTGAATACGTAAAATATTTCTTCATGATGTAACTGTTTGTTAACATAATTTACGGGCATTTTCTTTGTACAGGAAATAAAACAAAAAAATATATGTTCTAATATTAAACATGCGATCGCAAAGCAATTGCCCGCCAAAGTCGAAAGTTGTTTTGAGATTCGCTATAAACAAATACGAATTAACATTTGGAAGATTGACAAAATACATTACCACGCATATTAATCTTGCAGCAACTTTGGAAAGTAATGTTTGCATGGTGTTATGTGGTTGAGTCATTAAATTATCATCATCATTGTGGACGTCATCATAATTATTTTCATCATGAGCCATTTCCATCTGAACTTTTGCATGCCACATAATACTATGTACTACATCAACATATTATGATTTTCCAAAATGTCATAAAGTCAGCACCAATGTTTTGCAGAGATAAAGAGTATAAATATTTTTTTCAATATATTCCTTGTTAAATTATCTCGGCTAACGTATTGGGCTGGCTTGAACGCATGTTGCTAATAAATGACTTGTTTTTCAACAGTTGTTGCTCAACGAGTGACTTAACTCTGGGCGCCGCGTGCGCAACACTTAGGTTTGAATTGTATTTGTAAAATATATGAGGGAGTACAACAAGAAGGTAATAACTATTGCCTCAAACATTTTTATTGAACAATGGAGATAGCTTCACTGATAACTTGTTCATTTTTCTTTCTAGGTCATGTAAGTGAATGTATGAAATATCTCCATTGTGCACTATAAACATAACCATGTTGAATAGTAAATGAGAACAGATCAATTATATTGCTCTAAAATACATTTAAAATTTCAACATGGCATAGATTTAAGATGCTTTCAGTTTTACATATAATTTAGGTGCACTAACTAAATTATATGTGAACCAATAAAATATTTTATATGACTTTGCATGGACACGATTATATTTATATAACAAAACTAATTAATATAAGATGTGCAAGGTTATCACTTGTGTTATACCCATAGACGTAGCTGTACCTTTCCAAACAATATCATACCGTACTATAGCTACGTCCATGGTTAAATCGAGTGCTAAAAGTACATAGCTACACTATAACAAAAGTCCGCTCGATAAATGTGACACAGGGAGGATTACCTACTCGGTTTGATCACGAACGGGCCGTCTCGGGCTCAGTGGCAGAAAATCGAGCGTTTGGGACTTCGCAAGTACTTTGACTGTGTGCTGGTCTCCGGGGACCTGCCCTGGGAGAAGCCCGATCAAAATATCTTCTTAGAAGCCTGCAAGCTGCTCAATGTTGAAGCAAGGACATGTATAATGGTCGGAGATAAGCTAGAGACCGATATAAAGGTAACAGACATCTACAAAAGTATTTTGCCTATTTATGTAGGTACTTTTTATGTTATTTCCTTAAATGGAAACATATAATTCAAAATGGCGGATCTTAGGTGCCAACTTATCTGTCTCAACTCTCAAGTCTGGCTACGTATATGTATATATTATTATGTCTCCGACTGCATAATACTATGTTCCTTCATCAAGTTGTTCTCATCAGTTCGCTTAATACGCAGTCGGGGTTCTTTTATTTTTTTATTTTAAATGTATATGATGAAAATAAGTATTTAGAGTTTTATGCTCATTGACAATATTGTTATGATATAAATTGGGATATTCAAAATGTATTTCACTTACACACGTCAACAGTCACAAGTAAAAATGATATAAATATCCCGTTTTACATCTAAAAACCCTGCAAGAATCAGAAGAATATAAACTTCTAGAACTGAAAGCATGTCATATTTTACAGGGTGGTATAGAAGCAGAATTAGGGGGTACAGTTTGGATTCCATTGCAATTTGATCAAATGGACTCCGATCTACCCGACTTCAAGATACAGTATGTGACAGAGTTACCAGAAGTTCTTCCAAACTCACCAAAGCTAAAGAAGAAATCTGCACAACAATCTAACATAATATGTTGACAGTATGCATAATGTATATGCATGATAACAAGCCATTTGATAGTGAAAATATATACCACATTAAATTAGTTACTTCCATATCAGTATCTATAAAAATCTCTGAGTCACTACACTTGTAGTTCACATATTCACTTTGCTATAGGTTTGTTTAGTTTTAGGAGAAAATTGTTTAGCCTTTCTTGTTAGGGAATTCTTAATAATATGATGTTTAACACGTTGTGGGAATTTTGTTTTGTATCGAGTTATATATCGATTTCTAGGGTACTGCTATATTTTAGGATACAGATTTGATATATCCTGAGTTGGACTTACTGGGTTCTCCTAAACTTTTATATGGGGACAGTGAACGTGTTAAAGGGTTGTAAATATTATTAAAAAAAACAAAAGGGTCTTTATTAGTTTTAAGGTAGACTTTTGTTAATTTTAAATAATAGTTAACATTCCACCTGCACTTTGTATTTCATAGTGCTGTAGGGTCTGATACTTACCATTATTAAAAACAAATGTTTATATATTATTTTAATGACAAGATTGATCTTATTATTTTTTGGTAGTAGAACATTACGTTATTGATATAAATATAAAGATATTTTCTTAGTAATTACAGTTTTGTAACTCAGCAATTAGCCATTATTAAAGTACAAAGCGGAATTCGTTTACAGTACAAAGTATATTGTTATACTTGTTATACCTTATATAGTGTAAATTTTTCCGCGTATATTCAAAGCTAACTGAATATCTATGTAGTTCTAGTATAGCATTATATGTATTGTATATGAAAAAAATTGTACCTCAAACGCTTGACCTCAATTACAAAGTTCACATACCTCGCACAAGTTTTACTTTCTTGTGATACTTTGTTCCTTCGAATTAATAAGCTTTATTGAAATAAAAGCTTTAAGAGATACTTTAAAAATATTTGTACATTATTTTTGGTTTATTTTTGCTTCATAATATAATATGCTTAATACTGCTCCTTGCAATGTTTTGTAAAAAAAAAATTAACAAGTTGTTGTAAGTTGTACTATCAAATAATTTCAATGCTAGGTTAAGGAGAGAATTTGAATGTAAGTTGTATAATAATGAATACTTATTTTTGTACCTAAATGAACATTATTTTTTTGTATAATTATTAGGTTCTATTAGATTGGGCAGACTGCATGATGTGATACACTATAAAGTCTATATTATGCACTAGAAGTTGATTAGAAAAATAACAATTTCAAGAAAAAATACAAAATATTGTTTAAAATTATATGTATAGTTTAGAGAACATCCTTTAAAGATTTAAAAAAAAAACATCATTTATTGAAAATAAAAAACCATCTTGGAATACTTCGATAGTTATTTTTTTAAACAGCTTTTTAAGTGTATAGTATTTAGGTTATATAGTAATTATAGTTTTAGAATAGTATAAGTTAGGTGCTAAAAATGTGTTAATTTTTCAAATAATTTATTAAATGTTGTGACTAGTTTTTAAAATATGTGTCAAAATTGGTAGACTGATCTGGCTAGTTTAGATATATTTTTTTTTATTTATGCATAGTAGAAGTAAAACAAACATAGGTATGTATCAACCTATATATATCTTGTTCAATACATCATTTTAGATAAATTTTGTTTTATTTCTATAAAACCCAGTGTTGTGTCAAAAGATTCAACATTAACTAGAAACACAATTTTCTAAATTTTATTAATAAAGCTAAATATCTAATATAAATCTACGAAAAGTATCATTAAGCAGTTCGCAACATTTTAGCTTCTCTCTTTTCTTGTAACATTTTCTTTTGTTCTTCAATTTTGATTTTCCTTTCTTCAAGAAACTGTGCATATTCCTGAATTAAAAAAGCCATATTACTTATTTATTACTAAGTACATATTAATTTAAGTAATGATTAATATTTAGAATTTATTTTTAATCTATACATATAATAAAATTGTAACTAACCGAATCTGTACATTAAATATTTTTTGGAAAATCTTATTGAAATAAACATTATCGATATAGAGGCCGAATCTATAGTTTTTAGAATTTTCTCTCTGTCTGTCTGTCTGACTGTTACCGCATCACAGAAAACCCACTGGAAGGATTTTGATGAAATTTAGTATGGTGATAGCCGATTATCCGGGTGAACATATACGATACTTGGAAAATATCTCATTTCTGAGAAAAAAATATAAAAACTGCAATGTAAGAGTATACTAATATGTAAAACCTAAGAATTTGGTTTTTGGTTATCTGAATGTGGGCAGAGCCACGGGCAATGCTAGTAAAATATATATTAACATTTACCTTAGCATCAAGCTCCTTTACGACTTCAATACCACATGTTCTAGCTGTTGCTATTAGCATTACACAGATTTCCTTTAATGGTTTCCATTCAAGAGGTGGATCTTGAGCCTTAATTTTTGCTATTTCATATATATGTTTTAATGTTACTTTACCACAAATTTCTCTGACTGAAAAATTATTTATATGAATATTTATAATAAATCAGCAAAACCCCTGTAATTTGTTGGAGAGACAAATACTTACTTGGTTCCATTGCACCTTTGCTTGCACCTGCAGCTTGTTTGAGAAAATAAGTGGAAGGTGGCTGATGGATAATTAACTGATATGATCTATCCGCATTAACTTTAACTCTGGTCGGCAAGGGGACTCCTTGCTTAATATTTGCAGTACGTTCATTGAAATCCTTGCAGAAAGTAGGTATATTAATATTGCGCTAAAATCAGAAAAGAATAGGTTAATAATCTTTTATTAACTTTATATAAAATGTATTGGTAAAATAAAAATCGATAGTTTACTGTTCCCAACATTGGTCCTAGAGGAGGGCCTGCTGTAGCCATTCCTGCAGGAATATTAGTTCTTAATGTTGAGGAATGATCTATTTTATCAGCTACTTTTTTCATTGATTTCAAACGATTGACTGATTTCGACATTTTTAGACAAGTGGGATTTTATAAAATAGTCAGATATTATAATAATTATTATTTATGTAACTTATTTGTCTATTTTGAAAATAAATAACCTAAAGGCTAAAAATCTGACAGAAAGCTTCAGTCTCAAGCTCAACTCTCAGCTGACATATATTAGTGATGGGCATTGAATGAACGGACTAGTTCAATCAACCGGTCGACGATGCGTCGCGGTTCACGTTTTTCGAATGGACTAGTTTATTTCATAGACTAAAACAGACGTAAACAAGGAGTTCGTTTGTCGTCCGATTAAAACAGAATGTAAACTAATTTCACCTCTAATGTTTACTACAGTGGTTTGATATTTGAATGCGAGCTTTAGAGTGAGATAGGCCTATTATATTATTGTTGTGGTAAATGTAGAAAAGAAATGCCATAATTATTATAGTTACAATTTTTTGCAAGTGATAATATTTTGATATGCGCGTAAATTTTAAGATTAATAATTTATTTAGTTATAAAAGTCATCATTACGAATTGACAAAATCTAATCTAAACACTCATCAATCGATCCGTCTCGCAACATAAACTAGTAAAGATAGGATAGACTGTCTAGCGTTTACAACTACATTGAAGTCGGACCCGGAATGTGAACCATAGTCCACGAATTGAACTAGTTGATCGACTAGTCGATGAAATAAAATGAACGGTCTAGTTTCGTTCACGCCAAATACGTTGACGACCCATCGCTAACATATATTTATCACAGATTATGGAGACTACAATGTCAATATATAATTAAACGACTGTATGCGTATTGCGTAGCATTTCTCTGTATTTTGTGGCTGACATTTGGCTTATTCTATCATCTTTGGCCTACGGTCTATGGAGAGAATAAAATTAAAACTTGGAAATAAATTGGTTTTTTTTTGAAAAAAAAACTTTAGAAAAGAATTATATACACTTTAATTTTCGCTTTTTCGCATATTTTTTCATATCAATAATGTTAACTTTACCATAGGTTCTGTTTATTCAATACTCTAGTCTCTACCTATAACATGTAACAAACGGCAATACTGAAATTAATATGTCAGTCGTTTGTAATATTGTCTTCGTCTTGCCGTCATAATTTTTTAAGAAAGAACAACTCTTTACATACATAGTACATAATTAATCGAAGATTTATGCTTTTACCTTTCCATAACGGAGTCTTATAAATAAATTAGTGCTATATTACAAAATATTATACATTTTAAAGCTTTTTGTATTATGAAAATACGTGTACAATTGTGCATTGTCAATGAAAATATGTATGCAATTTGTAAATAATCAGTAGATAGTAACGTATTGTTCATTATGTGGTCATTTTTCTCACGAGATCCTACTAAGGATTTTCCTTATGAAGTAGGGGATCCGGTACGTGGCTTAGAGGACAGAAGTGTGTGGACACTTCACAAAGGCAAGAAAAGGGGAACTCAAGATGAAGTGTCAATATTTTTATTTGATGTCACAAAAAATTCTGAAACCCTTTTCGATATTGCTAAAGCCTCCTTAAAGAAACTAAAGACTATGAGACACCCAAGCCTTTTACATTATTTAGATAGCTGTGAAACTGAAAAATTTTTATATGTAGCCACAGAATATGTAGAACCTTTAGCTACCCATATAGAAGATATGAAATTAGAGGGTCAGCAGCGAGAATTATTTCTAGCATGGGGTGTATTTCAAATAACTGTAAGTATATTATTATTTCAACCTCCTAATAGTGTAATACTTTCTTAGATTTACGAGAATGTTTGACATTTTTAAATAAAACTATCTTTTCGGATTATTTCACGGATTTATTTTGATTTTTGGTTCCCGACGTTTCGAATGCTTTACAGCATCCATGGTCACAGGAGAGACTGAGGTGTTACATGTCTTGAAAGTATAGTTGTTACAGATGGCCTACCCACAATTAACAAAATGAAAATTGCACCAATTACATTACAATATTTTTTAACTTTAAACATTTTTATAATTTTAATTATAATTGAATATGGAATATTATTTATTTAATGTTTGCTATTATTCTTATAATATTTTACAATTTTAAAAATATTAATTAGTAATCTATATTTAGTGTTGCCATTATTATATTTATAACCAGAAAGAAAAATATAAAGTATAGTATTAATTATTTAAGCCGTATAACTGTGTAGATCAAAATGACAGCATATCAGATTATTAATATATTTTTCATTTTTCATTTGCAAAAGTATATAATAATAGTGTTGCTTAGTAGGTTGTTTTTAAATAATAGCAAACTAAATTAAAATTATTATCCTTAATTAATTTTAACTTTTTAAATTACACATAGAACAATTATATGGCTTAAATAATTAATACTATAATTTATATTTTTCTTTATGGTTATAAATATAATAATGGCAACACTAAATATAGATTACTAATTAAAATTTTTAAAATTGTAATAATTATAAGAATAATAGCAAAAATTAAATAATATTCCATATTCAATTATAACTAAAATTATAAAAATGTTTAAAGTTAAAAAATATTGTAATGTAATTGGTGCAATTTTCATTTTGTTAATTGTGGGTAGGTTGTCTGTAACAACTATACCTTCAAGGCATGTAACACCTCAGTCTCTCCCGTGACGATGGATGCTGTAAAGCATTCGAAACGTTGGGAACCAAAAATCAAAATAAATCTGCGAAATAATCCGAAAAGATAGTTTTATTTAAAAACTCCTAATAGTGCTTTAAGAAAACAAGCATGCACTATAGACTATAAACCAATTAAATATTAATTACCTAAACTTGTAAAAAAAATATTAGATATAAAGCTAATTAGATAATATTTGTCTTTTCAGAGGGCTCTATCGTTTTTTAATAATGATGGTAATATGAAACACAATAATGTGTGCTTATACTCTGTTTTTGTAACACTGGCTGGAGAATGGAAACTTGGAGGATTTGAATTCCTCACAGCTCATGGGCAGGATACTTCTAGTCCTATGCCCATTAAAATATTGCCTGCTTTGGAAATATATGATCCACCAGAAAAGAAAGATCCAACAAAATTAAAATCTGTTACTAAATGGTAATATTTCTTAAAGTTATTACCATTGTTCCTATAAATATTAAAATATTTATACTTGATGCATCAAGAGAAAGAAAGAGCATAAAGATTTTTTTGTTGTAAAAAATATAATTATGTATTAGACAAACTAGTCGTAATAAATTTATCCATTAGTTAGTTTTTCATTGAGTATAAATAATAATAGTTAATCAAGTGAATATATTAAAAAAGGTTTAAATATTTTGAAAGACAAAAGTTTTCTAGTCTCTTATTATTATTAACTGTATTAAAATCATCTTAAATGCTTGTTACTTCTTTATGTTGTAATGACTTAACTTGTTTGAGCTTAATACAATTCGGAATAAATATAGTTTTGGATTAACACATGGGCTACTTAGGTTTCTGTTAAGAACATGCCATGGTAGCAGAGCGACAGACTTTTCTTAAACATTGTATAGTGCTTTTTACTTTTATAAGAGTCTATTTGTTAGGGGTGTTCATGGTGAGTGATGAAAGGGATGAAAGAAAAGAAGAGAGAATTTTGTGACATATTTTATGATTCCATACAATAAGTTCCTTCTTATCAATCAATATTGATGTAAACCTAACTGAATAAATATAATTTTAATTGATTCTCCTATTGTTGAAATGAATCTCAACGATTCATTGTAGGGTTAATTATTGCTGAAATAATTATTTTTTGGTAATAGGGTCAATACCCTATTTCAATGTGCTCTACTGTACTACTTACTACATATTATCTATCTATCACAATAAATTACTATGGTTCTGTTGTTACTATCTTCAGGCAATTTTGAAAATATTATTTAGTTTATTATTATGTCAGAGTGCCCTAATTGGCCTAACAAATGACTTACAAAGATTTTAATATAATAAATATGGAGGACACTACTTTAACATTCTTATTACATGATGTTTTTTGATGTTCAATTAATTATTAAATTTTAATTTTTAAATTCTTATCAGCTCATCAGATATGTGGGGACTTGGTTGCCTCATATGGGAAGCGTTTAATGGGCCCCTGTCAAACCAACCAGCTCTCAAAGCAGTAGATAAAATACCAAAACAACTGTGTACATTATATTGTGAGTTAGTCAGTGCAAATCCTGCTTCAAGACCAAACCCGGCTGATATAATTACAAGGTATTTCTTACCTTTTCTTACACATTTATCAGAAAGAGATCGAAATCTAAATAATAATAAATGATTTGTTGGTTCATATTAATAGCTGATTTTACCAGTATCATTAGATGAGTAGAGGTGTTAGGTCTCTACAATACTAGTTATGACCTGGGACTAAAAGTAATTAAAAGTGACGTTTGGGATTATTTATTGTAATGAAACAAGGCATCTTCTGTCTTTAAACATCATACATACATACATGAGAGGCTTTATGTGCTAATAAGATATTTTATTATCTTAAATTCAATTAATATACTTTCAAAAAATCTAAAGGAGAGGACTTCAATCCTTCATTTTTTCAGATGTCGAAAAATGGGTGGATATTTTAAGAATGATCTCATAGATACAATGCTGTTTCTTGAAGAAATACAAATCAAGGATAAAATGGAGAAAGCAAAGTTCTTCTCAACACTTAGCAGCTACTTGGACAACTTCCCCGAGGGTGTCTGCACCCACAAGATCCTCCCACAATTGCTCACTGCATTCCATTATGGCGATGCTGGTTCAGCAGTACTCGCACCTATGTTTAAGGTAAACTTAAAAAAAATTACGATTCATAAAATCACAAAAACTTTAAAATCTATATTTACTAAAATAATGTCTTTTTGGGTTTTTGCTTTTAAGTCAGTATCATCATATTTTTTATAATTGTTTTTAAATAATTTAGTCCAGAATTTGAATTAAATTGCATTAGCTTTAATGCAGTCTGATTATATTAAAAAAAAAAGCAATAAATAGTCCATGAACATCTAATAATATAATGCTAATATATAAATATTTCTTCACTTTTAGTTGGGTAAGTTATTAGAAGATGCGGATTACCAGAAGCAAATTGTGCCATGTGTAGTGAAATTATTCGCTTCGAATGACAGGACAACGCGGTCGCGACTCTTACAGCAGTTGGATCAATTTATTATGCACCTGCAAAATTCTACTGTGAGTATAATTTTTGTATATATGTAAATATTCAGCCCTCTTTAATGTGCCACTGCTGGACACGGGCCTCCCTTCAATACGAGGGGGATCAGGCCACAGTCCACCACACTGGCGAAGTGTGGATTGGTGGAAATCTTGCTAGGTTCTCTCAGACATACTCTCTTTTCTCACGTTGGTTTTCTCACGATGTTTTCCTTTACCGTAAGACAATCGGTAATTATGTTTTAATGGATTCGCATATGAAAATATCAGAGGTGCAAGACCAGAAATTTGAACCCATTTCATTCAGATTACCAAGCGAGCATGTTACCACTGGGCTACCACTGTCTTTACTTTATATATTTTATTCTCATGGAAGTCAGTTAAAATGGAGAATATATGAAAATATGAGTGTATGGAAAGTGAGTGCATTTCATGTAAATTAATAGACTTCTTTCTTACTTACACTCAAAAAAGAAAAGATTTCTTTTTGAGATGTAAGTAATAAAATAAATAAACTAAGTTTAAAAATAACATGCACATTTTTATTTACTGTACTATTACACTATATATAGGTACTTCTTATCTCTAATTTCAAATCACGTGTTATTAATTATTGACTAATATATTTTCCACTCACATTTTCTTTATGAACATTATTTTAAATAATATCATGTTTATTTATTATATTTATGTATTACTTATAAATATTAACTTTTCTAAACAACAGTAAAATTAAAAAGGTATTAATTTTTATGTTTTATTATTGTTATTACAATAAAATCCATTTCCCCAGGTGAATGACCAAATATTCCCACAAGTGGTCCACGGCTTCCTGGACACTAACGCAATCATCAGAGAGCAGACGGTCAAGTCCATAGTGCATTTAGCTCCGAAGCTCAACTATAATAATTTGAATGTGGAGGTGCTAAGGCATTTTGCTAGGCTACAGTCAAAAGATGATCAAGGGGGAATAAGGTGGGTTCATAATTTTTTTACTTAACATCTTTAGTATTACTTCATTAGATTTATGCAAATATTTGACATTTTAAGTAATCCGTGACAATGATTGCTGTAAAGCATTCGTAAACGTCGGGAATCAACAATCTAAATGAATCCGCGAAATATGTAATCCGAAAAGATTATTTCTCGATTTTATATAATATCGGTGTCATATATAAAATCTTTAGTAATGTTATTTAAGCATATACGTTTTAAAGTGGATGTGGATCACCCGGAACTATAAGGAATAGCGATTATGAAATGAAATAGCTGAAATGATGCTAAATGAGCTATTTTTATTCAAAAACGAATAGTATAATTTAGAATTCGATTTTTTTAAATTTTATTTCGAAAAACTAATATTGCAGTTATCGTTAACAAACTCTCAATGATACCTTTGAGTTTTTTGTTGTTATATTCATAGTTTTTAATATGCCTCCCAAAAACTTACGTCCAATCAAAAAATTAACTCTTTATCTCGTTAACGAATAATATAGACGGAGTGTCAGACAACTAAGAATGAAGCCAAACGAATATTTCAATGTAAATACAGATTTATTGTGAGTACAGTTACCAGTGGTTAATAAATTTTTCACACAAAACTATAGTATTACCTTTATTCTTTTTTATTATTCATTAAAATTATTAATATTTTCTTTACAAAAAGTAATCAAAATATCTCCTTATTCTCTGTAGAAAGTTAACAAGTTCTATGGCAACATTAAAAAATAGTAGCAAACAGCGAAACCATGCTACTATTTTTGACTTTAGCAATTTTTTCGGTGACGCCGTCTATATAATTCTTTACTCTGACTTCTGTATATATTTATTCATCATTCAATTTCATTCGATTTACAGAACAAACACAACGGTGTGTTTAGGCAAGATAGCAGCTCACCTACACCCACAGATTCGGCAGAAGGTTCTAGTATCAGCGTTTGTGAGAGCCACTCGGGACGCGTTCCCTCCCGCGCGGCAGGCCGGCGTGCTCGCGCTGGCCGCCACACAACAGTACTTCTTGTTGTCTGAAGTAGCCAACCGAGTGTTGCCAGCACTCTGCCCTCTCACTGCTGACCCTGAGAAACAGGTGGGGATTATTATTGTAGTGAAACCTTTTTTAGAATCGAATTAAGAGAGTGGTTAGAATAAAAAAAAAACTTTATTTTCAAAACTTAGGTCCAACGAGTATTACTAGTAGCTTACTACTAATTCTCTTTTAACATAATTTGCTTATATAATATTCTAAGACAATACTGGCATGGATACAACTAGTGGCGAGGAGGACACTATATTTTAATGATTATTATCTGATAATCCAACTGTAAATGGTTGCTGAAACTATTACAATTTACAACTTACAATTACACTGCATAAACAAGTCTCGTGTTACACCGTGGGAAACTGAAATTCGATGAAATGGAAATGCGACACTAAAAAGAGACAAACATATATATAGGATTAAGTCGGCGAGAGAATGAGATACAATATATTGCGATGTTGCCATGGTAACCGTTGCTATTTTCTGACAAATATATAATATTATATTCTTTCCATATAGGTATGATATTCTATAAATATATGATTGTAATATGAGTAATATGCCTTATTTAAGATAGAATACATTACACAGGAAGTGAAAAATAATAAAATATAATTACTGAATAATATGTAATGTATGTAAAATAACTTTTAAACTTGTAAAAATATAATAATAAAAATAAACCTTATAATTATCCTACTCCTGATACTCTCTATATATGTTCATCTCATTCTCTCGTAAGTTACTTTTCTGAAGTGTCAATTTTACCATGTGTAAATTGCACACACACGCACTTTTACTTATCCTTATCTATCTATACCTAGTATAAAACAAAGTCGTCTGCGTCTGTTTTTTCGCTCACTTCTACGACTTCTATTAAACCAGGCAGTTGATTTTAATACGATTTTCACTAATAGAAAAAAAACATAAGCGAGGGAGGTTTGTGTATATAATTCGTAAATATTTTGTACAAAGTGGCTGAGCCTAGACGGTGTTTTGTCAAAAAAAAAATTATTCCTACGATTACATGGTTTACGCTGGCTAAACATTTAGAGATCAATTTAAACGTCTAAATACGCACTGTTATATATTATTTTAGTTTATAAAAGTCTCTACCCTATCATAATGATATCTAATCATAATAATATCATAATGACTCGTTTGGCTCAGTTTGTAGTGACCCACCCTACTTGCTGTGCCAGCGGTCGCGGGTTCGAATCCCGCTGGGGGCATTCATTTGTATGATGAGCACGAATGTTTGTACTCCAGTCATGGGTGTTTATATTTATAATATGTATGCATTTAAAAGTTATATATGTGTGGTGTATCAACTGTAGCTTACCATGGAAGTAGATGGTGCTGTGTGTAATTGTCCCGACATATTTATTTATTTTTTTATAATTCCACTTACTCTCCTTTACCTCACACAGTATTAGAGTTAGTTTAAATAGCCATAGAGTTCCATATAGATTCAGTCTTAGTTGAGCTACTGCTATTATAATAGAGTTTAATACAATGAAGTAATTTATATTATTATAACAGTGTAATTAAGTGTAATTTTAAATTTAGTGATAAAAACTTAAAAAAAAATCCTTTAAATAACACCTCGTAACAGTACGTACTTACGACATACATACCTTTTTCATTATTTGTCATTTAATTGTAGTAACTTTGGTATTCGCATCAATGGAAATATTTAATTTTTAGGTTCGTGACGCAGCGTTTAGAACTATAAAAGGTTTCCTTGGAAAGTTGGAAAAAGTTTCGGAAGATCCTAGTTTGAAAGAGGGCATGGGTATGTTAAAAATCAATTTTACTTATAATTATTATAGTGATTATGTGGAATTATTAGAAAATATTGTTCGTATTTCGTGTGTCTGTGTCCGTGTGAGTGTGTGTTTGTTTTTCACACTGAAACTGCTAGACGGATTTCGAAAAATACGAATTTGTACATTCTTAATCTGTATAGTAATACAGATTAAATTGGAGTAAGACATAGGCTCCCGTTAGATACCTAGGCTTGCACTCGAGCCGTGTTACGTCGCTTGTATTATCTATATAAATAAATAAAATTGAAGTCTGTTTATAATGTCAAAATAACAGCTTTTGCATTTAGTAGCATATACAAGTATATAAGGTACTTATAAGAAATATCTATTTATAATTTTTTTGTCCGTCTATCTGTTTGTTCCGGCTAATCTCCGAAACGGTTAGACCGATCCGAATCGATTTGACGGGACTTTGACTGGCACATAGTTGATGTTATAAGGAGTAAATATTTTAGAAAAAGAATTATGATTCTGGATAGGATAGGATCTAAAATTGTGATGAAAATCCGCTTTCCTAGGGACACTAGTATTACATAGAGCTTACCTTACCTTACTCACTAATATTCAATAATGAATGCTTCTAAAGGCCATTAGAATAAAGTGTATTTTGGTTTGATTCTATTTGTCATCGTATATTACATCGTTGTTGGCAGAGGCGGACGTGCACACGGCGACGCCGTCGCTCAGCAACGCGGCGGCGACGTGGGCGGGCTGGGCCGTCACCGCCGTCACCGCCAAGTTCTACCGCTCGCACTCCGACACCGCGCGCGTGCAGCACGCGCCCAAGTCCGTGCTCTCCAAGCCGGGCTCTCTGGGTGAGATGTTTGACTTTTGTTTGATGCAGGGCTCGGGACCGGTTTAAAAAAACGGTTAATGTTTTATTCATCCCTCGTCCTTTAACCGGTTAATGATAACGAACGGTTTAGTAAACTGAAATAATAATAATGGTTAACGGCTATTCTAAGAGATAGGTTGGTTTTTGGTTTTGATACCTTAATAAACTGGTTAATTCATTCATAACTAAGAAACTTGCATGCATCGTTTTACTAAGCCATTCATTCACCATTCATTCAGCAAAGACGCGCCAAATGTAAACACTCAAAAAACTTATTTTAAACGGTTAATTTTGTTCACGGAACCTAAATTCATCAAAAACCGTTCTTTCGGATTTAAATGGTTAAAGAACGTAACTGAAACTCTAAACCGAAAAGCCATTCTGCTTGGGATCAATGACCGGACAAAACCGGTTTAAAAATTGAACGGGTTTCCAAGCCCTGGTTGGATGTCATGATGATGATGCCATGTCTGAAATGAAACTACATATATTTCAAGATGTCGCTGTTTGGATTTAGGATAGAGATGGGTTTGAAAGTCTTTCTTTCGATGTTTTGAATGATTTACAGCAAATATGGTATCGGAAGAAATCGAAACACCTGCATCAAAAACACAAAATAAATCTACGGCAATATGCGAAAAAAATTATTTATTTAAAATGTTAGATATTCTCTTAAATGTTAGAAAGTATTAGATAAAAAGATAAATACTAACTTTCTAAGGAAAACTAAGGTTCACCAGTCAGTGGCGTAACTAGCATGCAGCGGGTTCTCAGTGGTTTCATGACTAAAAAGGAATCACCTTTGTCGAAATAAATTTTGTCATAAGATAAGAACGGCTCTAAACAGTGTTTTTTTTAGAACTTGTACTTGGATGATATGTAATAATCAGAGTTCAAGAATAAATTAAAAAAAAGACATTAAAATTTTCAATTTAAGTCATATGCAGTATTTATTGTAGATTTTATTTACAAAAAAGACATGTACCACAAATCACAGGAATATTATTTGCAATCTATTAAAGAAATGACCATAAAATTTGCAGAGCAACCGTCATCGAGCAGCATGTCTACGACGACGTCGTCGGTGACGTCGATGACCTCGCTCGAGCACAGCGAGTCCGCCTCCGACTACGACCCCGAGCACTGGGATATGACCGCGTGGGGCGAGATAGACTCTAGTGCAGGTAGCCACCCTTTTTTTTCTATAATGGCTTATAGTTGCGTTAACAGAAGCAATCCATTCTGGCCAGTGTCACGTTTTGTGAGGGAGACGCGAATGAGATTACCCACCCTTATGTCCAACATTCCATTATTGAAGTTATACTTCTTTTAGCACGTTTGAACAAAAATGAGAGTAAAATTTTTACGATGCGCGCGAACACCGACAGCCAAAAAGCGACATGATGAAGTTAGCTGCATTCCTTTTACAAACAGAGTTGTGACATATGAGCTGAAATCTTTAACTATTTTTGTTCTGTTACGTCAAAGAAATATAACTTGTTACGTGCTTACATACTCGTAAGTACACACACATGTTCTTTTTTAATTTTGTTCTAATTATTGCACTAGCGATTTACCATCGCTTCACTCGGGTGCGTCCCTAGGTACGTGGATTTTGTTTTATGTAATTTTGTTGCGCGGATTTTTTTTATAAAAGTACTCTAAGTTACACCTTATAGCATTAGCCATCTGACACTGGAAGTCCCGCCAAAATCGGTCCAGCCTTTTCGGAGATTAACCGGAACAAATAGACAGACAGACAAAGAAACATTTTAAAAATCGTTTTTTTATTAGTACCGTAACATACACTTCAATTTTGTTCTACATATAAAACGGTACATATCGTTTATAATGTACCCAGGTACGACGGCAGCGAGTGCGAAGTCCCCGCCGAGCAGCGGCAGCGCGCAGGCCACGCCCGGCCTCGCCGCGCTCTGCGAGGACGACTGGGACAACGAGTGGGGCACGCTGCAGGAACAGCCTGTATGTACTCATTCACTCTATTAAACTAACAATATATTATTATGTATCGCCATGGTAACTTGTAATGGATATTATAAATAACGAAAACCCCATCCAAATCGGATCGGTAGTTTTTGAGAAAATCGCTGATTTGCAAACAAACATATGTACATACATACACACGGGTAGAATACAGAACCTTCTTTTTTAAAGTCGATAAAATATCAATATTAGCTTATCATATCAGGCTGTGTGATACTTTATGAGCATATGAACAATGATATGTGGTTATAGATATTTAATTTTACAAAACTATTAAGGATGAACTGTTTAAGATACGGACAAATGCCATATTATTCAAAATTATTCCTTCATATGATTTCTTCTTTCTGATATTCTTCGTATGATGAGTAGAAACCTCTTTTACTATCATAGTCTTATCATAACCAAGAAAACTAATTCAAATATATGCCAATTGATCCAGTACTTTAATTATTGATTATAGTTTGTGTAAAATTAACACAATATAAGTAATAGGTACCAAAAAGGTAAATTATGGTTTTAAAGAATTTCAAGTGAAGAAAAACTTAATAATGTACTCTTACTCTTAAATCAAATTTTTGTTTTTGTTATTTCTGTCTGTAGTCATTTACTTCTCTAATGTTATATTGCTAAGGCAAACACTACAATGTGATTTGAATATTTTCTGATAGAAACTGGTTTTAGCAACCCGCCGCCATTTTTTTGTTTGTTTGAAGGTCGTAGCGCCCAGTGAATGGATAGAGAATCTTTAAGCGAACAAATAATATCATCAATATGGTGGGCGCGACAAGCTTTTAATAATATTAATTGTGTGACTTTGATTTAATTTAATGTTTATTTTCTTCTTTTTAGAGCTTTTAGGCAAAAGCTTGTTTTTAAACATGTTTTTACTATTAATTTATTTTTTAGTTTTTATTTTATTCATATTCTTCTCAACAAACCCTTTCATTTGATATCCATATTATAAGAACGCATAAAAAACATATTCCGCCGTCTTCGGGAGCCCGCCATATTGGATTTAGAATGACGTAACTTAGCTAACCATGCATTGTTATCCAAACTTAACGTGTATGCACAATTACTGCTCTTTTATTTATTTGTATAGGATAACTGCTTTTAAATTCAGTTGCAATATTTGACCCGAACAAACATACAAACATTGTAAGTTAAATAAAAGCTAGTAAAAGTGTTTTAACTGCAATAAAGTACAATAAGTACTATGCATAAACATATAATATATAATCACAAAAAAATCAAACCCGTCACAACAGGCGGCAGAAGCAGAGCTGGCGAGTCCATCGGAGACGTGGAACAACGCGCAGTGGAGCGAGCCGCACGTGAACAGCGCCAACGCGACGTACGTGCGCGCCGCCTCGCGCCTCGACCACCGCCCCGCGCACCAGAACAGCGGCGACTCGCTCGGCGGCTGGGAGGACGGGGACTTCGAGCCCATCGAGGAGGATGAGGATGGTGAGTTCCTGCACTCATGCACACGTACACACACAAACACACAGATAGACAGAGAGACTTATACTCCTCCCACCCCTCCCTCTCATACACACACATACACGTACACACATGATGAATACAATACATACAAATTATGACCTGACTGATATTGATTGCGGTGGTATATTTTAAATGAGATTAGTCCGCGTGGGAGATTTTATGATTCAAGTGTATGGATGCAAAAACTACACTCTTTTAGTGGAATAAAAATTCAACATTCGCTCGTGACCATGCTCAAAGTCTTCTTGGGACTCAAACCCAAAACCGCAATCAAAAATACATTAATGTATGTCAGTGGTGGAATGTCGACAGTAAATATGTAGAAACGAGAAAGTAACATTTGACAATAAACGCTTTTTAAGTTTGATTTTACAATTTTTAAACACTTTCAAAATTTTTTGCAGAAAACAATGCATCCAAAATGGACGAAATGAGACGAAAACGCGAAGAAAGGAAGTTGCAGAGACAACGTGAAATGGAAGCGAGACGAAATGCGCGAGGACAAGGACCAATGAAACTAGGCACCAAGATTACGACCCCTCCACCCCCATTCTAATAATACATCCCCCCTCCCTTTTCTCCCTTATTTTATCCCATAAAATACCCCAAAGACCCTAACGTCCACACGTTTTCTCTTAAGCTATCTAAATCTAAAGGCCTATATATAAATTATGTCACAATTTACTTATATATTTTATAATTTATTACTAAAATATAAATAGTTATGATGGAAAATAATCCTTATTATATTTAAAAGTTGTATTTATTACAATTAATCTAATTCTTACTAAAAAAATGTACTAAAATAATCTCTAATTGAAGGACTGCACAAACTAATCTGTTTACTTTTTATATATGTATGTACATTATGGAGTCTAGCGACTTACTCTCACTTCGCTCGGGAGCGTCCCGGATTTTGTTTACAATTTTTTCATGGGTTTTGATTTTTTGCGCGGAACCCTGATTTTTTTTCTAAAATAAAAGTATCGTAAGTTACTCCTTATAACGACAGTTATCTGCCAGTAAAAGCCCCGTCAAAATCGGTCCAGCCGTTTTGGAGATTAGCCGGAATAAACAGAGAAGCAGACAAACGTTTTAATTTTTTTTATTAGTCCGGTATATACTTTTATATACATTTAGTAAAAAGCCGTTGAGTTTACAATCAGACACTTCAATTTAATTTATCTGTATAGATAAGATTAATATTTATACCACCAAACTACTAAATTAATATACTTCATTTATTTACGCATTACTTGATGAGCTCATCACTAGCTATTTACATTGTATCAAGTCGCACAATACACTTGACCATATTTTAAATTAATAAATACAACATTTATAAGAGACCAACAGACAAATGAACTATAGGATTTTTATATTTACATAATATATAATAATAATTCAGTGCGTTTAACGTTCCACTGTTGAGCACGGGCTTCCCTTCAATACAAGGGGGATTAGGCCACGGTCAACGCTGGCCAAGTGAAAGTCGAAAACTAACTAGGTTCTATGGTAAAAAAAGGGATTCAGGCTGCAGAAATAAATCCCTTTAATGTGACATAATTTATATAAATCCTTGAACCAGATCTAATGGGAGTAATGTATTTATCACGTTTGATCCTAACAATGGCACAAATAACAACGCCATATAAGTTAAACATTTAAGTTAAAACTTGGTAATATTTATATATTATCTCAAACGATTACATTTTCCCATATCTTTTCTTATATTACATAGTAAAATCCCAAAACTTCTGAGCCCTCTATTAGTTATTTTGCATTTTGTATAAATATTATTTGTAAAACGCATCGATTAAAAAAGTATTAGGTACACAATTAGCGAGAAATAATGTCCTCGCCGAATGAGCGGTCATCTGAACATTTGAGCGCGCTTTTGTTTTCTTTTGTGAAAACTACGCATTGCATTTGCAACTAGAATAATTACCTAAGTGCAATTGGTGACAGTTTCAAGAGATTTTTTCCATGGGATTGTTTGTGTATCTGGTACTTTTTGGATGGATTGTAAAGCACACATTGTCACGTGTGATAAATACACTATTAACTATAAAATAGCATAATGTAAAATTATAATACCTTATATAAATATATATTGATCAGTTGCTCAGAGATAATAAAAGGGTTTCATATATTTTTTTTAAGTTGTACTTCTTTTGGCACGTTTGGAAAAAAATATGAGATTAAAATTTTTACGATGCGCGCGTACACAGACTGCCGAAAAGCGACATGATGAAGTTAGCTGCATTCCTTTTAAAAACAGAGAGCTGTGACATACGGGATGAAATTTTTAGCTATTTTTGTTCTGTTACGCCAAAGAAGTATAACTTCTTACGTGCGTATATAAGTACACACACAGTTTTTTTGTCATTATTAATTTGTTTAATGTATGGCAGAATGTTATTTTTTTAATTTTGATATATTAGGGTTTTAGGTTTCTAAATTTATATTTACTTATTACATTAATATTTTGTTCTAGAAACTATGATGTAAGTCGGAAATATAGTTATCTTTTATATTGATTATAATCGATTCTTGTATACTGATTTAAGTTGATAAAATTGGATAGCAATCGACTGATAAGATATAAGAGATAGAAATAAAGATAAAGAAACTTGTTAAGTTGATATTAATACAATATCTATACATTCAATAAAATAGTAACAAAGCGAAATTTGTACATGAAATATTTAAAAAAAAAACCTCAAAAATTATATCTTTATTATAATTATATGTATATCTTTGTGTATTTCACACAAAAAGTACTGAACCGATTTTAACTAAATTTTTTCTAGTGCTAACAGGAAAAATATTCCTTCTCATGGGAAAACACAAGATTTGATTCTGTCTAGACGTTCTTAAAAATTTACATGGCTAAGCAAAGAAAGAGAAAGTCCGCAATAGCATACCTAACTCCTAAGGTACACTCGCAATAACTATTTTTATCTATTTAAAACGTACCTACGGACGCAAGTAATAAAATAAGTCGCTAATTTACAATAAATATTATAAAACAAAACTAGCGACAGCCCTGGCTCCGCCATATTGTAAAGTAACGTACAAGTTTTCCAATACAAGTATTCAAAAATGAAATTAGCATTTAAAATCAAACATACATACATAAGACGTGACCTAGATTTTGCATATATTTTTTAAAAGCGTACAGTATTTATCCATTCAAAACAAATTATACAACCATATCATACAATCACAACGTAACCTTCATTGTGTCTTAGTTATTTTCCAAACAAAAAAAATACTTATTAATATTGAGCAACTGGTCGACATTACTGTACGAGACCACAACTTCGAAGGTTATATCGGGTGGAAATTGAGCATATCGACTGCGAATGACCTTGAATATGTTTCGTCTTTTATTATAATTAAATATATTATTTAAATTATACATTTTCCAATGCTTATGAAAATTTATTATTAAATTATATAATTTTCATTACTCGCTCTTTGTTATTTTATTCCTCTACAAATTCTGTTTTCTTTTAGGTATGAATATTATAAACTATTTTTTTATACATTTTTCAATGTGAGTTTGGTATTATAGATAATAGATACTAACATTATACTATTTTATACAAGTTTGTATGAAATAAAAAAAATCTACAAAAGTTTGTATGTGTGTGCGTCGGCTTGTTATACCTACAAGTTTTAATGGCTTTACGGAATTATATTAAAATTTAGTACAAAGATACAATATGCAACATACAAAGATACAACATACATGATACACAAACATACAACCTGGAGCAACACATAGGCTATTTAGTTTAGGCATCCTGGAAATGGTAATTTATAATCTGCTGTCAGGTATAGGTTTAATTCAAAGAAAAAAAGGTCTGTCTCTATTTAGCAGATTGTTTATTATCACAAAATATAATAATTATATTTAATTTACATTATATCTCAAATCCAGATGATTAGATTAAACTACTGATTTTCTACATGATTCACTCCTTTTGGACTAGACCTGAAAAAAAATTGAGTAAGTTCAATGTATGTAAAATTGTATGTATACAGCCCTTTTAACGTCGTACTGCTGGGCACGATCCTCCCAAAACAAGGTGGAACAGAACATAGAATAGGCTGCCCAAGTGCGGTTTAGCGACCTTCACGTCTTTCGAAAACTTTAAAATATCAGAGACGCGAGACCCGGGATTCGAACCCGCTTCACTCGGTCTCCCACGAGCCTGTTACCACTAGGCTAGACCTACACTAATATGTAAAATTATTATTTTTAAGCCGTCTTCGTATGTAAAATTTTATAAATTTATAAGAATGGGTTTTTTTAATATATAATCTTCCAATCATTTTTTGGTCGTTTGTTGGTTATTATATAAATTGGTATATCTCAAAATATAGGGCTCGCTCTACAGTAAAGATCTTGGGTTTAGATTACCTTTCAGAATGAACGTTTGTATTGATACAGTATAACTGAAAATCTATCACTTAGGTGGCAAGTTGTTCAGATGGTGAGTTAAGGAAGACTTTCATATATTTAAATACTTATGATATTTATTTAGTAAAATGCCAATTTTAAATTCAAAAATTCTTATATATTTCATTCACGTAAATATTTCGTCAATTTATGACGGCTTTGCCACATAGACTATGCCAAAGAGTATAGTTATATACTGGGAATGCAATATAACGATGAATGCTACTAATAAATAACTTATTACTTATTTGTAGGATGAATGTCACTGCTAAAAACAATAGTAAAATTGTCGGCAGACTGATGTAAGAATTTTTACAGGTTATGACTTTTGAAGGGCTGAATATAGGAATTTTAGTTACAAAATAATATGCTTTATGATTGGAATTAATAGACGTGGTTAAATGAAACACAGTATGAATGCAAAAATATTTAATAAGCCATAGTGTTAGTATTTCTACACGACTACTTAAACTATTAAGTACAAAGAGGCAAGCATTTATGTTATTGACAAATGCGTAACAAAAAAAAAACAGCGTCATACGATTACTAGCAAAATAATATCTTATGGAATAAACGATACATTGAACAAAGCTTACAAACTAAACACAATTATGTGCTAGGACACCCAGAAATCAATCAATCACCCCATCAATAATATATGGATTTTACACATTATCTTCCACATTTATTTTTAAAATGGTAAAATACCACCATTGATGGATAGAAAAATTGACCCTGCGACTGTAAGAACACGAACCAAGCAGTAACCTCAACTGAATAATGAACAAAACCAATTTTCTATGGGCAACATTAAACATAATTAAATTATGAAACACAAATTTATTTTCATAAATTGTATTAAAAATGCAAAACAAATTAATTGTACGATATCTTAAAAATCATACTAACAAGCCAATGTTAAAAATAACAATAATACGTAGCTGTATAATTAATTTATTTTCAAATAATGTGACAATTGTGTAACAGATTGGAGGTCTGCTCGGCGCCGATGCCTACTTACAGTTTGGAGCGCAGGTCGGATGTCCCAGCGGCTAATTGTCAAGATGGCTCCTCAAATCTGCAATATATATTTATATTTTTAATGCACTTTAAAAGTAATACAGAAAAAAATACCAAAAAACTTAAGGGCTTATCTCTGAATGGGATCTCTTTCAGTGAACCCATATATGATGTGAAAGATGTCAACGAGGCTATATAGTGCAAAAAATATATCATAAACATACTTAAACTTATTTGGAAGATTATGAGAAAAATATGAAATAGAAATCCAATTAGGAGCTTTCATGCTGCTTTGGTTTCATTCAAATACCTATCATAGTTTCATAGAAAAATAATCTTGAAGTTGCAACCCCCATTTTCCAAAAACGAATGAAGTTTGATAATGGGCGAAAAAATATTTTCAACAACTAGTAATATGATAAAGGAACCATTAATTTAAAAAATACATTTCATTGTGTTACCTTAATAACCTTCATCATGGCTCTTTTTAAATAATATTAAGATAATTGCAGATTTTAAGTTCTCAATCCCTTGATATAACGTTTGAGGTTTACAAATGATGTGTTGTATGTAGTGTATTTAGATAGTACATATATTAAAAACTAACGGACCCCATGTTTCTTTGATATCATTCAAATGTCCTTAATTCAGGTCACAACTTTCAAACAACAAGTCAATCGAGACATTTCAGTGATATAAAATATCATGAAAGAAAAAATATAATTGATCTGAGAACAAATGTGCACTATACCTCATGTTCATAGCGTTAGAGTTGCCTGGTTCCATCTTGTATCCAAGACTCTCGTAGAACTTGATGAGCTTGTCCTTGCAGTCTAACGACATTTTGTAGCAACCAAGCTCTTGTGCTAGCAGCGAGACTGTTACAACGATTCTATAACGAAAGGAAATGTTCACATCTATAGGTACATATAATAAAACTAAGCCGAATCTGTACATTAAATATTTTTATAGAAAATCTTATTGAAATAGACATTATTATCGATACAGAGGCAAAATCTATAGTTTTAGAATTTTTGTCTGTCTGTCTGTTTGTTACCGCATCACAGAAAAACCAATGGAGGGATTTTGATAAAATTTGGTATGGTGATAGCTGCTTATCCGAGTCAACATATAGGATATATTTAACACTGGGAAAATATCTACTTTCTGAGAAAAAATACAAAAACTGCAATTTAAGGGTAGGTATACTAATATGTAAAACCTCAGAATTTGGTTTTTTGTCATCTGAACGCGGGCGGAGCCGCGGACAATGCTAGTAAGAAAAAAATATTTTAGAAGTTAAACTTCTTTTGGCACGTTTGGAAAAATTATGAGAATAAAATTTTTACAATGCGCACGCTCACCGACAGCCAAAAAGTTAGCTGAAAGCGACATGATGAAGGTAGCTGCATTTCTTTTACAGAGAGTTGTGACATACGGGATGAAATCTTTAGTTATTTTTATTCTGTTACGGCAAAGAAGTGAAACTTCTTACGTGCGTACATAAGTACACACACACGTTTTTTTCTAATTTTAATTTTTTCTATAAAATTAAAGTTATATTTGCGGCCGAACACGAAGTACTGAAAAATATCCCTTATCTGAAAAACGAGTGGTTTTTGACCTATTTTTTTCAAAATAATTTTCGGTGAAAGTATTTTGAAAGCTTTTTTTTTTTAGAATATCAAATACGTCTTATATTTAATTTGTTTTTAAATGAGTGCGTGTAACCTTTAGATGCGCATGAATTAAAACTTCTATGGCGCTGTGGTGATACCGCAACTAAATAAAAACAAATCAAAATATAAATATAATAGTTTTTACAAACTATTAGTAAAAAATACTATTTTTTTCAAAAGTAATAATTATATATTATAAAATTATCAATAATAAATATATATTTTTATAAATAATAATTACTATAATAATATTTTTTTTTTATTATTAATAATAAATTTGACTCACTTCCGCCGCACTCACCCTCGCGACACTCATTTGACCAATGTATTGTCATTTGACTTACTAAAGAATATTACAGAAGTTTTACTTCAAAAAATCAAATATTATATAATAATAATATGATATTATAATAAATACTTACAATTTCCCTAGCTGCTTCCCTCTGTAGGTATCATTAACAACTACATCTTCAAGGCAGTTTTACTTCAAAAAATCAAATATTATATAATAATAATATGATATTATAATAAATACTTACAATTTCCCTAGCTGCTTCCCTCTGTAGGTATCATTAACAACTACATCTTCAAGGCGTCCTCGCTAAAACAAATTATTAACTAATATAATTCAAAATTATTCAGAAGATAACAATACATATTTATTATTATATTAAAGTTTTATATTTTACAAGCGAATTACCCTCACTGGCTGGGATGCAATCCTAGGAGCCTAACTGTAGCCTATACATATGTTACTCCAGGTCATAATATATTTTTGTACTAAAATTCAAACAAATCCTTGAAGCCGTTTAAGTGTAACACAATCACACCCACACACACAAAAGCACAAAAAGCACACATACAAAATTTTGTTTTTATAATACAGGTTGATATGTGCTGGAAATATAATGCAACACAAGCGCACTCTCTATGCGAAGTGGAAGAAGGTGGAAGTGTAGGTTCCCATGGTCCCGTGGGACGAATCAGATGTCTGGGCAAATATTAGAGAGCCCAATATACTCCTCCCCATAGTACCAGTACTAACTTCTCGACTCGGATTTACTACTGAGAATTTCTTGATGGAAAATCCTAGTATATTATCTCATTTTGCCCAAACCTGGCTACTCTATCTCCAAGCTTAATGGCCTACAATCATACTTTCTAGAAAGTATGATTGTAAATAGGCCAAAGAACTTATGGGCTTAGCCACCTATGGTTAAGTGAATACCTACCTAGTGTTTGCCTTCGATTTTGCTATCATGGTTATTACGCCAATAAAAGTTACATAAATCCAAAACTCATATTCCCACTGCTAATATGAACAACTTATAACCTGTCAACGACTGCCGAGCCACGGGTGGCTCAGTTAACAATTAATTTCTTAGAAATTAACCGCGAGGTGTTAACAAACTTTCACTTAAAAAAATATCATATTCTCTTGTATTAATCCCATTAATATTATAAATGCAAGTTTGGATGCATGGATGTTTGTTACTCAATACACCAGAACGGCTGAACAGAACTGGATAAAATTTGGCACAGAGATAGATAATAGTCTGGAGTAGCATATAGGTTACTTTTTATCCTGTAAAAATGAACGGTTCCCGTAGAATAGATTTGTTTTTAATTTTCACTATTTTCGATTTTCACAGGGATGAACCTGAGTGAAGCAAGGGTAAGTTGCTATTTTCTCTAATTGTTCGTAAATTACTTACCACTGAACAATTGTGAATAAATTTTTGTTCAATTGTTAGTGTTGCAGCACCAATGATTTTGGATATACGCTTATCTTCTATTACTGTGACGTAATATCCTCCAGAACTTTTCATCTGAGTAAACCGCTCTATAAAATAAAATAGCAAAATTGTTACTGACGCATATAATGTGAAATTTTACTTACTTTTAAGATAAATTAGCACTTTACTATGTCTACAGCAGTTAATCTCACTGAAAGTAGCCATATAGTTCAAGTTACATAGAATTTCTCAACAAAAAAATGCAATCTGGGACTCAATCCCGGGTCTTCCAAATCATAATTCAAATCATAATCAGCATACATGCTAGCCAATAGACCAATGGGTCAAGCAAAAATATTCTTTAACATCTTATGAAATATCTGACCATATAAGTTTACTTAGCAGCCATTGCATAACAATAGATACTAATTGCCAAGTGAAAGGAAATTTAATATTCAAAAATTAAGACTGCATTATAAAATTTTGAGTGCATAAAATATATTTTTTGTTAATGTGTTTAAATCATACATATTTAAAAAAACTATATAAAATTCTAGCTATATTTGCAATTAGAAAGGATTAATTATAAAAAAAGAGATTTGATTGCATTTGTAATTATCAGGAAGAACAAGTTGTTGTAAATGTCATTGTAGAACGCCCATACTGGTTTTAAAAGGTCAAACAAGTCAATGTGTCCTTTACATTCTTTTGCAAATCAGGTTTATTGAAATGTTATAATAATAGAAGTTTATTTTACAAATAATAATTTTGAAAAATAAACTTTTTTGTATAAAAAATTTAAATATTAAAAAAATGTCATTATTTTTAAAGTACATATTTTATATAATGTGATATCACCTCCAGGTAAATTTCTAAGAAATTAATTAAAATTCTAAGAAATGGATTGTTAACTGACACGCCGGCGTGTCCGAGGTCGTGGAGGGAATATTACAGATCACTTAGCCACAATTTTATCATAACATTAAAGTATATATATATTATGAAAATAAAAATTAAAAAAAAATAACATCATACCATCAAATTGTTTTCTTGTGATATTGCCAGTGCTTGTTAGTTGACTAAGTAGCTGCAGAAATCCTTTATCATAATCAGCTCGTTGCAATGGTCTCACAACCATCCAATCCTCACCTGGCTGAGCAGCACTTATTGAAGGATTAAACTTAGCTGGACTCTTGCTAAAATCTAACTTTAACAGTATTTCTGGCTGATATAAATATTCTGAATTATCATCCTAAAATGAAAAATATTGTCTTATAAATAACTAGTATTTTATTTGCAAATATAATTAGTATGAATTTGAATCGGATTATAAATTATTATAATACATAATAACAAATAATACAATACCTCAAGACCATGATGCTTTTCCAAACCCATTTTTAGGTACTATCAAAGATTTAATTGACTGATGAACGCAATTGCTTAAAACATTATTATTTTAATATAATAAAATTCAGCATATTAACGTCGTCGTGGCAAGTTGAAATCAAATGTCGGCATTCGGTAAGTGGTTAGTTATCACAGTCTGCCGTAACTAATAGAATTCCAAACTAGTTTAAGTTTACCGCAGTTTTAACAGTTTTAATAATTATTGATTGGTTGTATGTCGAGAGACTTTTACTTTGTAGTATCCCTATCGGTTACAAACACTAAGTGAAAGTACATCAGCTGGGTAGTGAGTACTGGGTACACAATAAAGGTAGTTATTAAATTGGATGTGTTCACTTTATTCATCTAAGGGGTCCACTGTCCACCACAGTAGCACCTATGGAGTACGGAATTATCAATTATTTATTGTTAGTTAAGCACACTATATTTAAAATCATTAAATTTCTGTAGTTTTCAAATTCAAATTCTTTGACCTTTAGGAATGATATCACTACAGTAGTACAGTGTTGTAGGGATGGGACATTTCACGAGTAGCAAGTGAAAAATCACGTGAAATGCGTAATCACGCGTCACACCTGCTACTTAAATTCATAGTGGCTGCTACAAATCACAACTTGGTGAAATCTAGAGCTGTAGCAAACCGTATGTATTCGTTACTGAGTAACGGGTACGCCATCTAGTACCGAGTACCTAAACGTTACTCACGAATGCATTTCGTTACTCGCATTTTCCGTATACATTTTCGTACTGATGTTTTTATTGATTTTTTATTCAACAAAATACAATTTTCAGTTAATACCGTTGATCAGTAAATTGGGGAGTTTATTTATTTCGAGTTGCATGATTTCGGATTCTTAGAAATATTGTTTAGAAATAATTTTAAATTAGAAACAACAATTAAATTTAGAGCACATTTTTAGTTTTTTATCCAACAAATACTTATAATTTTTACTGAATGATTATGTGTTATACGTACAGACATAACCACCAACGCTGAGAACGAGCTAGAAATGTTTATTAATGAACCAGTGCTTCCGCGCGATTCTTCGTCATTAGTTTGGTGGAAATCTCACTCCTATATGTACCCCAATTTGGCGGAAATATCTCATGAGCACTGTCACATCTTGGTGACATCAGTGGAGTGTGAGAGAGTATTTTCAAAAGCGGGAAATTTTGCAACCCAAAAAAGAGCACGATTAAGCAGAAAACGAACAGCAGAACTTGTATTTTTAAAAAGCAATGAAGACTATTGTATATAGATATCTCATAAAAAAATCAATCATCAAAAAAATCAAAAAGCAAAAAAAATGATTATAAACAAATTAAAAAAATTAAGAAAAACAAAAAAAAAGTGTATAAAATTCTTTTATAAAAATTCTTATTGTACATAAAAACAATGAACTTTTAAATACGCCAATGTAATTATGGAACTTAGCTTAATACAATTTTACCGTTTGATTACTCTGATATATTTAAAATTCATTTAATTTTACATTGTCAGTCCCAAGCCTGTAGAAGTATGAGGGAAAGTTCATTGTTTGAAAATAGGTTCATTCAAAGCACCATGTACGTATGCAACTACGTCAGATCTATATCTCTGCTCCATATCACATCAGTAGCGCCATTGGTGACATTTCATACTTCATTTTAATAGCAAATAATATAAAGTGTGACACCAGACCGTCGAAATAAAAAATCTATGCGTGAAAAGTAGCAGGTGAAATCACGTGAAAAATTGTTGTAATTTTATCACGTGATAATGATTTAAAAGTAGCAATCATTTCCATGCTTACAGTGTTGTCATCACTCTTTAAAGAAAACGCGCTAAATTGACTTCAAAAAAGAGCTAGATTTGGACATTTTTCGAAAAAAAAGCGATAAATTATAAAAACAATTAAAAAATTGGTAATTATAATTATTTTTAATTAAAAGGTACATAAAAAGGCAAAACTATCTACAAATTTATTAGCTAATATTCTTCATCGTCAGAAACTTGTTCTTCTTGTACAAATATTTGGTGGCACCTACATAGTTTTGATCATGACTTACATTTTATATTTTATTAATATGTGATGTAATAAGAAATTAATATAGTAAATCTAATCTGAACAATATACAAAACGGTTTGAAAAAAATAGAGTGGTGTTTTTTTAATTTATGAGGCTCTGGGTGCTTGTTGTTTTATTTATTTTGAACAATTACGTTCCGTTACATGTTATTTTAAAGAAAAGGCATATTATTTAAAAAGCGCCAGATTGGGCGCTAAACGCTATATTTTTTTGTTTGGCGCTGACAGAGCCAAAAACGCGTTAGATCTAGCGCTGAAAGCGCTAAGTTGGCATCATTGATAACAGATAAAAAATTATTAGTCATCTAAGGGCGGATGTACACTATGTGGTATCCATGACATATAATTTAAAATTGCCAGCACACAGTAGTCTGGCCATCTATCGAATCTGCTCCTCCTTAAGCCTGGCGTCGACTACAGCAGAAACGCGTCAAATCGACTCGAGTCACATTTTATTCGTTGTGCGTCCATTTCAGCCGAATCGAAAAGACTCGCTCATTTATCGCAACTCGTCAGCAAAGTAGGTCGTGAATGCGTTTCGATCTTTTTAACTCTAAAGTGTAGTATAAACCTACACAGAAAAATAAAATTGAAGTATCTGTTTGTAATCTCAAAATAACAGCTTATTACTAATGCACATGAAACTGTATACGGTACTTATCAGAAAAACAATTTTTTTTAATTTTTTGCCTGTCTGTTTGTTTTGGCTAATCTCCGAAACGGCTATATAGATTTTGATGGTACTTTCACTAGTAGATACCTGATGTTATAAGAAGTAATTTAGGCTATCTTTATTACTGAAAAAGAATTACGGTTTCGCTAAAAAAATTAAAACGTACTTAAGAAACCCAACGAACCCGAGTGAAGCGAGAGTACTACATAAGTTGTAGGTCTAGTGAAAATCTACAACTTTTATAAATAACACTTTTTATAATTACCTCAAAGTTTTCGAGATATTTGCGGAAAACTCGGTTTAAATTTTTCCTTGGTTTTTTTATTTTCAATTTCTAGAATAATCTTTTGATTTTCATGAAACTAAGGGAATTTTATCTTCGGAATACAAATTAAATTGAAAAAAAAATTGAAATTGAAACGTTTAGCCATTTCCGAGAAAAATATGTTTTATGGTCATCATAATCATCATCATCATCATAAATCATCCTCAACTTCAAGTGAACGTTTACATTTTAAAAAAAATTGTTCAATTTTCAAATAGGGCTCATCCCTATTTGAAAATTGGAGAAATCGATAATTTCTACTTTGTAAACTATTTTTTTTTCAATTATCATTGCGGAAGTGTACTTCATTGAGCAAATTTTTGTAAACTGATTAAGCATGGAAATGATTGCTACTTTTAAATCATTATCACGTGATAAAATTACAACAATTTTTCACGTGATTTCACCTGCTACTTTTCACGCATAGATTTTTTATTTCGACGGTCTGGTGTCACACTTTATATTATTTGCTATTAAAATGAAGTATGAAATGTCACCAATGGCGCTACTGATGTGATATGGAGCAGAGATATAGATCTGACGTAGTTGCATACGTACATGGTGCTTTGAATGAACCTATTTTCAAACAATGAACTTTCCCTCATACTTCTACAGGCTTGGGACTGACAATGTAAAATTAAATGAATTTTAAATATATCAGAGTAATCAAACGGTAAAATTGTATTAAGCTAAGTTCCATAATTACATTGGCGTATTTAAAAGTTCATTGTTTTTATGTACAATAAGAATTTTTATAAAAGAATTTTATACACTTTTTTTTGTTTTTCTTAATTTTTTTAATTTGTTTATAATCATTTTTTTTGCTTTTTGATTTTTTTGATGATTGATTTTTTTATGAGATATCTATATACAATAGTCTTCATTGCTTTTTAAAAATACAAGTTCTGCTGTTCGTTTTCTGCTTAATCGTGCTCTTTTTTGGGTTGCAAAATTTCCCGCTTTTGAAAATACTCTCTCACACTCCACTGATGTCACCACGATGTGACAGTGCTCATGAAATATTTCCGCCAAATTGGGGTACATATAGGAGTGAGATTTCCACCAAACTAATGGCGAAGAATCGCGCGGAAGCACTGGTTTATTAATAAACATTTCTAGCTCGTTCTCAGCGTTGGTGGTTATGTCTGTACGTATTACACATAATCATTCAGTAAAAATTATAAGTATTTGTTGGATAAAAAACTAAAAATGTGCTCTAAATTTAATTGTTGTTTCTAATTTAAAATTATTTCTAAACAATATTTCTAAGAATCCGAAATCATGCAACTCGAAATAAATAAACTCCCCAATTTACTGATCAACGGTATTAACTGAAAATTGTATTTTGTTGAATAAAAAATCAATAAAAACATCAGTACGAAAATGTATACGGAAAATGCGAGTAACGAAATGCATTCGTGAGTAACGTTTCGGTACTCGGTACTAGATGGCGTACCCGTTACTCAGTAACGAATACATACGGTTTGCTACAGCTCTAGATTTCACCAAGTTGTGATTTGTAGCAGTCACTATGAATTTAAGTAGCAGGTGTGACGTATGATAGCGCATTTCACGTGATTTTTCACTTGCTACTCGTGAAATGTTCCATGCCTAAAACTGATTAAACCAATGCATTTTTCGGAAAAATAACGAAATTGGTGCTGTCATCGCGTTTGACGTGATCAACACACAATTTTGAGCCTCTCTGATTTGAATTATTTTATCATTGTGGAAATAGTAGTTATAAATAATTAGTTGTATATATTAGTTAATGTAAATATTTAAATATTTTAGGTGTATATATAGAAGATATTGTGGTAAGTTTTTAGTTTTAGATTTTTATTTTCAAATTTTCCTTCTATATGTGACAAGCCGAATATGGAAAAAAAAACACAATCGGAGCCTCCGGATCCAGGCGAAATTTTTTATATGCCGGAGACAGAATTCCTTCCATCTACTTCCTTCTCTAGAAAACGCTCTGGAATACAACAAAATATCTTAAACAAAAAAACTATTATTGATCCTTCGACAGCTAACCCATCTATTCAAACAGTTTATCTGAACCCCGCTTTTAACAAATTAATTAATTCTTATTCTGACTCTGACATCGGACCTTTCATAATCCATATTGCAAGAGAAGAACCAGACCCGTCTGCATGACTAACTATTCGCGCAATCAAATTTGGTGCATTTCTTTTTAAAAATAAATTTCAAGATATAGCCAAAGATTCTTCTCTTAATGTTGAAACTTATAACCTACCTACTATTATGTGTTTAAACAGTTGTCGATTTGGCCATACTAAAAATATATGCCGCTCAAAACCACGATGCTTGAAATGTACCCAATCCCACTCAGGAGAATCGTGTTGTGTTACCAAAGAAGCCGCTCTTTGTATACATTGCAGTGGTAACCATTTTGCAGATGACAAGAATTGTCCTGAACTGACAAGACAAAGGTTAATTAAAACTGCCATGTCGCAAGAAAATATTTCTTTTGCGGAAGCCGCCACTAATTATCCTCCAGTGAGGAGATCATATGCTGAGGTTGCAAAAGAAATGTTTTCCTTAACAAATCCTTCCACTAGCAAAACCGATGACCCTATCAATTATAGCTCTCCTTCAACTGGTATTCGCTCCTATAAAAAGACGATAGTAAAGATTCCACGCCTCCCTTCTCCTTGACGTAAGGGATACGATAAACAGACACTATAATATCACTTCTCCTTGCTCTTCATCTCTTGGTAATGGTTGCGCCATTAATTCAATCGCATCTGAACCCTCGTCTATTGATCATCTTTTACGCACTTTATTAATTGCCATTAACAACCATTTTTCTTCCAAAAATATTTTACCGGACAACGCTGCTCAAATCTCTGTAATGAAGCCATCTTCACCCCCTCCATCAGCTCATCATGGATCTAATAAAAATCCTGCAATGCAATTGCAAAAGCCTTCCAGCTCGTAAATCAGACATAATTCATCTTATTAATAAATTCGAACCTGCTATCCTTGCCATTTCTGAAACCTGGTTTAAGCCTGGAAGCCGTTTTCGTATTCCGGGTTTTTCCTGTTTGAGAGATGACAGGGATGATGGATATGCAGGTAGTGCTATCTTAGTTAATCGTTTATATTCGTTTTCACAAATTTCTATTCCCACTCACAGCCATGACGTTAACGTTGTGGCTATCAAATTTCTTAACATATCATTTGCTTCTATTTATATCCCTCATCCTCACCCATCGCTTGCTTCAGAACTCCAGCTCATTTTCTCTTCCCTACCTCGACCAATCATTGTAATGGGTGACTTTAACACCCATCACACTGCTTGGGGTTGTCATTATTATGATACGTTCTCTCACTTGTTGTTGGACATAATTGATGAAGCCAACTTTTGCTTTATTAATGATGGATCTCCAACTAGACGAGTTTATCCAAATCAAAATCCTAAGAGTGCTGTTGATTTATCCCTCTGCTCCCCCAGTTTGGCATCTTGTTTGAACTGGAAGGTCCTTCCTTCATCTTATGGCAGCGACCACTTTCCCATTCTTACGTCATTAAACATGAAATCATCCCCATTCCCAGTGCTAAATCCGCTGTTTCCATATTGTCTCAATAGAGCCAACTGGTCTGGGTTTCGGTCATTTTTTGATTTACAGTCAACTAATTTTCCAATTGTAGATCCTCAAAATTCTTTGTGTTGTTACGAAGCTTTTGTTAAAATTTTACTTTTGGCAGCCTCTTCGCATATTCCGCTAAAACGCTCAGGTCATAAAAAACTTTTGTCTCCGCCTTGGTGGGACGAAGAATGTACGATAGCTATTAGAAAGCGTAAAATTGCTGAACGCAGCTATCAGCAATGCATGACTCGCGCTAATTTCATAAATTATAAAAATATAGCGGCACAAACAAAACGGCTTTTTTAAAAAAAAAGAAATCAAGCTGAAGATAGCATTCCATATTCCTTCTTAATAAAATTAAGTGATTCAGGTAAACAGATCTACCTCTCCATTATAAATTCAATTTAAGAGTCCAAAAATGTCCCCACAATTTGGAAATCCCAAGTCATTATACCAATTTTAAAACCTGGTAAAGATCCTAAAGAATCCTCGTCTTACCGTCCTATAGCTTTATCATCAACGTTGGGCAAAGTTATGGAGCATCTTATTAAGAATAGGCTGGACTGGATAATGGAAAGTAGAGAAATCCTCTCAAAGTCACAATTTGGTTTTCGAAAGGGCATGGGTACAATTGACAGTCTCAGTATTCTTATATCGGAAATACGTCTAAGTTTTTTAAGAGGAGAAGACCCTTCTTGGATATTAGCTCTGCTTATGATTGCGTTCTTCTTCCGCTTCTGAAATCTAAAATGCTTTACTTAAATTTACCGCCAAAATTAACTAATTTTATTTTCAATCTTTTTATTGGAAGATCGATTCGAGTGAGATATCAGGGTGAACTTCTTCCCCCTAGAACAATTTGGAAGGGTCTCCCGCAAGGTTCAGTTCTTAGCCCCATTTTGTATAGCTTTTACACTCATGATCTTGATAAATCTGTAGATAGTTTCTGTAATATTTTGCAATATGCGGATGATATTGTTTTATTTTATAGTTCAAAGGATATGACTGAAATTGTATCTAGATTAAATTCTGCTTTGTATTATCTGGGAGAATTGCTGCAGTCACATGGTTTACTTTTGTCAGTTCCGAAAAGTAGTGTAGTTGTTTTTACTAAAAATAGACATATTCCAGAAGTTAACATTTTATATAAGGAACAAACTATTCCTGTTCTAAATTCTGTAAATTTTTTAGGTATTTTCCTAGACTCCAAATTATCAGGTACCACTCATATAGATTATATCTCCAAAAAATGTGAAAAGAATATTCAAATTTTACGTGCATTATCAGGAATGTGGTGGGGTTCCCATCAATACTCCCAAAAAATTTTATATAACGCTATTATTCGTAGCCATTTTGATTATGGAGTATTTCTATTAGATCCATGCAATAAAACAGCACTAGAAAAATTGAACAAAATCCAATACAAGGCACTAAGAATAATATTAGGACCCATGAAATCATCGCCCACAAATGCTATGCAGGTTGAGTGTGTAGAGCTTCCACTTCATCTTCGCAGACAATATCTTTCTGATCGCTTTATTTCGAAAGTTTTACAATCTTCATGTCATCCGTTATTACGTTCCCTCAATCATTTATTACAAAATATTAAACCCAATCAACAAATTCCGTGTATTATTAAAAGTTTCCAAAAATTTTTAGAGCTTCCTGCGCCTATTTTTAAACTTAACCTTAACCCCTTGTACTCAGTACCTTTTCCTTCGCTTACCTTTGTTCCTTCAATCATAACGAATCTGGGAATTGGCAAAGGTAACCCTGGGGCCAATGTTAAATTTAAGAGTATTTTGGATAATGATTGGTCTGATTATATTACAATATTTACTGATGCATCCAAAATTACTTGTGAGTTTTGTGTTGGGGCTGCTTGCTGGGTCCATCGATTCAATATTATACTAAATTTTAAGTGTCCTCCTGAAGCTTCTGCTTTTTCGGGAGAGTGTATAGCTCTGCTTGAAGCCATTTTATTTGCAGAATCACATAAAATGTGTCATTATCTTCACAGATTCTTTAAGTTCCCTTCAGAGTATCTTACAAAACCCTTTCCGTAGTAAATCAAGGTTTGTTATTATATTTAAAATTAGATAAGTTCTCTTTCGTTGCCATGAACAGGGAATCCTCATAACCTTGGCTTGGATCCCTAGCCATTTAGGTATTATCCACAATGAAATTGCTGATAGCTGTGCCAAATCTGCAACGGTTAGCGGAATTTTAAATCATTATTATAATTACTCCCACGACTTGCGTTCTTTGTCTAAAAAAAATCTTTACACTTCCTGGAACACATTTTGGAACGCTTCTAAAACAATTAAAGGTAAGTATTATGCTTCAATCCAACCGGAGGTTCCAGTCTCCCCGTGGTTCTTTCGATTTCGCCGTGCTGACCGCAAAACCACCTCAATTATATGTAGGCTTCGTCTAGGCCATGCGTGTACTCCGGTTCATTTAGCAAAATTAAAAATTAGAAATAGCTCTATTTGTGAATGTGGCTTAGATGAGGGTTCCACTGATCATATTCTCTTTAATTGTCCCAAACTGAAATATTCTCTAAATGATATAATCCCTCCTCAAATTCACCACCCTGTTAACACCAAATGTTTATTAGCCCTTGTATTTAGCCCATTTATTAAAAAACTAGTTAAATTTATAGTAGATAATAAAATTAAATTATAATATAGTTCTCATTATGTATATATTTTTTCATTCTCAATCAATGTGTCATTTTTGTATTACGTAATTATTTTTCTTTTGTTATAGGTTAATCTTGTAGACCGATCATTCATATATAGTTTTAATTCCACAATAAAGTTACCAAATTTCAAAATTACCGCTCAATCTCATTCGTGTCTTCCTCACAAAACGTGACACTGGCAGAATGGACTGCGTCTGTTAACGCAACTATAAGCCACATAAAAAAAAAAACGAAATTATTACTATACAATGTCGCTGTAAACATTCCAACTTTGCAATTTCACGGGTCTAATCTTGTTCATTCATTAGTTAAAAATATAATTTCAAAAAATTAGGTTGATATTTACAGCTACATTAATGTTCTTTATCATTTATGCGAAATCTCAGGGCTACCGTCTAAACTATTATTTATATTATAATGTGTATGTGTATTATTTGTACTTACTTATTTTAATTTAAAAATTATAATTAATTTTATATTAATTACATTTCACGTTTTTCATATTTATTAATTTGATAGAATTGTAAAATACGCTAGCTAGCTTGTCAATTTTAGTAACATACTATTTACTGACATAGTGTAATTGAATAATTTAATTTTGTTCTAAATAATACAATAAATATTCAATAAAGCTTCATTTAACAATAAACAAATCTGTGAAAAGAGTGAGTACTTCATACAAATATAAAAACCGTTTTTGTTTATCATCATCCACATGGAAAAATATTTTTTCATCTTTATTCTTTATTCTATGGCAACATCGTAAAGTGTAAGCACAGCACAGTAAGCATGGAAATGATTGCTACTTTTAAATCATTATCATATGATAAAATTACGTATATTTTTCACGTGATTTCACCTGCTACTTTTCACAGGCAATGATTTTGCATTTCGACGGTCTGGTGTCACACTTTATACACTCGCCGGCATATTTAGCGGAACACAAAAAAAAGGTTCATTATTAAAAAAATATGGTTTTATTTTTTTAAAATCTACTTACTACACTTCTTTTGTTATTTAAAGTTTCATTTGTTTTACTTAAAATGAGATCACATTAAAAACAGATTTTGCGAGTAAAGGCTATTTGTGAAAAATTGTACATTTTTGAACTTTTCATATAACCGGGAAAAGTGAAAATTAATATTAAAATAACAATTAATTAAATTAGAAAAATGGTGATTAATATCGCGTATTTCCTCCACGTTATTAAAGTTTCTACCCGTCTAGGCATACTGAGAATGATGTTATCGATGGTCTCCTGGGATAGTCTCCGCCATTCCTCAACTACGGTGATTCGCAGTTTACCCACGTTGGCAGGAGCTGGAATTCTGGACTTAACTTTTCTTTTCAGCAAGTCCCAAACGTGCTCTATTGGGTTCATATCTGGTGATCTCGCCGGCCACTCCATAACAGTGATATTCATATCATTAAGATAAGCTTGAGTTACCCGAGCGGTATGCGGCCGAGCATTATCCTGCATAAAAACAAAACCGTTACCGATATATGGGGCAAACGGTACGACATTTTCTTCTAAAACTTCTCTGATATAGCGGTCTACAGTCAGACTCTCTCTGTCAATCACTACCAAGTCTGTGCGAGCTCCCAAACAAATGCCCGCCCAAACCATTATTAATCCACCACCGTATGCAACTGTAGTTTCAAAGTTTATCTGAATGTATCGTTCTCCTTTGCGTCTGTATATTCTTTGCCTGCCGTCAATTTGATTTAAGAGAATTCTACACTCATCACTAAACAATACCTTACTCCATTGGTCCGCGTTCCAAAGTCGATATTCCTGAGCAAAAGTTAACCTGTTTCTACGATGATTTACCTCGAGCCTTGGAGCCTTGGCGGGCACAAATGATCCCAAACCAGCTTCTTCGAACCTTCTTCGTACCGTACGCTCACTTACGGTTACACCCCGTACTGCTTCTAACTCATGTCGGGCTTGGAAGGCTGTCAAACGGGGGTTCCTACGTACACGAAGCCGAATGAAACGGTCATCCCTACTCGAAGGGCGTCTTTTTCTGCCTTGTCCTGCTTTTCTCACATAAGTACCGGTCTCCCTGAACCATTGGATACTGCGATGGATCGTTGAAACTGGTCGATGAAGATCTCTGGATATCACTATGTAGGTTTGACCATTTCTTCGCATTTCGAGTGCCCTGGCAATCTCCGTTGGGTCTAAGTCAGGCATAATTCAGTCCTCAACTCCAAAAAGATACGCGATTAAAAAAAACTAACAAAAAACAGTATTTCAATGAAATTTTAAATCAAACTCAGAAGGAAGAAATACTCGAAGTTCGCTCCAGATAAGGTGTATTTGAATAAAATTAAAACAATTGCATAAAATGTGATGTTCAGTTGTTTTCTTAATTTGAAAATATTTCTTTTTAAATTAAATGAAGTATAAACCAGCCAGCAACCTTATTTGATACTGATATCAAACCTTTATTTTATGTTCCGCTAAATATGCCGGTGTGTTTATTATTTGCTATTAAAATGAAGTATGAAATGTCACCAATGTTATTTATACCTAATTATAACGAAAACAGAAAACTTAACTAAATTGTTATATTTACACTAACTAGTAACTACTATCTACATTTATTTAAATAAAATTACAACGAAAACACAAAACTTAAGTAAATTGGTATATTAAATATTTACACTAACTATTACAATGTATGTAGTATCGCAATCCCCCAAGCCACCAAGCTGTGATTTGTAGCAGTCACTGTGAATTTAAGTAGCAGGTGTGACGTGTGATAGCGCATTTCATGTGATTTTTCACTTGCTACTCGTGAAATGTTCCATGCCTACAGCACAGTGCACACGAGTAATCAAATCAATTTTATTTGTCATCCATGAATGATCAATGAAATCAGCAGCGACAAAATCCGAATTCCGATGGCTAACGGCTATCCCATACCCATAGACTCAGAGCCCAGAGGGCTACCGGGCACCGGCTGGCGGCTAACCATTGTGATTGCCTAACCGATTCACGATTGCATACATGTAAATTGTAATTTATAACATGTCGCGCCATCAAAAACAAGTGCACTACATTAGAATTAAAGATTCTACTTTGATTATATGTAATCAAAGAGATTCTAGTGAAGTTTTATACCTAATTATTTAAAGACCTTTATGCAGGTAGGTATTAAGTACCTATATAAGCTATAATATTTTAAATAATTATTAATTTAATTATATCTTTTATTCAAAACTCGGGTCGCTCTCTTCGCCCGGGTTCACCTCTAGAAAAACAAATTAACCCTCGAGACCCGTATATTTTTCCGGTATAAACTATAAATGTAGCATATGCGCTATTCCAGACCATATTAATCTATCTGTGCCAAATTTCATCTAGATCGATTCAACCGTTTTGGCGTGATTCGTCATTCGAGTAACAAACATAGTAACATACATACGTCGTAGAATAACATGTCTGAAGAACTGTTATCACAACATCGGTTAAACGTATATCATCAATTATTGCAGATTTATTATAGGACTAGCGATTCACCATCGCTTTGCTTGGGTTCGCCCCTAGGTACGTTTTGACGCTGTCCATACATAAGTATGATGAGTTTTATATCCCTTACTTGAGAAATGATCGATTCCCCATACAAATTTTCACACGGTTAAGAGATGATTTCCGGGATAAAAACTATTGTATGCTTTTCCCAGTCTAAAACTAACTCCATACCAAATTTCATCTAAATCTGTTCGACGGATTAAAGTATGAAAAGGAAACTGTTACTTTCGCATTTATAATATTATAACAGGAAAATCTAAGATAATAATAGGAGTTATCATATACTTATATTTTGATGTATGTAAAAAGAATAAAATATTACTATGTTTCTTTTCATAAAAAACTATCACGACAATCTAGCACTAATATGTATTAAGCTAATATTAGGTCTTTACCTATGAAATTGCTGTTTAAACTAAAATAACACAAAGTCAAAAGTCATTTTTTTATAAATATTTTTTATTTTATTTAATATAAAAATATGCACCCCTGCCATCGATGCATATCTGCCAGCACAGTTGCAATTTTTCAATGCCCTTCTTGAAAAAGTCAGGTATTAAATCTGTCCACAATTTTGCCACAACCTGAAACAAATCAGATTACCTTTCATAAATTGTGATAACGTTACTACGTAATAACACCATGCTGAGACCACCAAACAGTTATCATTACCTTTTTATTGGTAAGCTTTGCTTTAGGATACAGGTTTTTCTCGATAGCTGCATTTTTCTTTTTCTTCTTTATCTTCATCTTTGTAATATTTAGTCTTCATCTTCTTTGCAATATTTTTTAAGGATATTTGTTGTTTGTTCTTCATTTGCATAATTTTTTCTTTTTTCCTCTTCATTTTTTTTTGCAATATTCAATCTTCATCTTCTTGGGCTAAATGCAGTTGTCTTCTTCGTCTTGATATTTATTCTTCATCTTGCTATATTCAGGTTTTGGTTTTAACTTGGTAGTTGCAATCTTCAGAGTTTATTTTATTGGTAGTTTTTAGTGTTTTCATCTTGGCAGTATCGGTCTTCACTTTCATAGTAGTTTTCGGTCATCATTTTCGCAGTCTTCGGTTTACATTTTTGTAATCGTCGGTTTTGATTTTCGTAGCGTCTGTAGTCCTCGGTCATTTAGTCTTTGCAGTCTTCGGCCTTTATCTCCGCTGTCTTCGGTCATTATCTTTGTAGTCTTCTGCCTTCATCTTCCCTGTCTTCCGTTTTCATCTTCGCAGTCTTTGGTGTCCACTTTAGTTGTAGTTTTCGGTCATAATCTTCGCAGTCTGTGGTCTTTATCTTCATAGTCTTCGATCTTTATCTATGCAAACTTCAGTGTTCATGGTCGTTTTGGTCATCATTCAGTTCAGTTAGGTCTTTGATTTTTAACTTCGTAGCTTTCAGTCTTCACCCTTGTTGTATTAGTCATTATTTTTGCAGTCTTCGGAGTTTATTTTCGTTGTAGTCTTCAGTGTTTATCTTAGCAGTCTTCAGTTTTTTATTTTGGCAGTTGTCTGTCATCACCTGGCAGTCTTCTGTTTTAATCTTGGCATTTTTCTGTCTTCATCTAGCAGTCTTTATCTTGGCAGTATTCGGTTTTTATCTTGGCAATGTTTGTGTTCACCTTCGTAGTAGTTTTCAGTCGTCATTTTCGCAGTATTCGGTCGTCATTTTCGCAGTATTCGGTCTTAATTTTCGCAGTCTTCATCTTCAGTCTTCGGTCTTCATCTTCACAGTCTTCGGTCTTCATCTTCATTCTTCGGTCTTCATCTTCACAGTCTTCAGTCTTCATCTTCGCAGTCTTCGATCTACATCTTCACAGTCTTCGGTCTTCATCTTCGTAGTCTTTGGTCTTCATTTTCGTTGTCTTTAGTCTTCATCTTCGCAGTCTCTTCATCTTTAGTCTTCTATTTTCATCTTCACAGTCTTTGGTCTACATCTTCACAGTCTTCGAAGTCTTAGGGTCTTAATCTTAGTAGGCTGGTATCTTCATTCTTTTCGCAGTTTTCCGTTTTCATTTTCGTAGTCTTCTTGATTTTTAACTTCGTAGCTTTCAGTCTTCACCCTTGTTGTATTGGTCATTATTTTTGCAGTCTTCGGAGTTTATTTTCGTTGTAGTCTTCAGTGTATAACGATATAAGATAACTTAGCAGTCTTCAGTTTTTTATTTTGGCAGTTGTCTGTCTTTACCTGGCAGTCTTCTGTTTTAATCTTGGCATTTTTCTGTCTTCATCTAGCAGTCTTCGGTCTTCATCTTCATTCTTCGGTCTTCATATTCACAGTCTTCATCTTCGCAGTCTTCGATCTACATCTTCGCAGTCTTCGATCTACATCTTCGCAGTCTTCGGTCTTCATCTTCGTAGTCTTCGGTCTTCATTTTCGTTGTCTTTAGTCTTCATCTTCGCAGTCTCTTCATCTTTAGTCTTCTATTTTCATCTTCACAGTCTTTGGTCTACATCTTCACAGTCTTCGTTCTACATCTTCGAAGTCTTAGGGTCTTAATCTTAGTAGGCTGGTATCTTCATTCTTTTCGCAGTTTTCCGTTTTCATTTTCGTAGTCTTCACTCTTCATCTTCACAGTCTTCACTCTTCATCTTCAATCTTCTGTCTTCATCTTCGCAGTCTTCGGTCTTTATCTTTGTAGGCAGGTCTTCATTCTTTTCGCAGTCTTCTGTCTTAATCTTCACAGCCTTCTGTCATCTTCGCAGTCTTTATTCATCATTTTCGCAGTCCTCAGTCTTCATCTTCGCATTCCTCGGTCGTCATCGTCATAGTCCTCGGTTTACATCTTCGCAGTCCTCGGTCTTCATCTTCGCAGTCCTCGGTCTTCATCATCGCAGTCCTCGGTCTTCATCGTCGTAGTCCTCGGTCTTCATCGTCGTAGTCCTCGGTCTTCATCTTCGCAGTCTTCGGTCTTCATCTTCGAAGTCCTCGGTCTTCATCATCGCAGTCCTCGGTCTTCATCTTCGTAGTCCTCGGTCTTCATCTTCGCAGTTTTTGGTCTTTATCTCCGCAGTCCTCGGTCTTCATATTCGCAGTCCTCAGTCTTCATCTTCGCAGTCCTCGGTCTTCATCTTCGCAGTCTTCGGTCTTCATCTTCGAAGTCCTCGGTCTTCATCTTCGCAGTCCTCGGTCTTCATCATCGCAGTCCTCGGTCTTCATCATCGCAGTCCTCAGTCTTCATTTTCGCAGTCCTCGGTCTTCATCTTCGCAGTCCTCTGTCTTCATCTTCGCAGCCCTCGGTCTTCATCTTCACAATCCTCGGTCTTCATCTTTGCAGCCCTCGGTCTTCATCTTCGCAGTCCTCGGTCTTCATCTTCACAGTTTTTGGTCTTTATCTCCGCAGTCCTCGGTCTTCATCATCGCAGTCCTCGGTCTTCATTTTCGCAGTCCTCGGTCTTCATCTTCGCAGTCCTCGATCTTCATCTTCGCAGCCCTCGGTCTATCTTCACAATCCTCGGTCTTCATCTTCGCAGTCCTCGGTCTTCATCTTCGCAGTCTTCGGTCTTCATCTTCGAAGTCCTCGGTCTTCATCTTCGCAGTCCTCGGTCTTCATCATCGCAGTCCTCGGTCTTCATCATCGCAGTCCTCAGTCTTCATTTTCGCAGTCCTCGGTCTTCATCTTCGCAGTCCTCTGTCTTCATCTTCGCAGCCCTCGGTCTTCATCTTCACAATCCTCGGTCTTCATCTTCGCAGCCCTCGGTCTTCATCTTCGCAGTCCTCGGTCTTCATCTTCACAGTTTTTGGTCTTTATCTCCGCAGTCCTCGGTCTTCATCATCGCAGTCCTCGGTCTTCATTTTCGCAGTCCTCGGTCTTCATCTTCGCAGTCCTCGATCTTCATCTTCGCAGCCCTCGGTCTATCTTCACAATCCTCGGTCTTCATCTTCGCAGTCCTCGGTCTTTATCTCCGCAACCCTCGGTCTTCATCTTCACTGTCCTCGGTCTTCAACTTCGCAGTCCTCCGTCTTCATCTTTGCAGTACTCAGTCTTCATCTTCACAACCTTCGGTTTTAATGCAGTGCTATGCAGTCTTCGGTCTTGCGATTCGTAATTTTCGGTGTCCATGGGTCATCATCTACGTAGCCTTCGGTCTTCATCTTCTTATACTTCGGTCATCGTCTTCGCAATCTTCGGGGTTCACCGTCATTGTAATTTTTGGTCTTTATCTTGTCTTCTGTGTTTTCGTATTCTTCAGTCTTTATTTTCGCATGTTTTGGTGTTGGTGCACGGTGCATCTTTGCATTTTTAGGTTGTTGTCCGTAGTTTTAGGTTGTTAGTGATATTTTCAAGCCTTTAAAATTGATCGTCGCTTCTATCTTCCGTCTGCATTCTAACGAAGTCAGTCTTGTCTTGATCTTCTATTCAGTGTTCGTTCTTTATCTTTTATTCAGTCTTCTATTTTCATCTTCTATTCGGTCTTAATCTTCTATTCAGTCTTCGAACTTAGTCTTCTCTTCAGTCTTCGCTCTTCGTATTCGTTATTTTTGTTGTTCTTGATATTCAACTTAAGTGTTCATCATTTCCATTTCGTGTTTATGTTTTTTATTGTAAGTGGTTACAATTTTTTTTATTTCTTTTTCATTGTAATTTTTTTTTATTTTTTTTATTTTTTTCATTATAATTTTTTTTATTCATTTTCTCTATAGTTTACATATTTTCCTTTTAAGTATTTTTTTTTGTATACATTTTTTTTTAATTTTGTTGTTTTTTAGGCTTCGTTTAAATTTCGTCTATTGATTTTACAGATGTGATACATTAAATTAGATAAAAAACATGATCATCATAATTTCTTTGCAGTTTATATTTCCTTATGTAAAAGAATTAGTAATATAACGTTGTGTAAAGATTGTCCTGCTCCAGTTCGTATGAGTTTTCAGTAATACTAAGCCAAATAACTCATTCTGTTCCGAATTCGGATAAAATATTTATTTGCTAAATTCTCCGTCATAATTTATTACCTTATTGTTTATCTAGGGGCTGGCTTGGTTTATTAGCTCTCTACATTAAATTAATTATTATTTTATTAACGTCTTCATTTTTATATTTATTTCAATATGTAGCTAATATATTTAGTTGAGATAACAAATTGCTCTCAGCATCTGCCAAAAAAAAAATTAAGCCTTACCGTTTCTGTAGAATTTTTCAAATTTAGCGACATCATATTCGACATATACTTCTTGCATTACATTGTTATATTTGTTATCGATTATCAAGGTAGGTACTATTCCTATGTATTATATGCTTGTTGTTTTCTTATTTCTTTTATATAAATCACATATAATATAAATTTGGTTGAAATATGGAATATCCATATGGTACAACATTATTTTTTGTATTTATACATTTTCTACTTATTTAAAATGGTATCAGTAGCAAACCTGTAAATATAGAAGTTATACATAATAAAATTATTTTTATAAATTTTAATGTTACTAAATAATTTATTCAATCAAGAAAAATGGTTTAGAAACATTATAAAATCTGAGCAAACTATTATAATAATATTTTGTATGTATTACAGTTATAACATACAATTATTCCAGAAACTGAAAAAGATTTTTATTTTATATATATTTAAATACATTTTATGGTACGTATAACATATTCAAACAATAATCCTAGCAAGGTTTTCATAGATAATTTAAATTAATAAAGAAAAATATAGAAAATAAGTAAATCTGTAAATAATGTAATTATTATGATTATAACACAACGATTAGTTTTTCGAATATCAATACATTATTGCATATTATATATTTACTTATAGTCCTGAAGATTATTTAAATTAAGAAAAATTGAGAACGAAAATATATACCTTTCTTTTCCATTATAATTTCGTTTTAAATATGAAATTTTCGTTTTTAATATGTAACGTATAAATCTTTGAATAGCTTTATTTTGCTATTTCATATGCATTATATTGTCCTTTGTTCTCTCTCCAAGTGTTAATATGGTTCCATTAATTTTATTAAGTATATTATAATATGGTCAATGGTCATGGGGCTCTATTTCATAGAAACACAAACAGGCATCTGACAGAAAGAAAAAGTTAGTGACTTCTTACCTCTGCCGCTGCTAACAATTGTATTTTTATTTAGTACGTTATGCGTTACTTATTTAGGTAAATTGTGTAGAAATTGAATAATGTTGAGATGTTGATTATGTAGAAGTTTTGTAAATTCTAGAAATTTAACGCTGCATGATTTTTGTCAGTTGATTAGGTTGATTTCATTGTATCATAAGATCAATTTCAGTAGAAAGCAGTGGTAGATGTATACAAAAGACATCTGTGAACAAACAAAATTATAAAAAATATTTACCTTTGTTCTAATTTAATAGCTTTTAGATAAATATATAAGATCACTCTTACCAAGAGCAAGCATCAACGCTGAACACGGCTTATGTGCTCTTTGAATTGACTCCCCGTAGAGAGGACCGGTACTACGGCAATAAGAACCGCATGGGATTCCCCGCCGAACTGGGGTATAGACTGAAAACGCGCCACTGGAGGCGCTGACCGGAACCGCTTCATATGGCCCGTTGAGAAGACTGACCGGCAGGGAATGTGCCGACTGGATCCACGTGCTTTCCCCGTAGAAATGGGTCGTAGACAGACGCTATCAGCCTGCTAAACAGGCAGGCAGGCTGGCAAGACGATGACAGCTGCCACCTCCCGCAGAGGTGAGGACCAGCCATGGGGTGCAGTCCGGAACCGCGTCGTAGTGCCCGCTGAGAAGCTCGACCAGCAGGCAATGCGCCGATCAGAATTGCTTGCTGATCAGGATCAAGCTGGAGGCGTTGACCGGAACCGCTTCGCAGTGCCCGCTGAGAAGACTGATCGGCAGGGAATGTGCCGACTGGAACCACGGGCTCTCCCCGTAGAAATGGGTCGTAGACAGGCGCCGTCAGCCTGCTGAACAGGCTGGCAGGACGATGACTGCTGCAACCTCACGCAGAGGTGAGGACCAGCCATGGGGTGCTGACCGGAACCGCGGCGTAGTGCCCGCTGAGAAGCCCGACCGGCAGACAATGCGCCAACCAGAATTGCCTGCTGATCAGGATCAGGTCGGAGGCGCTGACTGGGACCACTTCGCAGTGCCCGCTGAGAAGACTGACCGGCAGGGAATGTGCCGACTGGAACCACAGGCTCTCGTCGTAGAGATGGGGTAGACACGCGCCGTCAGCCTGCTGAACAGGCTGGCAGGACGATGACCGCTACCACCTCCCGCAGAGGCGAGCACCAGCCATGGGGTGCTGACCGAACCGCGCCGCAGTGCCCGCTGAGAAGACTGATCGGCAGGGAATGTGCAGACTGGAACCACGGGCTCACCCCGTAGAAATGGGTCGTAGACAGGCGCCGTCAGCCTGCTGAACAGGCTGGCAGGACGATGACCGGTGCCACCTCCCGCAGAGGTGAGGACCAGCCATGGTGTGCTGACCGGAACCGCGGCGCAGTGTCCACGGAGAAGACTGACCGGCAAACAGGCTGGCAGGACGATGACTGCTACCACCTCCCGCAGAGGCGAGCACCAGCCATGGGGTGCTGACCGAACCGCGCCGCAGTGCCCGCTGAGAAGACTGATCGGCAGGGAATGTGCAGACTGGAACCACGGGCTCACCCCGTAGAAATGGGTCGTAGACAGGCGCCGTCAGCCTGCTGAACAGGCTGGCAGGACGATGACCGGTGCCACCTCCCGCAGAGGTGAGGACCAGCCATGGTGTGCTGACCGGAACCGCGGCGCAGTGTCCACGGAGAAGACTGACCGGCAGGGAATATGCCGACTGGAACTACAGGCTCTCGTCGTAGACACGCGCCGTCAGCCTGCTGAACAGGCTGGCAGGACGATGACCGCTACCACCTCCCGCAGAGGTGAGCACCAGCCATGGGGTGCTGACCGAACCGCGCCGCAGTGCCCGCTGAGAAGACTGATCGGCAGGGAATGTGCAGACTGGAACCACGGGCTCACCCCGTAGAAATGGGTCGTAGACAGGCGCCGTCAGCCTGCTGAACAGGCTGACAGGACGATGAATGGTGCCACCTCCCGCAGAGGTGAGGACCAGCCATGGTGTGCTGACCGGAACCGCGGCGCAGTGTCCACTGAGAAGACTGACCGGCAGGGAATGTGCCGACTGGAACCACAGGCTCTCGTCGTAGAGAATGGTCGTAGACACGCGCCGTCAGCCTGCTGAACAGGCTGGCAGGACGATGACCGCTACCACCTCCAGCAGAGGTGAGCACCAGCCATGGGGTGCTGACCGGAACCGCGCCGCAGTGCTCGCTGAGAAGCCCGACCGGCAGGCAATGGATGAGTCGTAGAGCAGGAACACGCCGTTCAGCCTGCTGAGAAGGCAGGCTAGTCCGATGACCCCTAGCACCACCGGCCGAGGTGAAGACGAGCCAGTTACTTTTCTGAGCACACGACGTTGTGCCCGTGCTTGTTGAAAAACTGGTGGGGCAGGCAATACGATGACCGGACCGCACGGCCTTTCCCGCAGGAACGAGGACCAGGCAGTATATAGCAGAACGGTGTAATATTGCCTGCAAAGACAGATTAGGATTAGGCCGGAGGCGCAGGCTAGCTCCGCTTGGCCCAGCCCCTTAAGAAGACTGGTAAGCAGGTAATATGGTGACCAAGTATTGCAGAGGCCCGTCGCGCAGAGGAGGCCCAGGAAAGAGGCGTGGACTTGAAACGCGTCGCTCAGCCTGTCGAGAAGACTGGTAGGCAAGCAATATGATGACTGGAAATGCGTAGCAGGGCCTGTTGAGAAGACTGGCTGATATGTTATGAAGTGATGAGTTGCTCAGGCAGCAGGCTTCTGACAGGAACCGCGGTTCTTAGCTCACCTAGTAGGCTATTAGGCATATAGTACAATGACTAGGGCCGCATACCTCTCCTTGCAGATGAGGTTCAAATAATTGGCGCTTACTGGAACCGCCCGTAGTGTAGTCTGGCAGGCAGGCAGAGCGATGACCAGGACCGCATAGTACTTCTGGTAGTAGAAACGGACAGGTGTCAACCGCAACCACGACACCCTGCTGGCTGAGAAAATTAGCAGACAAGCAGGCATTATGGTGTTCGGAGGCGCGTCGCACCCGTGGTTAGAGACTGGCAGGTAGGCAATATGGCAGGACCGCAAAGCATCGTCCGCTGGTCGGAATTGCCCTGGGTTGCCTGTAGGCTGAACACGATGACCGCAACTACCTTGCATTACCCATTGAAGTCAGGCCCAGGTAAGTTGAACTAACCGGAACGTTCTGGCATTGCTCGCTGGAGGATCATCGAGCAACGCAAGATGGAACCTTTCTAGATCTGGTTTCGAAGGAATTTAATACTAATTTTAAGCCTTAATAGCATAGCAATTTATTATGGTAAATTCGTATATTATGTTAGCGTTAGATTCGTATATTAGGTACATAATATATATAAAAATGATATTTTCATAAAAGGAATACTGAGCAGATCGCGCTATGCCTTACAAAATATTGGTCTAATACTCGTATAGTGCTTACCAAAATGAGCAGCTACAATGCAGTTACCTCTTAAAACTTGTCTTATGCATTTTTATTATTTACCAGCACCAGAAAAAACTTTTGTCATTCATGAGGAAGATTTTGTTAAACAGGAGCTCTTTAATAAAATTTCAACCATGTCGTTAACCTTTTACGTCATTCAGGAATAATTCACTTTAGATAAGCTTGGCACTTGATGCAGTTGAACGTTGCAGTCAATATTATTTACATAAAGTGTACAATCCAAAATTGCCTGGCAAAGACTTATTAAACATGGGACCTTGGCAGTCCTTTAAAAGCATCATAATATAAAAGTTATATACATATTTATATTAAAAAAAACACTTCTTATTTAAATAGTTAGTACCTATATATCTATATATATATATATATATATATATATATATATATATATATAGGTATATTATGTTAGCGTTAGATTCGTATATTAGGTACATAATATATATAAAAATGATATTTTCATAAAAGGAATACTGAGCAGATCGCGCTATGCCTTACAAAATATTGGTCTAATACTCGTATAGTGCTTACCAAAATGAGCAGCTACAATGCAGTTACCTCTTAAAACTTGTCTTATGCATTTTTATTATTTACCAGCACCAGAAAAAACTTTTGTCATTCATGAGGAAGATTTTGTTAAACAGGAGCTCTTTAATAAAATTTCAAGCATGTCGTTAACCTTTTACGTCATTCAGGAATAATTCACTTTAGATAAGCTTGGCACTTGATGCAGTTGAACGTTGCAGTCAATATTATTTACATAAAGTGTACAATCCAAAATTGCCTGGCAAAGACTTATTAAACATGGGACCTTGGCAGTCCTTTAAAAGCATCATAATATAAAAGTTATATACATATTTATATTAAAAAAAAAAACACTTCTTATTTAAATAGTTAGTACCTATATATATATATATATATATATATATATAAACATTTGTAATCAATAAATGCACATTGCCGTACCTTTTACCATACGTAACAAACTTCGTTCATTTATAAGCACTCTTTCATCTGTTAAAGATTTCCCATCAGTGTTGAACTTACAGGCTTTGGTATATTCTACGTCATTCATTTACCTATTTAATGCATTTATAGTGAGGTTTTTAGCAAGCTACACACAGATTTTCGCTAGCAGTGCAAAACTGTTTAACGTTATAAATAATTAGTGCACATTCTACTCTTCTTTGAAACTTATGTCATGCCATCCATACATCCATGTAACTATAACAGCTAAAACAGATCAAGTCACAGGAATTTCCCATGCAATAGTGTTACAACTTTGTACATCTCACCATAACGTTTAAAATAATATATTTTTTTATTGCCAAAATTCCCATATTGTTATTCAAAACTTAGTCATTATCATGTTCAATAAGTTATCTAATGTTTTGAAAAGAATATACCTCACCTTCAGTTCTTGCCTTTGCTTAGATAGTTTCCTTTTCATATTTTATACAATAAAATGACATTTTTATTTTAATATCATATTTCATATTAAAAACATTATATTAACTTCTGTTAAAAGATCTTATTATTCGTATAAAATATGTTTAATATCTTCATTATGCAATAGTGTTACCTAAATAAAATTCAAGAAGCAAAATGGTATAAGTAGTCTAGATACCTCAAACATCCACATTTAGAGGTATCTAGTAAAAATGAAAAGTATAAAATCATTTCAACTTATAAACAGTTTGAAAATCGCTAACATGCAGTACAAGTAGGGATTTTAAAATTGTATATTGTTTCACATTGAAAATACCTCATTTTCTCCAGTTATCATTCTATGCGCAAGGACCTTTTAGACGAGTTTAGTTCATTGAATTTTACGTGCTCCTAATTATACAGTTCCGAATAAAATTATCATGATTCAAATAAAATTATTTACACATCTAATCTGGACCCTTTTCCTTGTTGTAGTTGGCAATATAATCATGAATTAAGTACTGATTGTAATTTCGATTTTAAGGTTATATTTAAATGTGGTGATGGGTGAAATCTGAAAATTCTAAAAAATTATTCTCCCCTACCGGCCCCAAAGGGCAGGGCTTTAAGGTTAAGAACCACAATTGACAGACAGATATATTTGCTACTAACTCACTCTTTGTGCATGATTATGAAGTTAAATCAGATACATAATATTCAAATCTGGTTTCCTTTCTTTCTTGAAATTGATAACATAATTATTAATTGGGTGAAATCTGGAAATTCTAAATAATATTCATCCTATTATTAGCCCTGAAGGGCAGGACTATCATTATTAGGCTTAGACCCATAGCAGAGATGTATTTTCTAGTAAATCATTTGTACATGTTTTCTAGTCTTGCCTTACCTCATATCCTAAACTGGCGGATGGGACACATCCCATCACAATGAAGACTTCGATATAGATTGGTTTCGATTGTTTTAAAATTTTCGATTTGCAGGTAGTTTGAGGCTAAATAAATTTATTTTGTGTATAATATTTGGTACAATTTGTTATGTCAGGAGCATATTTGTGGGTACACTTCTTGTAGAAGGTTTCTACATTGATTGGGATTTCGATCTTAACTCGTATACGTGTCATTCAGGTCATGTCAGGACAGCTGTGAAATTTACATACAATAATCAATACTTTATTCGATTTAATAATAATTATAATATTATATACGATAAGTAATATTTGCTTACCAATTTATTCAAATTCTTTACGCTTTAGCCCTTTAAAAAACTGTCAACTTTCTTAGTCAAAGTAATTTTTTTTCAGTATCAAGATTAAAATTTAGTTTGTGTTATGAATTATGATATAGCTTATAAGTTTTATTTTTTCCTAACGTACTTTTAAGTTCATTTTACTACTACTATTACTATACATAGTACTATAAAATTTACTCATAATGTATTTTCTTACGTTCATTGTATACCTAAAATAAATGATTAACCACAACGGATCGTAGCAAAATTTTAGCAGACAACAAATGTAAGCCTTGGCTTGTATTTTTAAAAGAACCATATTGGTACCTTTGTAGGGCCGTAATTGTGCTGCTCTGCTTATATTTCGAAAGAAGTTGTGCTTCGAGAGATTCTAGTTGTCATCCATAGTTGTAGAACAATAAGTTTGCAGTATTAACATATACGAGCTATACTAGTCGAGTAGCTGTCGAGTTACCGTTTTAACGTGACTTCAATGGTTGCTTCAAATTAAAATGTTTTCACAGTGCAATATCAACCCTCTCAACTCAGTGTCGCACAGGCCGCCAGATTCCGAAATATTCCTGGAGATTACTTTAAAGCAAAGAAACAAGGCGAAAAATCGCCATAATGGCATGCAACGTATCAAATTATAATATAATAGCTTAGGTTATTCAATTATTTCATTTATATTTTGCTTGTTTATATAATTATTGAAAGTAGCTAATTTAACCATACCAGTATCGAAGTTTTAAAGTAGGTATATTAAAAGAATAGCTTCCAATAATGTCTATTGCGGTAAATGTATCATTTCGTTTGGTTTATCCCTATTAAATCTGAAATATCAACTTCCAAACATTAACCTCCATACCCTGCCTATGGCAGGTATACAATAATAATTTATCAAAAAAATAATATTGTTAATTTGATCAATTCAGTAGTACTTGATGTCCTTATAGTGATCACAAAATCAGGAATCCTTATTTGTATGACCACTTACCAGTCTTGCGTCAGTCGGTTTCTGTTACGTATGTAATAGTAACAAAATATCCGTCCATTGCTTATTTATACTGAAGTGAAAGTATGTACCTATTCATTTAATCTGTTTCTAAATCAGTTCAGCCCGCGTGTAATATAGATGATGTTATATATAAATTTCAGCCTCTGGAAGGTTGTTTTTGAACTTTTAAACGTGTTCAATCATCTTGCCACCTTCATAGAGCCAGGAAGCTGTGAAAGTGCACATATAATTCGATTATTTATAAGTCTATTTTTATGTCCCAAAACGTGGATGGCAAAGATCGATAGCTGTCACTTACCAAATAATCCTAACGTTAACGTTTGGATTGAATTATATTCAACCGAACACCTTCTAATTTAGCATTGAATACTTTGATTTTGAGTTTTTATAATTTCGTAGCATTAATCAGCCCACACGACGAAATAATTTCATAATGTTACATAACACGCCTACAATTGAATTCGATCCAATTTTCTTTTTAATTAGCCGTGTCCATTGGAAAATCCCAAGCATTGTCGAGTTACCTATAAGTGTTTATGCAGCCCAAGCGTAGGAAGAAAGGCATCGATACTTCTTTTTGATTCGTCAGCTTTGCCAGAGATACTAAACTATTTTCAGCCAGTGCGAGTGCATTCAATGTTGAGTCAGTAGCTAGCCTGTATAAAATCAATATTATTGCACAAAATTGTCCCTACATGTTCTTTCGTAATAACGATTGGATACTAATTGATATATACAACTATTATAAAGTTCAACAGTAGGGGCTATCATCGACAGTTATTTCTGTACAACGAATGACTCACCATTTTTATCTAACTTACTTGGCCGAAACCGATTATATGCGCAGATGTGTATCGATCGACCTCGCCGCTCGCCATTTGGCAGACTCCATAGTCCGTCTCCCTCGCACGGGAGACGACTGGACATGCGCAGTTGGCAACTCGACACGCCTTAAAATCTGGGACTCGAAAGAACATACAAATACGAAAAACCCGCAAGCGGGTGATTGGGTTCGATTTTAAAATGATGAAAATATTGCGCAATTTCCTAACTTTTACCTAATGTGGGCTGATACCGGTATGGAAGCATCGTTCGTGGGTCGAAAGTTCGTGCAGGGCCGCATGCCGTGCCGTTGCGTACTTAGCAGCTTCGAAATACAGCAACCGAAGTGACACCGTGGACAGCTCTCACTTTCTCAGCAAGCAGTCGGCAGCGCGACTGCTACGTCGGTCTTGAGTAAGTCGGTGATGACTCATGGAATAATACATGTCGGGTGAAATACCAATAATATTACATATGAGAATATAGAAATAAAATCCAACAATCAAATTCTTTTAAAAATATTTTATTTGTCATACTTAAACATATGTTACAATTTAATATTCAATATGAATAAACTTTAAATTCCAATCCACTATTATAATTTAATAGAAAACTGAAATATGAATTAACAATTTAAATAAATTAAACTAAATAAATGCATGATACCGTTACAAACCCATATCGTAGCTAGCAGCGACCGCGCCCCAAGCGGCAGCCAAGATGGCGGCCGTCGGATGCAGACCCACGCGAAACGCAATGGGACTGTAATTTAGAAAACATCCTACATATATCACAGATTCAATTACAATTTTTACATTACCTATTTATCCTACTTGAGTAACACATATTTGTTGGTTAATAATCGGTTTAACATTATCTAGTTCTTTGAAAAAATTATCAAGGCCGCTGAGATCATTCTTCCAGAAATTATCGATTTTTTCGCGTTGCTCCTTGGCGATTTCCTCTTCTTTGTTATTTAATCCAAGATCTGCTTGCATTTGAGCCCATCGTCTAGCACGTTCTCTTTGTTTAGTGAGTAGTTCACTTTCAGCACGGGACAAGGAGTGGCTCAAAATAGCGATTATTCTTAGGTCGCGCTTTCTCTTTGTCTTGGCATTTAAAGATTTACATTTAACTTTGCGGACCCAATTTGAAAGAGATTCAGTTTTACTTTCACAAAAGTCAACAACAGATTTTTCTTGTGTACTGTAGCCCATTTTGGATTAAAACAAGATTTAAATATTGCGGGATGAGACAATATTACACACCTGTATCAGACCAGGCACAAAGGGTTTGAAGAATGGCCGCCACTTCACTACACACGACGTCTGTTCCGCACCATGGAGAGAAATGAGCTGCGGGGCTGACGTCATGTCATCTTTTATATACCCACGCCAGCGGGGCCGCGCAACTGCGCAGTTGGAAAACAAAATGGCGGTCAACGACGCAAGACGCTATCCCCCCCCAGCAAGATGGCGATCTATGCTTGGGTACTGTTTCGAAAACATGCTGTTGCTGTTTTATAGATGAAAAAATATTTGGAATGCTATTACATAATTATGTTTATCATTTATAATTGTTTTCTATGCTGAACATACTATGAGATGACATGATGAAAAATATTTGATATTTAACTTGTTTTGTATAGTGTATAAGTAGTAATCATTTAATGATCAAATATAGATTCGATTCACTTACATATTTATAACAAAAAAATTATAAATAAACACCAAGATGTATTATATTTTTAATTTTAAACAAAATATCGTCTTTATCAAATTATCTGTTGACAACTATTTTTTCACATATGCAGTATATTTCTTCTAGAATTTACTAATTGTTTTATCTCATTTAAGAAATTCTACGATCAGTTTTGTAAAAATTGACATTCATGATTTTGTTATGTATAATATAATCCTATAAAATCCTATGGCAACAGCATGTTTCCGAAATGTTTGGGGTAGGGGAATGCAAGGGGAAGTACATAATTTTAAAGGGACGAAGGGGAAAGAAAAGGTCAATTCAATGACGGTTACTAACGATTTTACTGAAAATTTTATCTGTATTGGGGAAATATCTTAATAAAGAGAATTAAGCAACATAACATAATATATCTTTGACAAAATTTATTGTAAGGCATACCTAGATAGATATAAAGTTATAGAAAGGCCCATCTTTGATCCTTCTTTCTTAGATGTGAGGAATATTCAAATATTCTTTTTCAAAAATAGTAGTTCTAGTTATTATTCATAAGAAACCACTCTGGTAATGATAAATTTAAATGAATTAATAAGATTAGCTCGAGCAATTTGATTAGGTACTTAATTAAATTGTTAATTAATTAAAGGTACTATGGTGAAACAAAATAAATTGACTGAGTACGTAAGTACTTATCATGAAAATTCCATTAAGTAAACCTAAATATTTCGTATCCTGAAGTAATAATTTTGTTTGTTTCAAACAAAAACTTTCAAATAATAGAGTGAACAAAATAATGGTAAATGGAGGTATTATTGCCTGCCTACCTGCTCACGACACAAAACGTATTTAGGTATAGTTAATGGAAAGGATGAGCAGGTAGTTTCTGTTACTGTTACAGTAAATATTTTTAATAATAAACTGGAATAACACAAGCAATAGATAATAGTACATAATACATGTATAGGAAAATTTTTTTTTACTTTGTTTAATCTGCTTTAAATTTGATGGAGACGTCATGAACTAGATATTATGTAGGTTATACGATAATTAAGGCAGCTCAATCATTAAAGCATAGTAATTTCATGTGCCTTGTTAGTTGTTTTTTGTCTATACTAATATTATAAAGAAGCAGAATTTGTTTTTGATTTGAAAAATTCTTTTTGCATTAGATAGCCTGTTTATTGAGGAAGGCTAAAGGCTATAATATCATCTATACTAATATTATAAAACGGAGAGATTATTTCTTTATTTATTTGTTTGTATCAAATAACCTCCGAAACTACTGGAACGATTTAGATGAAATTTGTAAGTAGATAGTTTGAAACCCTGGGAAGGACATAGGAGAGTTTTTATCCCTGAAATCATCCCTTTAGGAGATGAAAATAGGGATGAAAGTTGAGGGATGTGGGAAATCCACCTAGGGAGGAAACCGAGCTAAACGAGGGTGAGTTGTCCTATGTCCTTCCCCGGGTTTCAAACTATCTTCTTACTAAATTTCATCTAAATCGGTTCAGTAGATCCAGAGATTACCTCCGACAACATCACAGTCACAATTTACAAACTTTACCTCTTTATAATATTAGTATAGATAAAATGGGTTCTTATTAATAACAAATACGGAATAATTAAATAAATGGGTAATTTTAACATGTGCTAATGATCTTTATTCATTGTATAGTACTTAAAATTTTAAACGAACTTAATTAAGGTTTTGCTTTGACGATCTATAGTAATTAGTAATTACCCCAGTAATATTTTTCAATGATTTTGTTTTCGTTCGTATTTCATTCGTCATTTATGAATAAAAGTAACATTTCTGAGAAGTGAGTATATCGTAAGTATGGAGGATAATAATAACAGACGTTTCCGTCATAGTTGAGTCACTCAATTAAAGTTAATAGGAAAATTTCTGAGTTTATGTATCTTTAAGTGTTTTTAAGGTCATTTATCGTTTGCAACTTAACACAAGATGGCGGCCTGGCGGCCATTATTATTCGTGACGTCAGAGAGTGAGCAACAATCGATAACGGCAGCTGCATAAAACGTGGGGCTTCGCTTTAGCAATATAATACAATAAAATGACCTCGTTTGTATGAGCTCAAAGTCAAAAGAACGTGTCTTTAGGAAGTAACGAACTTTCCCACATCCGTAGTGTTTGTTATTCTGCGTTGTTATTCTTATTTTTTCACTTTTAATGCCTAATACTTAGATCAAATAAAAGAGTTTTAACGTTTTGTATTTTTAAGATTTAATTAATATATTTTATAATGATAGAGATCTATTTATTAACAATGATGTTCTATTATAATATATAACTAGCGTTTTCCTGCGGCTCCGCCCGCATAGTACATTAATCACCAACATATCATATACTAAAACCTCCTCCGAAACACGGTGCATCTTATGGTATGAGTATTATTCCAATCGGTTCAGTAGTTATCGCAGCATAACCGAATAAAAAAATTGGCTCTCCTTTTATTAGTATAGAATTATAATACCTACGTTATACAGTTCACAAAACTAGCCAAAATAATATTTCGAATCCAGCGGCAGCACACATGCTCACACATTATTACGTTTTAACTTTTAGTATAGATTTCTCAGAGATATATTTCCGCAAAAAAAGTATCCTATATGTTGACCCAGCCAACCAGCAATTATCATATCAAATTTCATCAATATTTATCTAGTGGTTTTCTCGTGGTGCGTTCCCAGACAGACAAAGAATCTAAAAATTATAGATTCGGCCTCTGTATTGATAATAACGACTATTTCTTTCGATTCGATTTGATTCGAATCAGAATTTCATTATATGTATGTTAAATCACCACATTGCCAAATGATGTGAAAGGGAGAATTACGCTCTCAAAACTCAAAACTAAGTGTAAGAAAAAAAAGACGGCTAATGTTTATTGTTTATCATTGCGCATAAGTATAGGCAAAGGAATAGAAATAACGCTTGTTTGTCATAAATTAATACAAAAACAGAATTTACTTACTCGGTATTAATGTTATTGCCCTGTCTATACTAATATTATAAAGAGGTAAAGTTTGTGATCTTGTGAGTTTGTGAGATTGTGGGTTTGTGAGTTTGTGACGTTGTAGGGGGTAATCTCTGGATCTACTGAACCGATTTTCTAAATTCTTTTACCAATAAAAAGCCACGTTCTTCCTGAGTGTCATAGGCTATATATTAATCCGAAGATTGAAAAGGCTTTTTCGTGGTAGTCGGATTTGCAAAGTAAGTCGGAGAAAAAACGGTCGAACGAAAACGTTTCTTACGAACGCTGCCTTAACGATGAGAGATATATGATTATGTACTAGAGAAAAGTTGTAGAGCTTAATAATGCCTACAAAAAAGTCAGCGACGGCATATGTCTAACTTTTATGGTCACAAAAAGTAGTTTTTTATATTTAAAAAATAATTTAAATCGGTTGGTCATGTTTATTGGTCATATTATCAACAATTATGAATTCTTATCAAAATAAGTAAATTTATCGTCTAAAATATTTAAAACAAAAAACTTTTCTTTTTTACTGCATATAATTTGGACAAATGGTTAAAGAGATAATACAACATATTCGTAGGTGTGGACGAACCCGAGCGAGCTGTTTGTCTGTTTTTCTGTTTGTACGGGCTAATCTCCGAATCTATTGGACCGATTTAAATGAAATTTTGCATGGTGGTACCTTATATCCCCAAACAACATCTTAGATACTTTTCATGCCGGAAAATTAAAGAGTTTCCGTGGGATAGTTAAAAAACCATAATAACTTATACAGCTTAGTACACAACAACTTACGCACCTAATTTAGTAAAATTTGGCATGCTGACCTTATATTGCCGGTCAAATAACAGGTTACTTTTCATCCCGGAAAAATGAACGGTTCCCGTGGGATAGATCTGTTTGTGCTTTTCTAGAGATGAACCCGAGCGAAGCGAGGGTGAGCCGCTAGTTTTATATAAACACGTCTTTATTTATAACAATATAATTTAATAAATATGTATGATTTAGTATATAATGCTAGTCTTAATTAAAAGTATAATAGGATTTTTCATATTTACTAAAGTCGTAATTTGTAATTTTTATATACATTTTAAGCATGTTTCATTATATATACAGTACACTAAATATAAACACACACATTCACTCTCATATACACAATTCAAATATACATTCTTCGTCTCTTTTTTGCCTATTTTAAAATATAAAAATCTCTTACATAGTCATGTTGATCAGCCTTATAGCTTCTATAACGGTATACATCCAGCTAACCAAACTTCAGCTCACGTTGCTTTTACTCACCTGTTAATCTTTAACCCCAAGTATGGATGATATTAACTCAATAGCGTACGATGTTGAACAGCTGTCTATATCTAAATCATATTTATGCTCCCCTGAAGATGTTCCCTTATATACAGCTCATGTGAAAAACTCGTTTAAAATATTTCATGCAAACATACGTAGCATAACGTGTAATTTTGATTGTCTACTGGTATTATTGCACAGGATTAAATTTGAAGTGGACATTGTAATCTTGTCTGAATGCTGGTTAAGAAAAACTCCTGTTGTTCCCATATTAAATGGCTTCAGGGTGCATGCTTCTGCACACCTTAACCAAAATGATGGAGTTGTTGTTTACATAAGATCCAATCTGAAATGCACAGTTGAATCGACTGATATTATCGAAGCTAACAGTATCTTACTAAAATTAAACAACTGTGCAATTATAGCCATATACCGTTCACCTTCGTTTATCAATCTTAAACCGTTTATAGAATCTCTCGATAAAACTCTAAACAATTTAAATACTTATGTGAATGTTACAATTGTAGGAGATATTAACATCAATATATCACTAGATAATGACTCTCATAATAGTGATGACTATTTGAACATGCTCGCATCATATGGTATGCTACCTGCTCATCTTCTACCAACTAGACAAAATAACTGCTTAGATCATGTCATCTCTAGGTCTACAAATTGTACTGTTGCTATGGTTTTGGACTCATATATCTCCGATCATGCACCTGTTTTATTCTATTGTAACATAAAAGCACAAACACACTTGGCTAATCCAACAACTGATAAGATCGATATTCAGGGCACAGTTTCTTGTCTAGAGCAATCTGATTTATCTGCCATTTTTACATCTACTGATCCCAATGTTGTTACTGATATATTAATTGGCACAGTCTCTAGCGCTATCAAAGCGAATACTAAAATACAGTGCTTATCTAATAAACTACGAATTATTAAGCCCTGGATAACTCCTGGTCTCTTAAGATGCATTCGCCATAGGGATAACTTATATAGGAAATATAAAAAGCATCCAGACAACTTAAACTTAAAAACTATATTTTTGCGTTACCGTAACTTTTGTAATAACCTACTCAAAAAAAAAAACGAGAATATGAAAAGAACGAGTTCAATAAAGTCAAAAACAGTCCAGGTAAAACTTGGAGTCTAATTAAAAAAATTGTTAATATGGGCCAAAAAGAAAGAAGCTGTTTGGAACTGTTGGATATATGTAATCATCCATTGGAATCAGTAAATTCTGTTAATCAGTATTTTGCAAACGTAGGTAAAAACTTAGCAGACAATATAACACGTAAACAAGAGACCTCGTATGATATTGACTTTCCTAGACTTAACTATCTAGATACAATGAGCCTATATACAGTGACAGAAAAAGAAGTAAAAACAGCTATCATCAGTCTTAAAGACAAAACTGCCTCTGGTTGGGATGGTATACCCACATCTATTGTTAAGGCCACTGCGCATATTCTTATTCCGATCCTTACCAGATTATTCAATCTTTGCATCTCAAAAGGAATCTTTCCACGTTCTTTTAAAAAAGCAGTTGTACGACCTATTTACAAAAATGGTGACAGGAGCAGTATCTTTAATTATAGGCCAATATCTTTACTTACCACTTTTTCTAAAATTTTTGAAAAAATTCTCAACAAAAGGCTACTTATGTACTTGAATAAAAAAAACATCTTAGCAGAAAATCAGTTCGGTTTCCGTAGTGGTAAATCAACAGAAGATGCAGTTCTTAATCTTTCAGCTCAAATAACTAAAAATTTTGATAATAAAGTTAAATCGATTGCTGTTTTTCTGGATCTTGCTAAGGCTTTTGATACTGTCTCCATACCTCTTTTGTTGAATAAGCTGGAAGGTGTTGGAGTTAGAGGCCTTGCATTTAAAATTTTCAAAAACTATCTTGAGGAACGTCAGCAGTGTGTATGCATTGATAACTTTAGAAGTGGGGAAGAATCTGTTAGTTTCGGTGTCCCTCAGGGAAGTGTTCTTGGTCCTACTCTCTTTCTTATTTACATAAATGAGCTCTGCATGCTGCGCCTACCTAATAGTAAACTTTTAGTCTACGCAGATGACACTGTACTTCTTACTAGCGGTAAAACATGGGCAGAAGCTCAGGCTTCCACAGAATTATCGCTAAGAGCTATTATAAGTTGGCTTGGTTGCAATCTGCTCACTCTTAATGTGGATAAGACAAAATACCTTACCTTAGCTCCCTCTACTCTAGTACAGGCTCGGCCTTGTTTGACAATTCGTGCACACGTCTGTTCACTGACTATTAAGGAGTGTAACTGTCCCGTGTTAGAAAAAAGTTCCAGTGTTAAATATCTTGGCGTCATAATTGATAGCAATATGACATGGAGACAGCAAATCCATTCAGTAGCGTTGCGACTAAGAAAGCTCATATTTATTTTCAGGAAATTAAGGAATGTGGTAGATTTTCAATGTCAAAAAACAGTATATTATGCTCTGTGTCAATCCGTTATTTCATACTGCATTACGTGTTGGGGTGGATCTGCTAAAACGTTAATGTTGAGACTGGAAAGAGCCCAGAGAGCAGTTTTAAAAGTTATGTTCAATAAGCCAATCTATTTCCCCACGGCGGATTTATACGCTCTTAGTAATGTATTATCCGTAAGGAAAATTTTTGTTTTACAAACTGTTCTTCGAAAACACTCTGAGCTTCCTTATAACCCTAGTATATTATGTACTAAACGCAGATCCCACGCTATATGTCAAATTAATTCTGCAAGAACCGCGGTTGCAAAACGTCATTACCCATATCTAAGCTGTTTACTCTACAATAAGATCAATAAATTATTGAATATATATCCACTCACATCTTATCGTTGCAAATCTGTATGTTTAGCATGGCTTAAATCCATTACGTATGACGAGACTGAAGAACTTTTGACCATTGTTTATTAAAGAATTTGCATTGACACACACATATACACACACATACACATACACACACACTCACACATACATCATCATCATCTATTGTTTTTTAGTTTTTATAAAATACTTAGTTTAAATATTGTACGGAGGCGGGCGTTGATATCTGCAACGCAGTTTATACTTTTGCAGTATCATCGTAGCCATTGTTGTTTACTGTATACTTATAGGAATTTGATACTAAATAAATAAATTTCAAATAAAAAAAAATTCAAATTTCAAATTTCAAATAATGCTTGATATTGTCTTAAACCGGCTTTCATAACAGATGGATAGATTTAAAAATACAAAAAATAATTTAAATCAAATTTAATCGTTTATTATTAAGAACAGAATTAAATATACAAACATTAGAACATTTCTGTACAAGAAATACCTAACAATCAATAATATTAAATAAAATAACAATTATAGTAGCAGTAGGTACCTATTTCTAAGCTGGGAACGCATCACGAGAAAACTAATGGACAGATTTTAATGACATTTGGTATGACGATAGCTGGTTATCCGGGTCCAATATATATGATACTTTTTACTGCGGGAAAAAATCTCATCTCTGAGAAATCTATACAAAGCACTAACCGTTAACGCCCGAGCGGAGCGAGGGTGTGCGTCTAGTATATTATAAAAATAAAAAACTTACTTTGAAACATATGAGTTGAATATGTTTTTATGATCGCCTCTTAAAAACCTTTATTTTGATACTATATACGTAGGATTGGAAGAAAAAAAATTTAAAGGCAAATTAGCGCGTAAAATCCGCCATGTGAATTTTTAACTATTTCTTTAAACGCCTATGACACTCATGTTATCAAGACAAATCTAGACTTATGCTAACCGTTTAGTAATTACGAGGGAACTTCTTTGGGTTTCGCCGCAATCGGGAAAAAAGAGACTAATGCATAAATTAGATAATAATTTAATGCAGTTTGCATTTAAATAGTTAAATAAATCAGTAAAGCAAAACAGTTTTCAGATGCTATTTTTCAATATGGAATTAAAATTATTTTAATTTTCCATGTAACGATTTCTTTAAAAGACCAAATGATTAAAAAAATATTAAGTAGTTAATTTCACTCCCATTTTAAGAATAACTTTATCTCATAAATATTATATTTAAATTAAATAAGTAATCGGAAATTGAATGAAAACTGTAATTCCATCGACGCGTAGTTTTCTATTTTTTTTAGGTATAGTTTTAATACTCCTTCTATATAAACAACCAGATGTTATTCCATACTAATATTATAAATGTGAAAGTGTGTTTGTTTGTCCTTCTTTCACGTCGAAACAGAGTGACGGATTGGCGTGATTTTTTGTGGAAGTTGGAGGGCTCTCCAGAGAGACGGCTACTTTTTCCCGCGGGAGTTTATCTCATTCCACGGTTAAACACGTTATAATACAACCCAAAAAAATATTTATGATCAGTATTACTTGAAACTTGATATTAATGATCTTCAATACAGTTAAATAAATACGTGTGTAAGCATTTTTCGAAATTAATCCTATAAGGGAGTAAAATAGGGGATGTAAGTTTGTATGAAACCTACCTTTTTAGTTTCTTTGTAATTTTAGCGCCAGCGAAGCCGCGAGTTTGCAAGTGTATAATAAGTTTTTTTGTACTTGTTGGAATAGAATAAAGTAAAACGAAAGTTTGAGTAACGTATTCCTTTATTTTAATAAATTAGTTACAATTTTATAGTAACGTAATACTTTAAAAATATACACATTCTTTATAACTTCTACGTTGTAGCGTGCGACATTATCAATTTCTGAAACAAAATATATTAGATAGTAAAAATGATGTATAGAAATAAGTCGGTTTAATATTTTAGATTTATTGCTTTTTAGGTATATACATAATTTAAAGGAAAATAAAAAAAATTCTGTTATAGACATATTTTTACTTTATTTTCAAGAATTTTAATAGATATACATAAATTGTTATTTAAGAAATTATTGAGATGTGTTTCATTAATTGTATTAAATAGCAATAATTCTTCTTACTGTAGGTACTTTCAAGGTAGTCCATACAAGGTATTTAACATAAGAGCTATGCCATCTTTCTTCACCCTATTAGATCCTTACTTTTAGATCCAGCAGTTTTTGTACTAGGTAGCTTTATAAATATTAACTTAGATATAGGATCATAGTATATGAATGACCAGAATTCCCAGTTTTTTCCGATTTAATTCACAAAAATCATTAAACTGCTAGCTTATTTTCACAAAATATATTAACTTCACAAAATAGGTATACACTGTATTTAGACTATAATCTTCATCGATAATTAATATTGGTAGAAATCTTATGATATAAATCCGTAGAGTAGTTTCTGAGGTTAGCCCAGACCTCTAGACTACCCCCCCAACGTGCGTTCACCTTGTAGGGGGGGGGGGGGGCAGGCAGTAGTGCCCGGCAATACAGCCCGGCGCAAAGCCAAGAAACGCACAGGGAGGTGGCCCTCTTCGGAGGGCGGTGTACCATGCGGGTTGCTCCTGGTATTTCTCTGACAGCAGACCTTGGAGCAACCCCGTGGTTGTTCTGGTCTGCTTCGGCAGACCTGCCGTCGGGGCGTCGTAGTTTAATGCGTAAGCGATCCTGCGACGCCCCATTAAGACGGGGGAAGGCTTTGTTGGGTTTTAGTGGGTAGTACTGGCTTTGCCGGTGAGTCCCACACCTCGTACATTTCCCAACGTTAAAAAAAAAGACCTCTAGACTAAGGAATAATATAGACCGAGTGTTATAAAACTAAATAGAAAATATGAAGCCAAACAATAATGTGTTAAAATAATCTATATTTTTTTTAAAACAGTTTACAAATATTAATAGAATACTTATTACTGTGATAAGTAAATAAATGTTAATAAAAAATTGCAAACGGATTTTATTACAATAAAAAAAGCTAATGCTTTTTAAAAGTTTTTTACAGGTGGTGAGAACTAATGCTTAAAAAATAGTAACGAATGTAATATTATTTTTGTTATTAATTATATTTTTCATATTTTCTTTTCAAATTGACGACGTATAACAAAATTCCCTAATTTTTAAAGAAAGTAAACGAACTTTTCGGCTAAATCGAGAATGGTAGCATAAACAGCATAAAAATGCCACTATTTTTGACTTTGACATTTTTTGGCGGACTTTGTATACTTCTTCAGTCTGAGGCCCAGACAAACACAACCTTAGCACTTTTGGGCGCAATAACTTATAATACCTTGTACTGATATCTATACATATAATAAAACTGTATAGGTCGACTGTATGTACATAGAAAAAAATGCTAAAAACCGAGTCGATGTAAGAAGAGAAATCCAGATTTTTTCAATTTTTTATTTCTCCTGTCTATTTGTCTGTTTGTACGGGCTAATGTCCGAAACTGTTGGACCGATTTAAATGAAATTTTGCATGGTGATACCTTATATCCCCGCTCAACATTTTCGATACTTTCCATCCCGGAAAACTAAAGAGTTCCCGTGGGATAGTTAAAAAACGATAGTAACTTATACAGATTAGTACACAAAAACAACTGATTGAATTTTAATGAAACTTGACAATACGAGTAATATAGTTCATACCTACATCAGAATAACAAATAGGCTATTTTTATCCCGGAAAAATGTACGGTATCCGCGGGATAGATTTGTTTTCGTTTATCTAGAGGCGAATCCGAGCGAAACGAAAGTGAGCCGCTAATTAGAAAAAAAAGTTTCACCTTGATAGGTTGTATAGCGTTAGTTATCTGCAGACCCACGCTCCTCGCGAGGACGAATGGCGGCAGGTCCAGCCCGTACAAGCGGTATAAGGCATCGATGGCCAACTGTGTGGGCACATTGTGTCTTTGACGGGAACTTTCATATTTTTCCATCCAATTGGGATGTGCTGAAAAAAGAAAAAAAATTTAGCAGTCCGAATAACCACTGTTGGGATTATAAAATCCCGACATTTCGTATGCTTCACAGCAATCATGGTCACGGGAGAGACTATGGTTGAGATTTCTCAAAGGCAATATATACTTGTTACAGACACAGACCGAGCCTACCCACTATTTTACAAAACCGACAATTTCAGAAACGTATGATCTTATCACTCTGCATCTTCTACCGCATTTATCACGGGGAGTATTCCGAGGAATTGTTCGGACTGATCCCGGCTGCTGAATTTTATCATCGGACATCGCGCCAAAATAGTAAATTCCATCCACACCACCTCGATGTCCACAGTTCCAGAACAGTGCGATTTTTAAGGCATTTTCTGCCCAGCACAACCACTTTGTGAAACCAGCTATCGCCGGCGGTCTTTCCGAAGCGCTACGACCTGGCCACCTTCAAGAAGAGAGCGTATTCCTTCCTTAAAGGCCGGCAACGCATCTGCAAGCCCTGCGGTGTTGCAGATGTCCATGGGCGGCGGTGATTACTTTCCATCAGGTGAGCCTCCTGCCCGTTTGCCCCCTTAGTCCCATAAAAAAAAAACGTCGGGAACCAAATATCAACATAAATCCGGAAATAATCCGAGAAGATAGTTTTGTTGAAAATGTCAAATATTCGCGTAAATTTAAGAATGTATTATTGCTTTTTCTCATGGCAAGAGGTAATAAGGAAATATATTGTTATAGGCACATGGGTAGCGACAGCATTATTTTCAGGAGGATTGAGCTGTGTGTTCACATTCACCTGCTAACTAATTTTTAAAAGATTATTTATTTCTTTAAATGTTACTATAATATATTTTTCTTCATGGCCAGGGGTGCAAGTGCATCTCCCTCCCGGCGCCCATGGTTATATATTTTTGTTACCTTGTGTTTACGCCATTCCTAAGGGCCCTAACGTTAATCTATAAACCTTCCTCAATAAATAGGCTTTGAAATGCAAAAAGAATTTCCCAAATGGAACGAGTATTACATATATACTATATTAACACGTTCGAACAAACAATCTAATAATAATAGTATAATATTACTTATATCTAATCCCGTATAGAGTGACTCTTCAAGAAAATCTGTAATATCTTTTATGTCTCCAAAACCCAGGTTGACACCCTGGCCAGCCAAGGGATGGACTCGATGAGCTGCGTCACTGTAACAAAACATTTTTTTTTATCAAATAACGATATTTTCCTAAAATTAACCTACGAACTACAAACGAATATTTGTTTTATTTTTTATTTGGTTTGTTTGATTTAGTTATATTTCTATAAACACTATGAAATTTGTTCTTAGGTTATTTTTTTAATCGTTAATCCTTATTTAACTCAGACTATGTAAACCATTTTCTATAAACGCGCCGTTGACAAAAAATGAAAAATGCAGATTAATCTTGCGTTCCTATCTATTTAAGATAAGCGTGTTTCCGCCTACCCCGCATCAAACGCGTCTCCACTGCGATAAAAAACCGTTGTGTGAATACAATTTTTTTTGAACAAGTGTATTTGTACACTGATTACAATTGACTTAATGATGCCCTTACAGTATACAATATTTTTTCTTTATTTCGATTGGATGAAAAAATAAAAAAAAAACTGAAAAAAGTGCACTATTTTTGCATTAAGGGTCTGCTATGAAATTATAATTACTTATGGTTTATTGTTTAAGATATTTATTTTCCTAAAATAATAAATTCACTTACAAAAGAAATACAAAGGAATCTTAAAACTAGAGAGTAGTGTATAGTATAAAAAAGTATATCTTAAGGAATTACAGAATTAGTTAGCCAGGTAAGCATACATCACGTAATACTATACTAGTACAGATGCCTCATCCCATACAAACAAATCGAACAGCGCTAATTCGGGCCATTTTTCGGGCAATTTTTGTTTGCAAATTAATGTTTGAATAGATAATTATAGATGTCGTTAATTCGCAAATAGTTTATACTGTTTTATTTTATAAATATGTTGCAAAACTAACGAATTGCAAATATTGTAAAATAATTCTGCATTCGAAAAAAAAACAGTAAATTCAACAATTTTTAATCATGATAAACGCCATCCGTGAATATACACTACAAACCCATCATGTGATTGCTGATATTTCAGTAATGAGTAAAATTACGCAAATGCGATATATGAGCGCATTTTTTCATTCCCTTTCACTTAGCATATTTTTTAAAACAATAATATACCTTTTTGGGATCTATTTTATTATCTTTGTTAATTTAACACAACTTTAATAACAAATCGATATATACAACGTCATCTATTGACATTTATTTGAACTAATTTTTCTTTGTTCGTAATGGTACCCCATACAAGTACTAAACTACTAATACTTACGAGTATTGTGGGTAAATAAAAGTTTTTGCAATCTAACTTACCCAATCAATGCAACTCCAGGAGAAATATACCGTGTGCTATGTCCAAAACCCAATGGAAATGCCGCTCTTGATCCTGGAACTATGGACTTCACACTTGGTGGTAATTGTCTTTCTGCACCGTCTGGGAGACCCACCTTCTTTAGCATGGAACCGACCCAGGAGGTACAGGCGTCTACTGCACTGCTCCTAGGATATTGCTTCCACTGGAAATTGATCAATTAGTAAAAGTGAGTAAGAATAGCAAAGATAATGTTTGTTCATCTTGTCGTCGACAATCCAGACAGATGTTAAGTCAAAGGATAAACTGGGAGGTGGCCCACTTCGGTGGGCGGTATATCATGCGGCATGCTCCTGGTACTTCCCTGAAAGCAGAGAATGCTGGTGGAACAACCCCATGGTTGTTGTGGCTGCCGTCACGTCGGTCCGTCGTGGTTGTGTGCGTAAACGATCCTGCGACGCTCCAATAAGACGGAAAGGTTCAGTCAGATTTTAGTGGGTGGTACTGGCTTTTCTGACCGGTCTTATGTACTCAGGTGATATGCGTAAAATTTCATGCGTAAACATTTCCCTACGTTAAGAAGAAGGCAAAAGGGGAAATATGTGATATTCGAGATAACGAATTTTAAAATGGTTGTTCAAAAACAAAAATACATTTTGAGTCATGGTTATGAATACATATATTGTATTCAGATAGAACTATCCCATATGCTACACGCGCCAGCTTAACCATTCATGAAGTATGATCAACATAAAGTAAGATTTTTATATTTGATACTAATAATTTTTAGATTAAAAGAAGCATACATACCTATGTCACTCTCAAGCCATCCGATGTTTAAACTTGAGAAATGATGATACAAACTTTCATCCTCTATATTTGGAGCCCCTTAAGTTTTATTTTTGCTACAAATCTATCATTATACCAAAATTCGTCAAAATGGATCCAGCGGTTTTTGCACGAACAAGTAATAACAATATGCATACATCATACTTAAGGCGTGACGTAATTCTACACAACACATTCTTATTTCAGTCTTGATGATCTTAACGAGCAAAATATGAAATCAGAAAGATCTTGGAAACTTATGTAAATAAGGAAGACTGTGTCAGAAGAGTAATTTAATTTTAAAATTTATTCAATAAGTTTTCATAAGCGAGGAAAAGTTATTTAACTGTAAATGTAACTTCAACTTACCAATGCGTCATTTAGTGCATCAACAAACCTCTCTTCTGGTAAGTTTAACAAGTCTTTAGCTTGAGCGTGCGTCATGGACCAGACGAGAGACGAGCGCGTAGAATCCAAAGGAAGTAAAGCAACCGGTCCAGTCGGTAAAAACCTTTGCCACGCTGTTGTGTTTTCCACTTCCTGAAATACGAATGAACAAGTATGTCAATGCAGAGCTCCCAAGTCGACGCAAGACTAATACAATTATTATATTACTCAGAATCTACATTATTAACTGTTTTTTTTTTATTTTTTATATGTATGTTTACCGATTACTCGGAGACGCCAAAACCGATTTGGAATTTTTTTTTGTTTCAATGGGTATACTTCCCAGATGGTCGCATATAAATTTTATTGAAATCGGTCGAGCGGTTTTTTTAAAATTACTAATAAATAATTAATTTTAAAAAAACCGCTCGATTAATAAATTGCTTAATCGAACATGTTATTAAAAAACTTTCTTCTAACAAATTATGCTGCTTATTACATCTACCCTAAAAATGGACAAATAAAAACATTAAAAAAGATTAAAAACCGACTTCCAGGCGCTAAAATTTAAAAAATAACTAAGCGGGGATTTCATTTAGAATAGATACCTTAACAGATATTTTCGAAGTTTTTTTTTAAGTTTTTATTTTTCCATTTCTAGTGTAGACGTAATAAGCAAGTAATTTGTAAGAATTTTTTTTAATAACATATTCGATTAAACAATTTATCTAAAAAATATATGGTGAAGGTCTTATTTGAGCCCGGCAATCCAGCCAAGCGTAATGCCAAGATACACCTAGTGAAGAGTATGCGTAAATGGATTTCTCAACTTTAAAAGTTGTAAGTATGGATCTTTGTTACTCTTTCACGCGAGAACGGCTGAACGGATCTCGATGAAATTTTGCACAGAGGTAGATTATAGTCTGGAATAACACATAAGACTACTTTTTATCCCGGAAAAATATACAGTTCCCGAGGGATAGATTTGTTTTTGTAAATATTTTTCAAATACATATAACAGAAAATAATCCAATAGGCAAAGTACTACTAAGAAATATTTTCTTAAAGTGTCGACAATTCTGTATTGAAAGGTAGTTCTTTTATAAATAGAATATGTAGCATTAGTTATTAGATATATTAAGTTGTCATTACTTTTTTCAGAGGGTAGACAGAAATAACAAAGCGACATTACAATTTAATGTTCTTTTTTCAGAAATGCCGTATGCAGGATGGCAATTTCCATCTTATCTGGTTATTTTGAGCGGCTCAAGAATATCAATAGTGCATGGTCAATGCAAATTTTTATTCCGGGAATCTAAACTTTGTCATCTGGCGTATAGCCTATGGCAGCTAGATAAAAGGCGTTATGAGTTATGACAACTATCTTTTATATTGTAAAACAAATGTTAGCGTAAAACATTAAAAATTTGCTACAGCGAGTATATTCACTGAGTTGCAATTCACTGAGATACATTAATTTAATGAATATTTCAAAATATTCCAAGAAGTATTAAAATTTTAATAAAAAAATCACGATTTTCTATATTTCAATGCGTTATATCATTTATATAAAGATTACCTCTGCTAGATGCAATGTCGCAACGATTCCCATTTGGTCATAGTTCCAGGAAACATATTGTACGCCCATTGCTTCACGGACTGCTGATTTCGCACCATCCGCCCCGATCTGTAATTGATCATAAAAAAATGTAAATAACTATGATTTCAACTGAAAGTATGGTATGACCACTACGGTCTTGTTGCCAGTAAAGTCTCTATAGACCATAAGTTATCTTCACAAAAGAAGTATGTTTTACTCGTATCATATTCCTATATATTTGGATCTTTGTAAGCATATAATATGATATTTAAAACTATTCAATGCGTCAAAACAATATCTTATTATGTAATCTAAGGCACCTACTTTACTTTTATTATTCAGACCAACCAACCAACCAGCAGGTAAAACCACGGCCAGCAGTTTATTTATAAAGATGAAAAGGGAGTTATTTTACAAAATATGGTTATTTCTATTATATTTCAGGCGAACGTACTTTAATCATACAACATCTTTTAATAATAAACAAACGGCCAAATGTTAATGATTTAAAACAAATGCTCCCTGAGCGCGTTATTCTATAGAAACAGCAAAATATTCTCGACGATTGCAATGCTTTTATATTTTATAAGTTCCTTCGAGTTACTGGACTTGGTACAGTAGTTTTTAGATTTCGTACATCGAACGACTTTTAAATTGTTTGCGAAAATTGTGTACAGTGAAATGGATATATACGAGTATTTCTTTATTTAATAATAGTATAATATATAATAAATAATATAGTATCTACAGCTTTTATTTGTTAAATGAATAGTGTTTTTATAAAATACAAATTTTAAATTATAATTATAAATTTGAAAAACATTAATTACCAAAAAAGGATGTGAATGGTTGTATGGATATTTAAATTTTTCGCTTTGGTTTATTACGATTTTAGTTGGAAAATAAAAAAGTAACGAGAGCGTCGCTTTGATTTAAATTTCCCGTGAACAGACCAACTTCTTTGATTTCTGAGAAAAATCTGGCTAAAAATGTTAATTTCCGACGTTTTCCGGCCAATTGGTTGTGTTAAAAGTAGAGCGCAGTGCTATTGGTGCCAATGGGGTTAAATAAATGTATATTTTGGATGCAAAGGTGCACGTGTTGATGATAAATACATTACAATACTTTATAAGAAACGAGTGGATTAGTTCAAAGAAAACTTTAAACTCTTGCACGTTATGTTGAGCGACGCGGTCGTCGAAAATGGTCAGGTAAGATAATATATTGAATATACCCACATCTGTTACTAATACGCGATAGTTTAAATAATAATATGTATTTTAGTCCTTTTTAAAGTGCCATTACTGGGCACCAGCTTCCATTTAATGGGGGCAATTCAGGTAAAAAGAATTTAAAAATCCTTTTCATTTAATCTGTTCTTTAGTATTTTTTTATTTTAACAACAGCTTCAATTCAGGTATTAAAAAACAATTTAAAGTATGATTTAGATAATAATGAGTTTCTTGAAATATTTTCTTAGATTTACGCGAATGTTTGACATTATTAAATAAAACTATCTTTTCGGATTATTTCGCGGATTTATTTTGATTTTTGGTTCCCGACGTTTCGAATGCTTTACAGCATCCATGGTCACGGGAGAGACCGACCGACAGACGAGAGAGAGAAGAGTTTTATTTAATAATGAGTTTCTGGAAAGATTTTAAAGTTTTATTTATCCTAAATATTAAATATTTAGTAATACGTGTATGTTGTTTTATCTTAATTATTCTATAAAGAAATATCGAAGCGTACGGCTCGTCTGTGAGACGTGTGTCTAAACAACGGCTAAAACAGGCCACACCACAATAATGTAAACACCGCTATATAAGAGATGTAATCAATTTTCATAATGTATTATACAAAGTTATCTTGCATACGTTCGTTGTTGATAGATTGTTTGATTTACGGTAAGGAATTTATAAAAAGGATTTTCAATGCGGTTGGTACCTTTATTTTATCTGGGCTTGAAACTATTTGCCTTTTATTGTTTTTACCCGATTGCGGCGAAGCCCAATGAGGGTTATTTATTTGACATGTATGTCCGATCCTATGTTCCCTTGTAATTACTATTAACGGCTTAACCGATTTTAATAATTCATACGTCGTTAGATATCTTGATCACGCAAGTGTCATAGGCTACATAGAAATAATTAAAAATCAAAATGACCGATTTCAGACGTCAATTTGTGTCTTTCAAAAAAAATAATCAAAGGGGTTATATTAATTAATTAAATAAAGGACTATCAAGGTAGTGTTGTTAAGATTCGATCACAAAAATGAATACCTAAACTTATAACTTAAATGTAATTTGGGATGATAAATATCCGGCCAGAACTAAAATGTATTTAGAAAAGGAAATCTTCTTTATCTAGTAATGTATACTAATAAATTCTATTAAATAGACTGCAATAAATAGCCATGAACATTATATTGAATAGTTATTTTATTGAAGGACTATTTTGATCTATTTTGCGTAAAGTAAAGCAAAATATAAAATGCTATGGGGGTTGTTGTGGATAAATACGTTTATTGTTAGTTTGTCAGTTTTCAATGCATGGCGTGCGTGTTGACGTGATTTTCGGTATAGATATAGTTAATAGACCGGAAAGTTCCATGGTTTATACTTTTTTCCTATTGTCATATCCGGATATATCAATGTTCTCATGGGTATTAATTAAATTTTTGTATTAACTATGTTTTGAGAAGTCCCCATAATATTTGACGAAAGGCACTGCAACTAGTAGTAACAACACTGTATGTATATCTTAATAGATTGATGCCGTAAATACACAGACCATCTCACTATAAACGAGTAGGTGAAGGACTGTAGAAGAAAAATATACGAAATATTTTGCAATAATTATAAACAATAGTTTTCTTTTAGGTTAACGTTTATTTTCATATGATATTTGTAGGATATGAAAAGAATTTAATGTTTGTATTTCATTGCACGTTAGGTTAGTCAATTTTCAGGAATTCTGACTTAAATATTTCTTCATGAATTAAGATAGATTACCCAAATGATGTTGTTTAAATCTTGAAAAAAAAATATAGGCGATCCTGCGACGCCGCATTAAGACGGGTGGGTAGCACTGGCTTTTTAGCCGGTCAGTCCCACATAACCACCTGTATGTCTACAGGTTGTATGCGTAAATGCATTTCCCAGCATTAAAAAAGTCATATTCTATCTATTCTATTGGGTTTTAGTGGCCGCTACTACTGGCTTATCTAGCCGACGATTCCCACATAACTACCTGTATACATACATGTATATATACAGGTGGTATGCGTAAATGCATTTCCCAACATTAAAAAAAAAGTCATGGTCTATCTATTCTGTTGGGTTTTAGTGGCCAGTACTACTGGCTTATCTAGCCGATGAGGCCCACATAACCACCCGTATACATATGTATGTATACAGGTGGTATGCGTAAATACATTTCTCTACATTAAAAAAAGGTCATAGTCTATCTGTGTACGTTACAAAAACGTTACAAACGGTACAAAAACCAAATTCTTAGGTTTTACATATTGCAGTTTTTGTATTTTTTCTCAGATATGAGATATTTCCCGCAGTAAAAACTATCCTATATGTTGACCCGGATAATCAGCTACCACCATACCAAATTTCATCAAAATCCCTCTAGTGGTTTTTCCGTGATGCGGTAACAGACAGACAGACAAAAATTCAAAATTCTAAAAACTATAGATTCGGCCTCTGTATCGATAATAATGTCTATTTCAATAAGATTTTCCAAAAAATGTTCATGTACAGATTCGGCTCAGTTAGAATTTTATTATAATTGTATATACATATATGTATTTTTAAAGGAAATCATTATCAGTCACTTTTAGTTTTTAAAGACTTCCTTTTGCTTAAAAGTTGATATACTCGTATTATTTAGTGTACCAAATAGAAAACCAAAAGCTCTCAGTCGAAACGTAGTAACAAATATGTGAAAAGTGAAAATTACTATATTTTAATAATGCTATAGTTTAGCCTATAGTGCAAATTACAATTCTATTTTCAGACACTAATTAGACTGTGGCATGTGTGAAATAGGGTTGACACGCGACCTTATAAGTACATAGGTCTTCGAATAAACTTTTCTTATATAACGTGATAGTAGATAATAAATAAAATATATATCTTTAATATATCTTTAATATAAAACTATTAAAAAGATCGTAGGATCACTCTCATCGCTGAGTTGTTTGTCTTGTTTGGTTTTTACGGTTCCACCACTATATAGGGAACAAAGCTTTTACCATTAACAACTTTTTAACACTAGGAAATTACAAATGTCGATGATCATTTCTTTCGCAGAATCAAATTATGAATAAAAATGGTTAAGATGACGTATCACATTCGTGCGTCAGTGTTTAAGGGTTAATTGAGGTTTGTTTATTATTATTAGTAAGAAGGGAAGGTTGCAACATGAATTTCAAGCTGCTATTTCTCATATGTAAACTAAACTAAAACTTGCCTTGAACAATATTGAGATTATTTTAGAAGTTCATTTAAGAACTACCTATATTTTTTTATTGTTACGAATATACTATTAAAGATACAAGGTAATTTATTGTTTTAGTTTTAACCTACATTATAAAGTTCTCACTAAACTTCGGTACGTCATATTAAAATACCTACTTCATTGTATAAAGGTATTACTTAAGATTCACAGATTCAATGTTATATTTATAAAATGTAATAAAATTCTAAGTCGAATCTGTACATTACATATTTTTTGAAAAATCTTAATAAAATAGTCATTATTATCGATACAAAGGCAAAATCTATAGTTTTTAGAATTTTTGTCTGTTTGTGTCTGGGAACGTATCGCGAGAAAACCACTGGACAGATTTTGATGAAATTTGGTATGATGATAGCTGGTTATCCGAGTCAACATATTGGATACTTTTTACTGCGGGAAAATATGTCATCTCTGAGAAATCTATGCTAAACGTTAAAACGTAACTAGGGACGAACCTGAGCGGAGCGAGGGTGAATCGTAATTAATATAATTGGACCAAAACATAAGATCGTAATTTAAAAATGTATTTAGCTTTGAAGTAACAGTTTTCTTGTCATGTTTCTATATTAATGATCTGGAAGCCCTAACTCCTTATGCCGGGCTAATAATGGAATGAGAGTTTGAACCGATTGTTTGCACATTTGGCTCGTGAAATTATTACATGCACTGAGCATTTTATTGATTAATAGACTAATTTTGTTATTAAAGCTAAAGCTATTAAACGTACATTACAACTACATTTCTGGCTGTTTTTTTAATGAAAATGTTAATATTTAGTTTAATTTGAAAATAAATTACTCAATTTTAAGTCAAATTTTGGTTTCAAAATTGTCGACACTTTGAGGCGCTATCACGTCAGTTGGCTCGGAATGCGTTTATATTTAGGTATCATTTCTTTCTAAAGAACTATTTCTTCCAATTCCACAAAAACACTTCTTCGATTTTATTAAAAAATTAAATACAATTACGAGTTTTGAGATGAGTTTCCATTTCTTAGAAATTCCTTCTTAATCATAAATGGATGCAAAGCAGTGTAGCTTTTCGGGTCGAAATAATCAAAGTACCTAATGTTTGAATAATAATCGTGAAAACAAAACTTTTCGTATCATTCTTGGTAACATCTTACTATTTTTTATCGACATCAACTATTTAATTTAAGATTAATTGCAATCCTACAAATAGGTATCAAAATATTTTATAAATACTTAATTATATGCACAAAAAGTGCATGAAGTTCATTTTGTAATTAAGCATTTTTATTACTCTAGTTAAGGTTAGCTATACATATGTTTACAATATTTACCTATTATATCATATTTTATCGAAAAATAAATCAAAAACAAATATTTAAACAACTAGATTAGCTTGTGTTAAACCGGATAATAACATAAATAACATTACGATATAAATAGTACGACCAGGAATTATAAGAATATGTAAGAATGTTGTCATCAAGGACGCAGAAATATTAATAAAATCCCATTTTACTTTGATTTTGTGGAACACGGTGTTGTGTAATATTTATATATTGAATTTAGGCCAAATTACATTATCAATATGATTTATAATATCGATTAATTTCGTTTCCCGTATTTAATTTTTGTAGTCGGAGACGAATCGGGATTCGGGCTTTCAGTTTTCAACGGAGCGCGGGCGGGCGATGTTTTAACATGTGCGTGTGTTTCCTCTATTTGTAATGCCTTCTGTGAAAACTTCGACAAGTGCTAAAAGTAAAAAGGTGTTTATATTATTTATCTCTTTTAAAATTATTGTAAATCCATAATACGGCGTAAGTGTTAAAGTGTATTTATAAATTAGTACGAAAAACTGTATTGGATCAACATTCCACACTATTGCCATCCCACGCAAGTACCTGCTAAGGATCGACAGTAAAATACTTCTTGATATTCATTAATAGACTGAAGAACAAAAATTTTTGTGTCATTAGATGTTAGTTAAAATAGCTTATTTAAAAGAAATATTATAATTTCAACAATTCATTATTAGACGTAATTAATTATAAAAAGCGAATTATAAAAAAAAACATGAAATTAAAGTATAATGGCAACTACTTTTTTCACAAGATTTTAGTTAAATTCGTTCAATACAAAAATAAAACTAAAATTTATCTATCAGCATACTTTAACCATTCACAATTATTTATTTCCACACATTTATTTTAATGGGTATAGAGAAATGTTCTACGAGTATAAAGGAGCGTGATTTTTGCGGTTCGATATGGGCGTACACAAATTAACCGAATTGTGTGCAATGGACTTATGAATTCATTCAGTCTCGTGTTCGTGCACTTTTCACGCTTTATATATATATATATATATATATATATATATATATATATATATATATATATATATCCAGCATCCCTGCATCCCTGCGCGCCATGCGCTCGTCTACCATGCCATGTAAGATTTTCGAAGCTCTATGACTCTGTTAGGAGGATGATTTTGAAAAATTGTAATACACCTGTCTCATAATTTTAATTGAAGAGTATGTGTACCAATTTTCTAGTCCATCGACCCAGAGAATAAAGTTTCACGGAAAATTCAACCCCCCATTTCACCCTCTTAGGGGTAGAATTTCAAAAAACCCTTTCCTAGTGGACACTTCACAAAGAACACACCCTCCAAATTTATGTCTATAGGACCAGCGGTTTAGGCTGTGCACCTATTTTTTTTTCCTTTTATCTTTGTACTCATGCTGCTAATTGAAGTGAAAATTAGCTCTAAACTAAATTAAGATTCTTATCTGCATAGTACAAAAATCCCGTTAAAATTGACACAGACCGAAATTCTACAAATTGTTACTTTGCTCGTTCTACGAGTATAATACTTTCTTAGATTTACGCGAATATTTGACATTTTAAATAAAATTATCTTTTCGGATTTTTTTTGCTTTAAGCAATCATGGTCACGGGAGAGACTAAAGTTTTAGATGTGTAAGTATTTCGAAACGTCGGGAACCAAAAATAAAAATAAATCCGCGAAAAAAACCGAAAAGATAGTTTTTTGTAAATTGTTCGTTCTATATCAAAACCTTTTACAAAAAAAAGGTAAAACTACATGCTAGTTTTTATAGTGACGTGACTGTAAAACAAAGCATTCTTAGATTTTATTGTCCAATAGTCACATTGAAAATCAGTTTTATTTATTTCGAGATAGAAGCTCGTTAGAATGACACATGGGTGTCATTCTTAATTTATAACGCTTATTTTTTATTGTTTAAGGGATATCGCGAGGGCAGTACGCGATGGAGGGAAGAAATCAGTGAAGTACCAGAAGATTCGGATGAAGTAGAAGCAGGATACATATCCAGCGACGAATCTACTCATGCACCAGATCTTGGGGGTCGATTGCGGGTTAAATGTAGGGATATTTGGGACTTAGGTATGTTAATAACGTAGCTCTCTGTTTACGCAATTTACAATAGTAACCAATTTTGGGTTAAATATATTAAAAGTTATTTTAATAAACATTTAAACAAAATTTAGTATGTTAATCTTACAGAAGAAGTGCAATACGCTCTTCGACATTTACCTAATGCTGATGAAATATCCAGTCTACTAGAGACAGGACACTCTGAAGACACAGTATCATTCGTGTCACAGGCAGATGAACATAGGTTACGTACAGCTGCGCTATGGGCGTGTTGGTTGCGGAAAAATTCGCTGTTGTCGAAACTGCTCAAAATCGGGGCTGATCCTAATAGCTCTGATGACGGTGGGAGGTAATTATTTCAACGTATTTTCAATGAAAAAAAGAGAATATACTATTGTAATTTATAATTTCAAAATTGATATATATATATATATATATATATATATATATATTTAACATTGTATATAAATTAATAAAATTCTTAATTTTACCCACTCACATTACGTGAATGTCAAAAAAGTGAGAGATTGGCTGCTTACACTTAGCTATGAGGAAACGGAAAAGATATTAGAAAGAAATTTATAAAATGCTGAACGAATACATACGCACACGCACACACACACGCACATACACACACATACATACTCACTCACACATATACACCCACACACACACACACACACACACATGTATTATACTGTATTTTACGTAACTTCACTTAGTACATTTTTGTTAAAGTTAATTTTTATTCTACTTTTTATTTTATTTCTTTCTTTCACAAAGAATTTCTAAAATTAAGTTAAACATGCACCGTAATATTATTGACCTCCAATTATCATAAAAGATGGAAGAGGGCGCTGACTCCTGACATACAGGTTTATTCTAGTTTGGGAGTCAGAGGCTTCAACAGGCTTATGTAACAACAAACAATTGTGCCAATAAAGATTCTATTCTATTCTATTCTATATTTTTTTTGTGTTGAACCATATTCGGTTGTGAAATGGAATATACACATTGTTTATTAAAAATAATGAGACACGGTTTCACATGTAAAATGACAGGGATAACGAATTCGCATGTAAGAGCATTAAATTTGTATTTATTTTCATAGAGATAATTTATGTGTCCTAGAATATTAAAGTATATTTTTTTTTAAATATAAAGGATTTTCAAATATTGTTCAGTCACTAGGAATGTGTCACTGATTTTTGTGATCTTTTTCAGGTCATGTCTACATCTTACATGTTTGCTTGATAACGAGGAAGGTACAAACCTTTTATTGGATTATGGGGCAGATCCAAATATATGGGATTCAACAGTTGAAAGAAAAGCCACACCCTTGCATTGTGCGGCAAGCGCAAATTCCTTGTCTTGCGTGATGGTATTTATTATCTTTAAAATAATTGAAATATTTTATAACTAAAATAGAGTGAAAATAAATAAAAATAGAGTGAAACGCACAAATTACATATATATACATAATATGTAAATATTATTCGTCATAAAATATACTTATGTATATCGAAATTATTTCCCCCGTGATTGGCAAACTGCCAATGCCAAAAAATGATTATGATGCTAATGTTTAATTAAATGTTGATTTTTTCATTTACAAATGGTAAAATAAACTTGTTTCTATGATATTTTCAGACTTTAATAAAGCATGGGGCTGATGTGAATGCAGGACTAAGTGAACACTCTCCTTTACACTACGCCGTACTTAGTGACGCGCCGGAAGTAGTAAATGCGTTGTTGGAAGCCGGTGCTTGTCCTGACACGCCACAGGTGTTTCTGTTTTAAATCATATTTTGTGTAACAAAAACAAATGTTTCGTACAAGGCGTTAAACTTGGCTGCTTTAAGGAATTTATTGTTATAGTTAACAAAATAAATAAGTAACTAACTTTGCAATACTAATTATCATATTTAAAATTAGCCATGTCTCAATAGTAAGAGTCGTAACTGTTCTTTATTACTTATATCAAAAGTTAGGCTTTTACTACAATATTTAGCTTTGGTGAATAAGCTGAACTATAGGTTACGAGTACAAAGGAACTTTTTAAGATTTACCTTAGTTCGAGATTTTACAGTAACAAACAGGCATTGCTAATACTGGTGACGGCCGGGGTGGTTATCAATGACAATAAAACACCAAAGAAAATAAATGAAATATACTATGGACATAAGGATCAACTTCTATACCGTCGTAAAACCAGGTGGCATCCTCGAGGCCAGAGATGAATTGAGTGTCATATTTTTTTTGGGAATTTGCTTATTACAACAAACGTTCTAACACCCGGGCAGACCGTATCTATCGCCCTTTTCTAACTACTGCTTGAACATATACGTTTATATATGTATGCATTTTAAAGTGAACAAACTGACACTCACTCTGATCTCTAACATGACTTATAAATTATAATCATAATGCTAAATCCCTATATGATAATTATTATAATAAAATTTATTTACAGGTGTTTACTGAAACTCCCCTACACGTCGCAGCATCATTAGGTTCTGCGTCGTGTATGAAGCTTTTATTAGACGCCGGTGCAGACGTTCGTGCCGCATTCGGACCGGGGAGAGCAACAGCCTTACATTTAGCGGCTGTGGACGGTCACGCTGAATGTGCAATTCTGTTGCTTGAACATGGCGCACACATAGACTGGCCTAATTCTAGAGGACAAACTAGCCTTCATTTAGGTGACTTTATAAGCATTTAAAATATTTGTTTACTATAAAATATTTCTTCACATTTGAATGTCACCTACCGCGTAACTGTGTGTAACGTGATCACTGATTAGTCACACTGGACAAAACAATTGCAGAATAAGTCCCCAAATACAATAAAGTGCGCTTTGAACGTAAATCGAACCTGTAACCTAAAGGCTAAAGCATAATGAATTTCATTTTCCAGCGGCTTTGGCTCAATCAGTAGAAGTAGTGGAACTCTTGGTATCAAAGCGAGCAGATGTAAGAGCAAGGGATATTGATGGGAGAACACCTCTGCACGGCGCCATTGTAAGAGGCGCACGTGCATGTGATGTTGCGAGGATGCTATTAGCCGTGGGGGCAGATCCTAATGCGCCAGACAACTTTGGATACACGCCTGTCCACATTGCCGCATTAAATGAGTTTTCAGCGTGCGTTTTATTGCTTTTGGGTAAGACGCTAGAATAAGATATAATAAGGTGATATCAAACTTTTTGTAATGAGGTGCAAAGATATGTCTCGTTAATCGCAGGATCGCATTACTAGGCTACAAAAAAGACTTATTGATATTTGCAATAGAGCAACAGATCAGTGTTATTTTTTACTGATAGTGAGATAGTTTATGGGCCAGATAGTGCCATAGAATACTTCTTATTTCATCAAGTAGTATACGAGTACGTGAAAAAGTTATATCGCAAAAGTCAATAACGGAGCCTTGATAAAGCGAAGCTAGAAGTGAAGCCAGTATATAAAAAAATACATTAAGGTTGCCGTTTCGTCCAAGTTTCTTTTATAAACTATTTTCTGTCAATGTTCTTGGGCATTATTGTTTACACATAAGCTCTTAACAAAGTAAAATAACATTTAAAATAAAAGTAAATGGTTTCTGGAAGTCACAAACATCAAAACATCTTTACAAACCTTTACATAATATAATATTAATTGGATGAATATATTTTAGACTACGGAGGAGATGTAACATTAAGAACCAATGGTGGAGTATCTGCATTATCGTTTATTGTCCGACGCGTTCCCGATGTGATACCTCGATACTTGTGCAAGTTCGACGACGCAGTACATGTGAGCGAGCATGAAATTGGTGATGTAGATTGCGAATTTACTATTGACTTCAGACCAATAGTACCTTGTCTTGCGAGAGGAGAAGCGGAATTGCTTTTAGCATTTGTGGAGGTATAGTTCTTCAGTTTATAATCTAGATGGATATTTAATTTAGAAATTTTAGTTATTTAATTTGAAATTAATGCTTATCCGACGATTTTACTATCAAAATTATTGGTAAATGTGCGTCTCCTATAATTTTTTAAGTTCAAAAAGCAACTTGATTATAGACTTTATCTGGCATCCTAATTTTTTTTTAATTAGTAATACTTTCTATTCAAAACATTTTTTTCCGATTTATTTTGATTTTTGATTGAAAAAGATCCGAAAAGATATAGATATGAAGAGTGACATAAATATAATATTGGATATTTTATAATTTTGGTTTCTCTAACGATAGTCGTCTCACATCTGGTAAACTCTGGACATTTCACAGCGAACAGTAACTCCCGTGTACATATACGAGCAGCATAGTTTAAGTTTTAAATAATTAATATTATTGGTAATTCAACAGGTCGGTCGTAAAGACGTGCTAAAACATCCAGTAGCGGAGACATTCCTTTTCTTAAAGTGGAGAAGAATAAGAAAATTTTTTGTATTAAGTTTTGTTTACCATGCGATATTTATTACACTTTACAGCCTGTATATACTACGTATGTATCATGAACAATATTCAATGTGTTTGCCAATTTCGATATTGTATTAATATTTATCCTTCTTTTTAGAATTATTTTTATGCGAAGATGTAACATGCGATGTACCAACTTATCTAAGACCAATACAATATTTGATAGTTCTTTTAAATATATGTTTCTTAACAAAAGAAATATTTCAAGCGTGCCTTGATTATTCCGCATATATTCGCCAATGGGAAAATTGGTTACAATTGTTGATCATTGTTGGAGTATTTTTGTGTACGGTAAGTTTGTAGCAAACTATTCCAATAGTACTTTACTTCAAACGATTTCTTTCAATCAAATGATATTAATATTAAAATTATGGACATAATTTTTTGATGGGATATAATATGGTGGCATTATTACAGATACCAACATGGTATAGAGGCAATGGTGTAGCGAACGCAAACACTTCAAACTGGCAACACGATGTTGCAGCTATTACAATATTCTTTTGCTGGCTGGAATTAATGATGATAATAGGACGTTTTCCTACGTTTGGTTTATACGTACAAATGTTTACAACAGGTAATTATAATAAAAATGTAGATTATTTGTATAAATATATATATTTTTTGTGTAAAGTCTAGTACTATAGGCCACGCAGCCCTTCTAGTAACAGAATGTACCTACAAGGTATTTTCATAGTTCACACTTGTATTTAACAACAATAATATGAAAACTCGCATAACGCGTAAGATCGGTAACTTCAATTCAATTAACATGCTATGGGTTCATTAAAAGAAGTTTAAGTAAATTAACAATGAACATATGCCATAGAAAGTAGTTCATTTTATTCTATACTAACGATTCACCCTCACTCCGCTCGGGTTCGTCCCTAGGTCCGTTTTAACGGTACCTACTTACTATAGACTCCTTAGAAATGATATATTTTCCCGCAGTAAAAAATATCCTATGTGTTGACTCAATAACCAGCTATCGGCATACCAAATTTCATAAAAATCCGTTCAGTGGTTTTCTAGCGATGCTTTCCCAGACAGGCAAAATTCTAAAAACTATAATTCGGCTTCTGTATCGATAATAATGACTATGTATTTCAATAAGATGCAAAAAAGTTTAATGTACAGTTTCGACTCACTTAGATCTATACATATAATAAAATTGTAACTAAGCCGAATCTGTACATTAAATAGTTTTTGGAAAAATCTTATTGAAATAAACATTTTTATCGATAAAGAGGCCGAATCTATCGTTTTTAGAATTTTTGTCTGTCTGTCTGCCTGTCTGTTACCGCATCGCTTTTCTAAACCACTGGAGGGATTATGATGAAATTGGGTATGGTGATAGCTGGTTATCCGGGTCAACATATAAATAAAATACAATAACTGCAATGTAAGAGTATACTAATATATAAAACCTAAGAATTTGGTTTTTGGTCATATGAACGCGGGCGGGGCCGCGGGCAATGCTAGTTTTATTATATGTATAGATATTTGAAACGTTTATCATACAAAGAAATAATTTAATACGATTAAAATTGCACTAATATAGAAGTCAGTTAAAAACTGGGGCGCCTAACCGCCGGTAACCTTTTTTTTCCCGCAATATAAATCCAAATATTGATTTCATTGACATTAAAATAAATCAAGTAGGTAGTTCAGTGTATCTCGCACTAAATATTTATCTTTCCTACATTAAAATGTAGTGTAATTTTAACCGAAAGAAGAAGAAACATTTAAATAGCAACATTCCAGTTAAACCGTTTTGAAATTAGCCCAGATAAAAGTCAGAAAAATATTTATTTAATAATATTAAATACTAATTGAGCGATTATTGTATATACCTACACTCCGCGACAAAAGTATAACCCACCCCCCTAATTTTGTAATATCTAATATAAAATTATAGTTTTATTAATATAATACTAATAGACAAAATTAGGTATTGGTAAGTATATTTTACAATCAATGTATTATTTAATAAGTGCAAAATTAACCAAATACAGATGATACATAAGTTTTGCGGTGCGACAAAAGTATAGCCCAGGTAAATTAAATATAAATAAAATTCAAGAGAAATGCAACGAAGAGCAATTATTTATTTAATTTAATATTTAGTAGATCCACCACTTTTACTTATTACTTCGATCATTCGATCTGGTAAACTGTCATATAACTTTTTAATTGTGTCTTGATTCATGTTTTGCCATTCGTCAATTATTACCGTTTTTAACTCTTCAACAGTGGTAAATTGTCTTGATCCTCGATAGACAGCTCGTAATAAATTTCCCCAACAATTTTCAATTATATTCAAATTAGGAGAATAAGCTGGCCATTCAAGAACTTGAATATTTTTTTCAGTGAAGTAGTTTTGAACTATTTGTGTACGGTGAATACTGGCATTATCGTGTTAATAAATATAAAATTAGGACCAGCAATTCGCATTGCATGAGAAGTAATCTGTTCATTTATTATGTCTATGTACCGTTTACTGTTCAATTTTCCAGTACAAAACTGGATATTCATTTTCCCTAAGTATCCAATTCCACACCATATCATTACACTACCACCCCCGGCTTGTCGTCAATTCGATACACATTTTTCTTTTTTTAAATCGTGAAAATAGTAATTAAAACCATCAGGTCCATCTAAATTAAACTTCTTTTCATCAGTGAAAATAACTTTTTTCCAATTCTTCTTCCATTGAATATGATTTTTTGCAAATTTAAATCTATCTAATTTATGTTTATCGGATAGCTGTCGTTTTCTTTGTAATTTCTTACGTTTTAGATATCGGCACCTATTTATAATACGTTGAACATTTCTTAAATTAGTGCTAACACCAGCCTCCACTGCAACTTGTCTTGCTGTAAGGGCAGAATTAGATGCAACTCTCAGAATTGACCTTTTTTCACGTGGTGTTGTTGCCCTTGGTCGACCAGTCCTCTTTCTTTTAACATAATTTTCAGGATCTTTTAGAAAATTTCGCACAACACGATAACTTCTATTTATAAATTTTGCAATTCTGGCTTTAGACCAATTTTCAGAATACAATTTCCTAACTAAATTAATTTCACTTTCGCTTAAACGTTTCCCACGTGGCATTTTATATTAGAAGTAAATAAATGTCAATCGATTTTTTTTAATACATAACAATTTACGAAGGACACAGAACATGTATCGACAGGAACTGACACTTCTAGCACATGAAAAAAATAATAATATAATAATTTAAAAATAAAAATAAATAAAATGAAGCCCCTCAAGCCAAAGTGACTTATGGGTTATACTTTTGTCGCACTATCATACTAACAATCCCGCCGTGATGTAAAAAATAACTTAGAATGTAATTGTACACATACTATAATACTACAAAAAATAAAAAAAATAATAATGCAATAGTAATATGTAAAGGTTTATATAGTCTTAAATTGGATATTACAGAATTATGGGGGTGGGTTATACTTTGGTCGCGGAGTGTATATATTATAAACTAGAGGCTCGACCTCGCTTCACTCGGGTTCATCCTTAGGTACGTTTAAACGGTTAGTATGGAATAGATAGACTATACCAGATATTACTGCTCTGCTCCCTTGGGTAATAGCATGATGATATAAATATATTATATAGCCCATAGCCTTCCTCAATAAACGGGCTATTTAATATAAAAAGAAGTAAGTAGTTCCTGAGATTAGCGTGTTCAAACAAACATTTATTGCCTCTTTATAATATTAGTACATAGATTTATTTCGTGTATCTCGGAAGCGGCTCTATTACGATTAGGATCAAATTTTGTATTTAGATAAAGTTAAGGGTTTTTAAGTTTATCTATATAGATGTCTTTTCAAAAAACGCAATTGTATGAACGCAAAAAAAAAAATTCGCCCGGGTACTATGTAATTAATTATTCTTAGAATAATTAATTACGCTATAAATAATGTTAAACTTAATTTTATATAAATAATTAAATAAATATTGTTATCTATTCGTGAAAGACCTTAATTTTGACATTTAACCCGTTTAATCAATCCGGCCTTTACCATGTTTAATCGGAACATAAAAAATCTATACTTCGGATAGATTAGGAATATAGAATTGTATTTTTTTGTATTTATTATTTTCCCTATGTTGAATGTCTTATCTTATTTTTATTATGCAATTACTCATTTAATATTGTAGTAATGGTCATTCTTAGTAGGTACTTTAAAAAGATTTAGGGATTTCTCACAAATGCCTATTTTAAAATTGAAAAAAAAAGTTTTATTGACTTACAAAATACACACTAAAAATAGAATACTGGGCGTAAACCCGTTATTAGTATCCCACTAGGTATTTAATTTACTTAATTAAAAAGTTTATTATTAAAAATATTTTACAATTTTAATAATCATTAATCTGTTGTTTTAAAGTAAAAAAACAGTAGAAAAATTCTTATTATGAACCAAATAATTCTAGAGAATCTATGTTGAGGTAAATAATAGGCAAAGGACGCAATAAATACTATCAGAATAATAAAGAAATATTTTATTTTGCAGTGACCGTGAACTTTGCCACATTTTTGATGGCATATAGCTGTTTGCTGATAGCCTTTGGATTAGCATTTAGCGTACTCTTCAGCAACTATCCAGCTTTTCATTTACCAGCTGGTTTAGTTAAAACAGTTATGATGATGTCCGGAGAGTTGGAATACGAAGACATATTTTATAATAACTGCACAAATTCACAAATACACTATCCCCTAACCGCTCACGCAATGTTTTTGATATTTGTTCTTCTTGTAACAGTTATATTAACGAATCTTCTAGTTGGATTGGCCGTCAGCGATATTCAGGTAATTTACTTAATATAAAAATTTATAAAAACTTTGCTTTATTGGATTGATTTATTTTACACATCAGTATGGTTCCATATAATTTTCAAGAAAAAGTCGATCCGTAATCATAAAATTAGAAAGAATTTTATTAATTACTAGCGACTCACCCTCACCCTCGTTCCGCTCAGGTTCGTCTCTAGGTATTTATTTTTTATTATAGGTTTATTTTTTTGAAGTTATATGTACTTCTTTTGGGACGTTTGGAAAAAATTATGAGAGTAAATTTTTTACGATACGACATGATAAAGTTAGCTGCATTCCTTTTACGAAGTTTGTGACATACGGGATGCAATTTTTAGATATTTTTGTTCTGTTACGTCAAAGAAGTATAACTTCTTACGTGTGTACATAAGTACACACACGCGTTTTTTTTAAATAGCAGTAGTTAACAAAATTGTACTCATATAAACTTTATTTATATTAGGATTTCTAGATGTTTATATTTTAACATTTTATTCTAGGCATTACAAGAAAGCGCTGGTCTAGACCGTTTGGTTCGACAAACGCAACTAGTAGCCCATCTAGAGAGCATGCTGTTTAGTTCGCTATTGTCTTGCGCACCGCAACAACTACTTGCAGTGTTGCGATGGGGAGCGCTTTTAACTGCTTCACATATGCGAACTTTAAATATAAGGCCGAACGATCCTAGGGAGAATAGGGTAAGACACTAAGTAACTTATAACTAAAGCAAACATTCATATATACGACGATACGTTTGGCTCAGTTTGTAGTGACCCCACTTGCTGTGCCAACGGTCGCGGATTGAGTCCCGCTGGGGGCATTCATTTGTATGATAAACACGCATGTTTGAGTTAAGGGTGTGTTAAATACATACATATTTATAATATGTATGTATTTAAAGTTATATATGTGTAGTTTATCTTCTGTCTGGTATCCATAACACAGGCTGCGTAGCTTACAGGACGCAAGGATCGGTTAATTAACCAATGAGGCAAAAAAAAATAGTGCAATTTGTAAAAATTTACTTTAGTCAAGTCAAGGTCTTTTTGAACTTGTTTGCCGATCATTACAATTCATAGACGTGCACAAAAAACCATGTTTTTGATGCATTTATAATTTATATAAGTAAAAATAATATAATACATAACACATTGCCCAACCGAATTTAACCTTACAACACAATTACCAAAAACACTACTGTCTAAGTCAATAATATTATAAAATTTAAATTATTTTGTATTTTATAGATACCAAGGGACTTAATAGCTTCTATTTACAAATTGGTGGCAAGTCGGAAGGATACAAAGAAAAGTATACGTAAAAATAATAATTACGAATGTCGAATTCAAAAATGCAGAGAAGACGAGGACGTAGAAAGGCAACAAGTTAAGAGGAAAAGTTATTTATATGATAGGTTTTCATGTGAAAGTCAAAATGTGGAGAGACGAAAGAAAACTACATCTGGCAATGTGGAGAATAGAAACAGACCAATGTCATTCACTATTAATGCAATACAAGAAATCTGTATGGTCGATGTGAAGAATCAATTAGCAGATTTAACAAAGAAAATAAATAAATTGATAGAAGTAACGGATTCAAGATTGAGTTTAATTGAAATGAAATTGCAGGAAACGGAACCACCATGATTAAAGTGTTTGACTAAATCTTGTTAGAACAATATTGAGTAAATGGATTATAAAGTAATTTATTTTTATTTTACCTTGTTTATTTTGTATCAATTTATACATTATTATAATTACAATTCCCATGGACAGATTGACAGTTGCAAATCTTAAAAATATGATTATGTTTTTTAGCAGAAACTATTGCATAAGATATTAGTTATACCTATAAAATTTAGTCCATCATTTTTTCATTACAGATTTTTTTTAATTTAAGAGTACATAAATTCTTTAAGTTAGATTGGTTTACACTGTACAAGCAGTGGCCTTTAGTTATTAAAGGTAAAATATATACACATAAACAATTAAATTTACTTAATGAAACTAAACTTCTGTCTAAGAATAGATTTAAAAGTATTTACTTTTATTGTTTTGCAACACCAGCTAAATCTTTTAAACACAGGTTGATTCATAATGTCAAATCACATAAATAAAATGTCTTATTGGAATGGACTTGAATTCTTTGTCTACTTAATGTAAATAAAAGTTTATATGCAAAATTTTAGCACTGAATACCCATATGCAAGTACACATTTAATGTAGTTATAGTAACAATAAAATTTGAAAAACCTGACAAAAGCCTTCCAAAAACTATAAACGAGACTTCAATGTGGATATAGAACTATATCAACAAAACAAAATCAAGTGTTTTATTTTATGCTGTAGTGATCATTATTAAATATTATGTCCTAGGCAAATCTGATCATATAAACAAAATTCAAACAACAAATACATATAAATGACTAGCATTGCTCACGGCTCCGCCCGCGTTCAGATGACCAAAACACAAAATTCTTAGGTTTTACATATTAGCATACTCTTACATAGCAGTTTTTGTATTTTTTTCTCAGAAATGAGAATCCTATATGTTGTCCCGGAAAACCAGCTATCACCATACCAAATTTCATCAAAATCCCTCCAGTGGTTTTTCTGTGATACGGTAACAGACAGACAAAAATTCTAAAAACTATAGATTCAGCCTCTGTATCGATAATAATGTTTATTTCAATAAGATTTTCCAAAAAATATTTAATGTACAGATTCAGCTTAGGTACTATTTTAATATACTTGTATGTATTTTATGTCTTCAATAGAAATAATATAAAAAAGGACTTACCAGTATATCACAAAAATATGTATCCCCATTATTCATTTTTACTACATTTCTCTTTAAGCTGCCTGGATTTGTTTTGGATAAATCATATCCATTTATTTTGGCTCCATACATTATCTCTACATTTTTAATAGTTGAAGACTTCAGTTCCATGTTAATGGCTTCAAGTAGTACATCGTTTTCCACTATATAAGCTACATCATCATCTAATATGTCAGAACTGCTAAATGATATTAAAGCATCTGAACATGCATCCCATACCTAAGAATAAATATAAGAATGCAATTTTTATACAAAATATTGCAAAATACTGTAAAATTATTTTATGATTCCTGAGCTGCTATTATTATTATAGTATAAAAGGTATAATAATTTGGTCTGGTTGAGTAAAATATGACTTATAATTTATACCTTATAAGTGAAGTTAATAATTCACCATAACAAATAAATAATTGTATTCTGCCCTTTTTGACGTCCCACTTCTGGGCACTGGCCTCCCTTCAATACGAGGGGGATCAGGCCATAGTCCACCACGCTGACCAAGTGCGGGTTGGCGGACTTCACATGTCTTTCGAAAACTAGCTAGGTTCTCTCAGACATGCAGGTTTCCTCACGATGTTTTCCTTCACCATAAGGCAAGTGGTAATCACGTTAGAAATGATTCGCACATGAAAATATCAGAGGTGCGAGACCCGGGATTTGAACCCGCTTCACTCGGTTTTCCAAGCGAGCGTGTTACCACCTACCACAGCCTGTGCCAAATAAATAATTAAGACACAAAATATTTTTTTATGGAAGTTGCTGATATACATACTTGCATATATTGTACAGGCTGTAATCTCATCCCTTCCACATGTTGCCAAACATCTAATGATTTCATCAAAGACTTTGTATTTTGGTTCAGTGCTACTACTCTATTGCTATACTCTGATTTTAGTTCAAATTTTTTATCTGGAGAGCCTTCCAATAATAGTACTTTTAGGTTGGAAAGTAAGGACTTCTTACCTAAAAAATAATTGAAATATTTTGTAAATGAAATAAATAATATACTTATATCAAATATTTACATTATTTACATATTATATTAAAAACATTAATATAATATGTAAATACAATATTTACATATTATATTAATAACATTTTAAATGTAAATATATATTTTTAGCTATGAAAGAATAGGAGAAAAACCAGATAAAAGAAAGAAGAGAACATACCCATAGCACATGCTAGAGTACAGCCAACCATTCCTCCACCAGCGATTATTACATCATACTTTCCTTTATGATCTTCCCTATTGTCACTATACTTTCGAAATGCTGATAATGTTCGTATATTAGTCAATTTTGTCAATAAAATATTATTGAATTGAATACTCTTCATAATTAACATTTTGGTAGACGTGTTAACGAATAACAGATTTTGTTTTCATTAATTAAATTTTAAACCTCTTAATCTATATATTCAGTTTTATTTAATTTTTATTCAATTTTTTAATTTTTATTGAAATTCAAATAGAATCACCAAATTCAATGTCAATTGTCAACTGCCATTTCAAGTAAAATATTATGACAGATTTGAGATTTCGTTCAGTATTTAATTCTGATATAAAAAACTTCTAAAAACCATATACAAAAAATATGATAAATATTTGTAGCACTAGAATATTAGTATGGATATAAAAGTAGCTTATTTATGCACTTTATAAGAGAAGTTTTTTTTAAATAATCGTATCAGTTCATTAAATAGATAATCCTAAGTTTACTTACGAAGATTTTCATCATAAAAATTTGTTGATCTAATTACACTGACCCAGAATTTATTAATCTTATAATAATGGTAAATACTACATTGTAGGTAATTTAACAAAAAAAAAACTCCTTTGTGTATCAAGCATCTATTACTTAGTATAAAATAACGTTAGCTCTTTCAAGTCATTAATAGTCGTGTTTGTAAATTTGCTACCATGACTACTGGTTGGTACAAAATTTAAGCAACTCTTATACTAAAGACTTTAAGTTAAAAGTTAGTGTTGAATAATGACGATAAAAAATTATGCACCGTTGTAGTGTTTTTAAAAATTCTTGTCTTAATGTCCCAGTTGATCCCATAAGTAAAATGCCAAAAACTGCATATGAGCGTAATGAAAATAATATATTAGAACAATGTTCTACTGAGTCAATAAGATCTTGTTCAGTATCAGGAACGGATGTAGATGCTGAAAAATTTAAAGATTTTTATCGAAGTATTCCTGATTACAACGATATTAACCATTTGACGGAAACAGAATTTTATACAACCTTAAAACGATTAAGGGATAAGAAAAAACTGATGTTTGGTCTTGCAGTTGAGCATATTGACGATTGCAACGTGTATAATAATAAATTATTTGAAAAAATAGATAAAGATATTTGTATTAAGAATGAAAAATTGCAGAAAAGAAAAACCTCGCAAGACCGGAATGTTGATAAAACTAACCTTGATTTAGATAGTATTGGAAACGCATCAAAGGAATCCATTAAAATGCCAATTCGTCAGCTTAGATCTGATGAAGTTTTAAAAAATATTGAAAAAAAGAGTGACAATGATGTCGCAATATTGGATCGTAAAAAAAATAGTTCGTTAACTGTGAAAGGTTCCAAGTTGGACAGGCCAAAAAGAAATCATTCAGCGTGCTCAATATCTTGGCATGATGATAAAAATGAGGTTAAAAATGATGTTGATGATAAATTTGACCGATATTTTGAGGGTAATAGATTGTTAAACGATGAAGAAATATATAAAACTCAGAGCATGCCTGCTAGTCCGCTGAGAACGCAGCGATGTGGCTCGAATTTACGGGAACGTCGCAAAAGTATTACTATACCAAAGCCTTTTAAAATGACGGAAAGGTATGTGTTTAATTTTTATCTTTACATAGCCTATGAATAAGAAAATTCTCTAATACTGACTGACTAACGTTCTTTTGTTTTAAAAGAGATGAAGAAGAACGTATGGTGCGAGAGCTTCGAAGTTTACAAAAGTCATTTTCCGAAAATATGTTGCATCAGAAACGTGAGCGAAGGCGATTTCGTACAAAACCTGTTCCTATAGAATCCCGAATTCCTCTATATGATAAAATTTTAGAAGATCAAGCTATGAGGTATATAAATGTTTTTTAGATTGAATGTAATTTTTTTTTAAGTTTTACTTGAAGTGGGTGGGTCTTGGGAACCAGCAGTTTGCAAAGGGGGAGCAATTAAACCACACACCAGTCAGAATTTATGTAAATAAAAACTTAAGGGATCTACTTTATTTTCCAAATTCGTTTATCAATAAAAGCCTCCTTCTCTTTCTCTATGTTCACTGAACATGCCATTAATTAGAATATTTGACTTGACTTTTTAATGTGCTGAATAGACGTTTAATTCTAAATGTTGTCTTGCAATACTCTCGCCAATCTTAAACGCTCGCATAATTTGCATATTTAATAACAGTCATTTTAAAAGCATCAATACAAAAACCGTATCCTAGTTTAGAAGAACTAAGCGAACAAATAGACAGCACCTTCCAAAAACAATTGTGTCGGCGCCCACGTATCATGCCTAATGGTATTTTAAAATTCATTAAAGAAATATCATTTAGTTGTACCTACAGGTATGATTTATCCAGATTGGCTCAAGGAATTACAGAACCATTATGAACAGCTTCTTTCTTAATCTTGGAGGAACTATGCTATAAAGATCGTAATAATACTCTCATATACGTCATAGGAGCAGATTCTGTTTTACTTCAGGGCACCCCATCAGCGAAGAACCGATTCGTTAGGCCATTTGCTGAGCCATCAGTTTTTACACAAGTATTTTTAACAGATTCCACTATGCAATAAGAGTATGGATTGATTGGTTTTGGTGTATGTACCTTTAAAATAGGTTTCGAGGTGACTGACCTCTATTGGAAATTATAGATGTCTTCGAATCATCATATTCGAATATCATTAAATTATTTTATGTAGCATAAAATATTTTTTTTTTTTGAGATAAACAGCAGCAGTAACATTATTAACTGAATAGAAAATTGGTGCTTAACGTTCATCAAAAGTATAATTTTAATTGTAAAGTTAAATAACTTAGATGAATATAAATTGATGGTACGTAAATGCGTCGAGTGGTTTAAGCCCCACTTGGACTTTCTTTTACTTAGTAGGTTTTCTTCAAGGGGTTTTTATTTTTACAGACGCGCTATAACAAAGTTAAACAGCGAAGCAGAATTAAGAGCCCAAATGAAACCATTTAGCTTTACGAAAAGGGAAGAATCTGGTGAAATATGTGAAAGAGCAGCCAATATTATACCTAAACCTAAAAAAAAGAAACGTTTTAAAGCTAGACCTGTGCCTAAAAATCTATTTACTAATTATTTCTATGACAAGATTAAAGAAGAAGACTTTTTTCGGTAAGTAATAATATAAAAACATACAATTACCTTTAAATGATTAATCTAAAACATTTTTTTTACTAATACCTAAATAACAATTTATTTTTCTAGTTCTATGAACCGACGTATACGTGCAGAAGAAATGCTTCGTAGTTCTAGTTTTCCTGGTTCTATGGCTTTACGAGATCGAAGTCGGCTCTCAACTCCAGCAGCCCATAGCGACTTACCAATAGATCCTTCAGTGCCATCTGTCTCATCTGATAGGCATAGACCAATAAGCCCAACGAAAGGCAAAAAAATAAAAAATATTAAAGAAGATTTTATCACAACAAGCCCTCAGCCGTTTCGCTTCAACACTGCTGATAGAGCTTCTAAAAAGGTTTGTGTAATGTGATAAGTAAATCTCATTTTTTTTATACATATATTATGATGCATTTTTTATCGCAATTATAGAAGGTGCGTAGTATAGTAGGTATATCCACAAATTCTGGTCTATATTCGTAGTCCAATATTTTTTTTAAGTGAATTTTTTTTGTCGTGTTGAGCGATTTTTGGTAGGGACAAAACTTAAGGGTTCCCGTCACCGACATACTATGTGTGACAGGTGATGTGTCGACGCAGTCTGGCGCAGACTGACGTCGCGCAGCCAGCAGCGTCATATTATTATGTTTTGACTAGAGACTCGCCCTCGTTTCGCTCGGGTTCGTCCCTAGGTATATTTTAATTTTTTTGAGCCGAACCCTAATCCTCTTACTTAACTAAAAGTAGCCTATGTTACTCCTTATAACATCAACTACCTGCCACTGAAAGTCCCGTCAAAATCGGCCCAGCCGTTTCGGAGATTTGCCGGAACAAATAGACAGACAAAAATTTTGAAAATTGTGTTTTTCTTATAAATACCGTATATAATTTCATATGCATTTAGTAAAAAGCTGTTATTTTGACAGTACAAACAGATACTTCAATTTTATTTATCTGTATAGATTAATAAATAAATTATATCGAAATGTAAAATGTAAATAATTATCGCTCGTAGTGCCAAATGCCAATGAATGTGAAAACAAGACTAATAAGAAGTTCAATTTACAAATTATTAAATTTTAATTATTAAAAAAACTGTTATTCTAAAGTTGTAAGTTTTCACTTCTGTCGGCAGTCCCCATGGGCCCATGACTGCCTATTTTAATTTTTTATTATTAAATTATTTTGGCTAGTAATTCAATAATCCGATATAAATTGTTTTTTACTTTCTTCTGGATTTCAATTATACTTTTTTAGTTTTATTAAGAGTGATTATGATTATGCATGACGTAGTGTTTGTTTTTATTATTATTGTTTTATATAGTAACTAGTGACTCACCCTCGCTTCGCTCGGGTTCGTCCCTAGCTTGGTTCCCGATACAAACTTTCATCCCCATTTTCAACCCCTTAAGGGATGATTTCCGGGATAAAAAGTATCCCATGTCCTTCCCAGGGTCTCAAACTATCTTCTTACCAAATTTTATCTAAATCGGTTCAGTAGATTCAGAGATTACCCCCTACAAAGTCACAAATTCACAAACTCATAATGTTACAAACTTTAACTCTTTATAATATTAAGTATAGATGTATGCATTTAATTAGTTGAATGTTGTTTATTGTAATCCATGTAATCACCGCTAACGCAACCTAAATAAGATTAAATAAATAAATTAATTTCTCATATACATATTCCATTTCATCGTCGATACAAAATCTACATCTATGTATCTAGCACAGAAACTCCAAATGGAGTCACAACTTTGTTAATTGGTAAAAATCTGTCGGAATATACCTACCATGAAAAGGGTTTTTATTCAGTGCATAATCCTTTGTCTCGTTTAATAATATAAAAATAATTTAGCTTTAACCTCTTACTACTGAAGCCTCTTCTAAATACGAAAGAGTCTTTTGTCTACTTAGCTAGCCACATTTAGCTGCTTAAATATGTAAGTGTAATTGAATAAAGTTTATTTCATTTCATTACTTTGTCTTTTTCTTTGCATTGTCTTTTGAAAACTAGTGTGTAAAGTTCTTTAAGGCTTACGATATTTTTCTCTACCGTATATACAATCAAGTATCTAATCTTGTTGAAAATGACTCGCAGAGGAGTGAGGCTCAGGGTTGAATTCACTGAACATAGTTTTTAAAACTAAAAAATATATCAACTCAAATGAAAATGTTATACCAATCTGTTTTCACAATATTTTGTTTTCCTTTATAATGGCAAACAAATTTGAATAATGAGGCTATGTTTATAGAATACGTAGCCCAATCTACTTACACGATTAGTCACATATCACTAAAAGATGTCTTCTAATGTTAGTTCATATTTTTATAGATCAATAATATTACCAAGAAGATTTACCAGGATTCTAAAAGCAGTATTAGTGAGAACAGCAGTTTCCAAAAGAATGTTGCCTTAGATAAAAATCAAGCGTATTCTGCGTTAGATTTAAAAGGGATTGCCGCGGGAAGATCTAATTTAGCGGCCTTGCTACGAGCAGAAACTGTTAGGCAAAAGTTGGAATTAGAATCTGCAAAGCGCTTGGCAGAGCAGCGTCGAAGAGCTGAAAATAGGCATCGTGATCGTTTACTGCGGTCTAATCCAGCTTGGCATATGGTAAAAAATAAGTAAGTAGCTGTTGATTCAAAATATAAATTAAATTACCTTTTATATGTATTATATTATTTTTGCCAGTGACTCCGCTCGCATGGTAAGCGGGTCGGAGATAAAAGGTAGGATTCGCATTATATGACTTTCTTTCACATTTTGAATCTCGTTTAATTCAGGTAAATTTAAGATTTAATTATTTTAATCTTTATTTTAGTCATGAAGAGGATATAGCTATAAGGCTGCAAACTAGACGTGACGAAGAGAGAATGAGACGTGAGGAGTTTCTTCATGAAATGGAATTGATGTACGGTAGAGTGCAGAAGCAGCCCATGTTGTTCGAAAGATATTACGCGCCGCGATCTGGTGCGACTACTGTGGATTCAATACAATTTTCTCCTAGAAAAAGTCCAAGCAAAAAGAGAAATACAAGAAAATGTAAGGCATATCACTTACCGAGTCCAAGTATATCTCCAGAATTACGCGAAAATTTCCTGAAGTATTTGGATAAAGTAGACACAAAGAAACTAGATCGATCTGAATTATTTGAAGATATTGATAGTTTAGATAGAGGTTGAATGTTTTGTTTGAGTATAGAAGCATCGTAAATTTAATTTAAAGAGTATCGGTGTAGTGACCGGCTCGGAAAGCAGTTACTGTTGAGAAGAGCCAACGAGAAACTCAACAGTTAGTCTTTTAAATATCAAGTTACATTTTATTGATTTTATTAACATAATGATATAGATAGCCCGCATAATATATATGTCAATTCTATCTACAATCTATCAACAAGAAACTCTTGAACAGAGTTACAGATATGTTGTACTCATTAAAATGTTTAATTTTATACTTAAATTGTTGAAAAGGTATGTAAATCTAGGACAATTTGTGGAATCTTATTATATATGCGTATACTCAGGCTCATGAAGGATTTATTCACCTTTTGGAGTTGAAACCAGGCCGTAACAAGCTAATTTTTATTTTTAGTGTTTATTGTGTGTCTATCGCTGTTTTTCAAATCATTGTATAGTCATTTATTAATTACTAGCGACTCACCCTTGCTTCGCTCGGTTTCGTCCCTGGGTACGTTTTAACGGTAAGTATAGAATAGACTATATAAACATGTGTATATGTACAATGTACGTAAATAGGTATAGAAAAGTAAGTAAGTATTATAAAAATTAAAAATATATATATCTCTTACTTGAGAATTGATTGATTTTCCATTCAACCTTCCACCCAAGGGGGGTGTTCACCCCTTTATACATATATATATGATATGTTTTCCGGGATGAAAACTAACCTATGTCACTCCCAGGGTCTCAAAATATTTCTTTACCTCTAAATCGGTTCAGCGGATTAAGCGTGAAAAAATGACGGACAGACAGACAGACAGACGGAGTTACTTTCGCATTTAATATTAGTATGGATCTATAAAGCTGGCTATGTACATAAATAGGTATAGAAAAGTAAGTAAGTATTATAAAAATTAAAAAAATATATATCTCTTACTTGAGAATTGATTGATTTTCCATTCAACCTTCCACCCAAGGGGGTGTTCACCCCTTTATACATATATATATGATATGTTTTCCGGGATGAAAACTAACCTAAGTCATTCCCAGGGTCTCAAAATATTTCCATACCTCTAAATCGGTTCAGGGGATTAAGCGTGAAAAAATGACGGACAGACAGACAGACAGACGGAGTTACTTTCGCATTTAATATTAGTATGGATCTATAAAGCTGGCTATTTAGTGGTGCTGGTCTATCATCATCGACTTGGACTGAACGTTGCTAAGTCGGTCAGTGAGTCGAGGACATGCCTTTAATATACGAGTATAATAAAAATAGTTATTGCGAGTGTAAGTACTTTAGGAGATAGACGTTTCTATTATTTCGGACTTTTCTGTAGACCTTTTTAAAGTCCTGTAGTAAAAGATATCCTAAGCCCCAGTAATAAATTATCACTACACAAAATTTAGTTAAAATCGGTTCAGTAGGTCCTTTTTGTGTCCCCCTTTTCAAGGCCTACAATTTTTTACTATATTGTTTTGATGTGTCTTAAGGTTTAGCCAGCGGAAGGTTTCTAAGAACGACTTGATAAAACCAGTTATTGCGTTTTCTCGTAGGAAAGAAAGATTTTCCTGAAGTAAAGGGCATCCTAAATGTTGACCCGAGTAATAAGCCAAATTTCGTGGAAATCGGTTCATTACTTTTGCCGTGAAACGAGCACACACAAACAGACAAATAGTCAAAATATTTATTAACTATTGTTTTGGGGTCTATATTGTGTACATAATTTATGTTACAGTCATTGTTTTTAAAAAACATTTCGTGTACAAATTTCGCTAGTTACTGCTTTATTATAAGTATAGATTAGGTATTGAATAAAGATACCAATTATAAATTACACATACATAAATAAATTACACGAGCGGTGCTGCGGTAAAAAGCTTGTATACTTATTTTATTACTTAAGAATTAGGTACAATTGAAGCCTCTAATTTTATAGGTTTTAACTATTAATTATTTTATAGGTTTTAACTATTAATTTAACAGTGCTAATATATGTACATACTTAATTATTATGTAATGTAACGAGTGAAGTGGAACCTTTATTTAATAAAAACTGACAGCCACAATAATTATACCTTTTCAAAATTTCAACCGACTTCTTAGAAAAGGAGGAGGTTCTCAATATGGCTGTATTTTTTTTGTTTTTTTTGAAAGGCTATACTTTCAATATGGTCCCATTTTAATATGAAAAAAACCACCTTTATGGTGGGGTGGAAAAATAGTTACTGAAAATTTAAACTACTTACTTCTAATCAGGGCTGGATTTAGGGGAGGGCAACCGGGGCTAGAGCCCCGGGGCCTCCACAAGAGAGGGGCCCCCACAAAAGAAATTAAAAAAAATCAAATTCTGACTGGTGACAACTTTTTCGTTTTCAACCGACTTCCTCAAAAAGGAGGAGGTTTTCAATTCGGCTGTATTTTTATTTCTTTTTTATGTTTGTTACCTCAAAACTCTGTCATTTATTAACCGATTTGGACAATTTTTGTTTTGTTTGAAAGTGTATAGATTCCAGATTAGTCCTAAGGGTGAAAAAATAGCTAAAGATGAATTTAACCTAATCTAATCTAATTGTCATATTGACTTGAAACTTTGCAAGTGTTTCTATTTCCGTTGATAGTACAGTGGGTCGGTATTGTTGACCTGATCTGATGGTAAGGCCAGAAGGTGGATAGGTGGAACTCTTCAATGGCTAATAGTAGATACTTTGAGTTTGGGCCTATTTTGTTTGATTTGACAAGCCTAACACGTTAGAATTCTTACTGTCTACACTAGAACGAGAAAAATAAAAACTTTTTAACAAAAAAATAAAAACCGACTTCAAACAAAAGCACTAAAAAGTAAAAATTACTGATTGGTAGTTTTCATTTACTATACATACCCAATCAAATAATTTCGAAGTCGGTGCCAACCGACACAAAGCAAAGCCGGCTTTGCTTATTAAAAATATATTATTATTATATATTTTTTATTTTTTTTATTTTTTTCATTTTTTTTCTCACTTTAACCTATAATACTTGTATAAATATGATTGGTTATATTATTCTTAAATATAAAAACAATTTATCTATAATATTCGTTCACCGCAGTTCATTGCATTCAGGTAAAAAGAGGTTACAGAGGGATTATGATTACTTAATTATAATCATGCGTTTTTTTGGTTCTGCGTGAGTTTATTTATTTTATAATTTTAAGGTCTGCAATATTATCATCAAATGTGCATGCACTCAAAAATAATATTTTCCTATATCTACTCCGTAGGTTTAGGTAGTTAACTAAAGGTAAACAAAGAACTCATTGGGACTTAACCTTTTATTACCAAAAATTTAACACATATTGTGAACTAGCGAATTACTCTCGCTTCGCTCGGGTGCGTCCCTAGGTACGTGGATTTTGTTCACAATTTCATGGGATTTAATTTTTTGTTCAGAACCCTGATTTTTTTTTAAATAAAAGTAGCGTAAGTTACTCCTTATAACATCAGCTATCTTCTAGTGAAGGTTCCGTCAAAATCAGTCCAGCCGTTTCGCAGATTAGCCGGAACAAACAGAAAGAAAATTTATTCCGAAGTTTATTCCGTATATTATGCATTTCATATGCATTAAGTAAAAAACTGTTGTTTATTATATTTATCTGTAGTTATAGTTAAAATAACAGCATTTTTTAATCATTAATTTATTGAATTCACCCACAGTCAAAACATCACTCACAATAAAATTGATGTAGAGTTATACAAATTTATATTCAATATAATATTTAAATTGATGATGTATGTTATGGACGACGAGTCTACACGACGGCAGAATCTAGCTTAAGTTACGTCCCTTTAATGTACAATACGATAAGAATTTTGACTCACTCTAATAAGATTGTTAATTAGAAATGAAAAAACGAGGTTTTGCTCATCGTGCACCATTCGTCGGATAGCCATATAAGAGGCAACTAGCAAGAAAAAAGCTAAGGAGGGAAAAACTCCCGTTGGTTGGAGTTTCATTTTGAAACTCTTAAATACAGTCCACCATATTTTCATTTAAAAATTTCCATATAGATAGTATATCATGTAAAAAGGGAGCTGTGTTGTTGCTGAATGCTGATATTATATAATATCGATGGTTGCTTTTTTTGCTTAATTGAAAAGTAACTTTATCATAGATTATTTATGCTTGCATTAAGTCTATAACTTATATGGTCATTTTAAAGGGTAATTTAAAACTTTTATCAATAATAAAAAAGCATTAATGTTCAGCGAAAAGGTTCCATTCATTAACACTGTAATTTAATTCCGGATAATTCTTGTATTTGACTATATCTATATATATTTATTGAAAATAATTTCGTTTGTTTCGCAATAAATACTTAAAACACTTGACTAAAAAATTGTTCATTTTATTTGGAAAATAATTAGGGGCCTCCACTCCTTTGTTGCCCCGGGGCCTCCACACCCCTAAATCCGGCCCTGCTTCTAATTATTATCATATTGCTTTGAAACTTTGCAAGTGTTTCTATTTCCGTAGTGTAGTGATTTGGTATCGTCGACCTGATATAATAAAGGTGGATAGGTGGAACTCTTCAACGGCTACTTTGAGTACATACTTTGAGTTTGGGCTTATTTTGTTCGATTTGACAAGCCCAATGCATAGAATTGGATTTTACAGCCTGAGTTTTAGTCTTCATATAAAAATTGGCGTCAAAGTAATTTAGTGAATATTTTAATAAAAATACTTTCTTATTTGCTACTACTATATCTACACAAAAATGGAAAAATAAAAACTTAAAAAAAATAATAAAAAAAATAAAAATCGACTTTAAAAAATAGAAAGTAAAAAAATAACTGATTGGGTAGTTTTATACCTAATACCTTATAATATTATTATAGTATGGAAGTATGGATATACTAATATAAAACGTATTCAACAATATTTTTATGTTGTTATAAACGAACCAACTGATTATTATAAAACAGATTGCATGTGGCTGCCTTATCTACACTTGGGAAAACCAGTGTTAATCATATTTTTTTATTAAGCATAAACATTCATATAGTTGAATCAATTGAATATATTCAAGTCTTGCATTGCCCGCGGCTTCGCCCGCGTTCAAATGACCAAAAACCAAATTATTCGGTTTTACATATTAATATACTCTTACATTACAATTATTGTATTTTTTCTCAGAAATGAGATATTTCCCGCGGTAAAAAGTATCCTATATGTTGACCCGGATAACTAGCTATCATCATACCAAATTTCATCAAAATCCATCCAGGAGTTTTTCTGTGATGCGGTAATAGATAGACAGACAGACAAAAGATCTAAAAATTACAGATTCGGCCTCTGTATCGATAATGATGTCTATTTCAATAAGATTTTCCAAAAAATATGTAATGTGTTATACTTATATGTGTGATGCGGCTTAGTTAGAATTTTATTATATGTATATAAATTATAAAAATATTAAAATGTAGATAAATTTCAGTGAGACAATGTTGCCTGTTTTGTGGGTCCTTTATTCTTGTCAATGATAACATCTACTCCGTTTTTCTAATATTTTTTTAAATATCATATATTTATGTAGGTATATTAATTTTGTTAAATTACATATTTGTAATTTGCATGTGTTTGTATTTTCAGATGAACTCAATTTAAAATATAAAATAAGTAGTAACTACATATTTTGTTTTACAATTTATTTTATTTATTCAGCAGATAACAGATCTATTTTTAGACATAACGTGGATTAAACAATAATTTGGATAAAACAGTAATAATTTTTGCCTAATATTTAAACAAGCTTATACTTATTTTATTTATATCATACAACTTATATCCTTAATAATACTGGTTATTTACAATTTGTCCGTTATATGTAATTTCTTCTTTAATCTAAAGGAGTTAAAATGTTAAATTGACTTTTGGAGAATTTATGAAAGGCTTTTTAGGTGTTCGCTTTGTCGCCAATCATAATAACCTTTTTTATTATAAATTATAATTTATGTACATTAAATGTAATAGGAATCAATTCAGTACAACAAAATACTCAAAAAAATTTTTTATCAGAATAAAAACCCGACTGCCTAAAAAGCGAATTAAAAAGATGAGAACAGGTTAACGAAGAAACATAGTATGTAATATGCAGTCGAAGACATACAAATGTACATGTTTTATACTAACAGCGAATCTTACAGCTTACTACGTGCACAGATCACATAATACTATACCTACTAGTACTATGTACCTATTGTGTCCCCTGTTTTTTATTTACAGTTTTTTAGTTTTGTTCAGTAAGACATTTTTAGTTTTATTTAACAATTTCTTAGCCTAAATTATTTTTAAAAATGTAAGGTAGGAATGTAGTGTATTTTTGTAATCACCTCTTATAAACTGATATTTTGATATCCCAATCGATTGATTCGAACGTTTTTTTTTCAAATTGGCGCCCCAAATCCGCTATTTTGACTTTTAGACACTCGCACTGTCAAGACGAATCTAATGATGTATGAATCATCAAAATCGGTTTAGCAATTTAGTAATTACGATGGAGCATAGGGTCGGACATACATACATGCAGATCAAACACATAGCCCTCATTTGGGCTTCGCCGCAGTCGGGTAAAAATAATTAAGCAACTCTCTAATTTTTCGTCATTCAATCAACGCCTAATTGTTTTTCGTATCCAATCCATATATGATGTTATTCTTGTATAAATTCCCGGCATACCTTCGGATCCGCATCTCTTAGGGCCAGTGCTGGTGATTCCAAATAAATACCAATTTTTTTCATAATCTTCCGTCACCATTTTTACTAAGGACCCTCCAGAATCACCACTACATGTATCTTTTCCCTCTACACCTCCCGCACAAATAAGAGTTTCAAAAAATTCTTCTGGAATTTCAGAATATATTGTGTGACAAATATCAGAGGATACCGTATTCAGGGACACCTTTCGTTTAAGGGGTGATGGTAAATCTGAAATAATGTTATATTTATAAGTAGGTACTTTTGTATTTATTTTTGAAGTTAGAAGTTCTTTAGTTGCGTTGGCCGAATTTTTGGTAGGGGCAAAACTTATCTCCCCAACGTGCGTTCACCTTGTCGTGGTAGGCGGGCTTAGTAGTGCCCGGCAATACAGCCGGGCGCGAAGCTAAGAAACGCACAGGGAGGTGGCCCACCTCGACAGACGGTGGGCCATGCGGGTTGCTCCTGGTACTTCTTTGATAGCAGAGTGGACCATTGGAGTAACCCCATGGCTGTTGTGGTCTGCTTCAGCAAACTTGCCGTTGGGGCGCCGTGGTTGAGTGCGTAAGTTATCTTACGACGCCCCTTTAGGACGGGGGAGGTTCTGTTGGGTTTTAGTTGGTAGTATTGGCTTTAACGGTGAGTCCCACACCTCGTGCCTAAATACATTTCCCAACGTTAAAAAAAAACAAATAAAAGGGGCATAACATTTCGACCAGTCTGAAGACGCGCAGCGTCATATGTTTTGATTAATATATACTTAAACTATATCAAAATACAAATAATTATTGCTCGGAGTATCAATAGGTGTGAAAACCAGACTAATAATAATTTCAATTTATATAGGTATTACTAAATTTTTGATCTGATATGATGTTCTCCTGACCGATTCCGGCCACGGCGGTCAATCTCATTGAGACTAGCCAACTGCGCAGGAGATATTATAGTGCACAAGTGTACGCGCAGACACAAGTGCACTCTCTATTCCTGTCACTCTCATACTCTGGTGGGACGACCACTCGACACGACCAGTGAGAGTCAAGGCGCAGGACCGACGGCTTTGCGTGCTCTCCGAGGCACGGGGGTAAAACACCGCCAACTTCCCAACTCCGGGCTGTTACTAAGGCTTCATACAGAAAGACTCAACAACTAAATTTGGCCCGACCCGGGACTCTAACTCAAATTTTAATTACTCTTACTATAAATACTTTAAAAAACACACAGCTATTTCAAAGTTATAACTTATAAGTCCTCACTTCTGTCGGCAGTCCTCATGACTGCGCATTTTTTTTTCTCCTTAAATAATTTTTTTCTTTATATTCAGTGAAAAATTTTATACTTTAGAATTTTCACTCACCAAATTCAGTTATACCCCAACCCGCTGTCCAGTAGGAACTATCCAGTACATAATCTTGTTGTGTTACATATTCTGTACTTGGTAAACACACTGGTGTTATAAATTCTGGCAAACAAAAAATCATATGATTCATATAGTTTATTTGCACTTAAATATATATACAACATTATGAACTTTGAGGGCAAAGGTGGACTTATCTCTAACAGAGATATCTTACTGGCAACCTATGGGGATCGATTGTCACTTAGCGGAGCAGAAAAGTGCAAGATAATAAGGACATATTATTTAAAAAAGGTCACAGTATACATACATAGTCGTAACACAAAGATATAATTATATAACATACATATTTCATAGATAACAGTGCTAAAATCTTTAAGCTTTATAGTAGCTTAAAGACTTTTATATAGCCTGAATATGATAAAATGCTTAACTTGAGAATTGAGAATTGTTACCTGTAAAAGGAATAGGTTCGTCTAATTTAAGCAAAGCTATGTCTCCTTTTTTTGCGGATTTTACATCAAAATCATCGTGCATAAATATTTCACTGATGTTTTTATCAACAGGCTTGTCATTGCAAATAAAGTCTTGTAAATGTTTTTGGCAATCCCGTTCAGTCTGTTCGTCCCATTCTCCCAAGCGGACACTGATACTGCAAGTTTTTTATTGCTTATATAAATAATATTTAGATAAACAATTTATATTTAACATGACAAAATAATAATAATAATAATCATAAATCCATTCTAATATTATAAATGTGAAAGTGTGTTTGTTTGTTTGTTTGTTTGTTTGTTTGTTTGTTTGTTTGTTTGTTTGTTTGTTTGTTTGTTTGTTTGGTTGTCCTTCTTTCACGTAAATTCGGAGAGACGGATTGGCGTGATTTTTTGTGTGGAGATAGTTGGAGGGCTGGAGAGTGACATAGGTTACTTTTTACCGCGGGAGATTAGCTAATTCCCACGGCTAAACACGTTATAATACAATCCAAAAAAAATATTTATGATCAGAATTACTTGAAACTTGGTATTAATGCTCTTCAATAAAATTAAATAAATACGTTTTTTAGTATTTTTCGAAATTCATTCTATAAGGGGATAAAATAGGAGATGAAAGTTTGTATGAAACTACCTATTTAGATATTTTTTTGTAGTTTTAGTGCGAGCGAAGCGCGGGTTCTGCTAGTAAGATATAAATCCAGTAAGGGCGTTTCGACGACCGTCTCTTGTATAACTACTTACTTCAAATTTTCTGCGTGTTTTACTTAGTATTGTATACTAAGTATATAAATAATTAGAAAAGGAAATTAACGTAATATTAGTAAACCACGTATAACAGAATATCATCTATCAATAGTTCACCGTGTCATTTGCTCCGTGACACTTGTCGTTGGTCCACTTACAGGCGTAGGCAATATTCAATTTGTCATTTCAAGTAATCAGTTCATCAGTCAGCTGAGTGTCTCCCCCCCCCCCCCAACGTGCGTTCACCTTGTCGTGGTGGGGGGGCTCAGTAGTGCCCGGCAATCCAACCGGGCGCGAAGCTAAGAAACGCACAGGGAGGTTGCCCACTTCGGTGGGCGGTGGGAGGTGGCCCTCTTCGGGGGGCGGTGTACCATGCGGGTTGCTCCTGGTACTTCTCTGATAGCAGGGTGGACCTTGGAGCAACCCCCTGGTTGTGGTGGTCTGCTTTGGCAGACCTGCCGTCGGGGCGTCGTAGTTGAATGCGTAAGCGATCCTGCGACGCCTCATTAAGACGGGGGAAGGTTTTGTTGGGTTTTAGTGGGTAGTACTGGCTGTATTACGCCGGTGAATCCCACACGTCGTGCGTAAATGCATTTCCCAACGTAAAAAAAAAAAGCTGAGTGTGAGTTCCACAAAAATTTTTATATGGCTTTATCATCACGCTTATTGAGTTAGAGCTAATTTCACCATGTCTTTATTGTAATATAGACTATTGAATTTCTGATATGCCTCAGCGTATTAAAATAATAGGTATTTATTTACCTATGAAGTTGCCGTTTTGCAATACTGGCCATTTAAAACGTAATTTATAAATGGCCGACAATAAATTCAAATGAATTTTATTTTAAAAGTATGAAGTTCTATATTCAAATTTAGTCATTTGTTTATTGACCAGTGTTTTGTTTTCATTACATTTGTATCTTTTTCATTAACTTTTTGTATATTAAACGGCAATTTTATAGGTAAAGACTTAATATTAACCTATAATATTTTAACAGTGTGATTAATTTAGAAAACTATTGATTAATTCAATAGATTTCTAAATAATAAATTGATTATACAGAAATTGGTGAATATGTCAAAAATGTTTACCAACAAATTGTGTTGTTATTGACTATGGAATTAGTGTTAAACTACTACAGGCATATTTACTAGTTCTGTTTATTAACAAATAAAAATAAATAACGGTTAATACTAACGGTTTGCCAATTTTATCAGTTAAGCAGTGAGCAGCAGTTATTAGATATTGATTCGTAATGAGCGAAGCTGAGCAGGCATAATATTCCTCTCCAAATTCTGAAAAAAAAAATAGATTGTAAAAATAAATTTATTTATAATTTTAAAGCTAAGCAACATTTACTGATTTCACATAATTTTAATTCTTTATAAAACGTAGATCTTAACTTATATAGGTAGTTAAAAAGTTTTTTTTTATCTCAATGATGATGATCTTCTGACTGATTCTGGCCGCGGCGGCCAATCTCACTGAGACCACCAACTGCGCAGGAGATATTATAGTGCACAAGTGTACGCCCAAACACAAGTGCACTCTCTATTCCTGTCACTCTCATACTCTGGTGGGACGACCACTCGACACGACCAGTGAGAGTTAAGGCGCAGGACCGACGGCTTTACGCGCTCTCCGAGGCACGGGGGTCAAACACCGCCAACTTCCCAACTCCGGGCTGTTACTGAGGCTTAATATACAGAAAGACTCAATAACTAAACTTGTCTCGACCCGGGTATCGGGTCGGCCAGTTCGGATTGAATCCAGGACCTCCGGGTGTGCAGCCGTACATGCTAGCCACTGCACCACCGAGGCAGTTAATAAAATAAGTTGCAAGTTGTAATATGCCTGTACAAGTTCTTTTTAAGTTCTTTCAAGTTCTTTTTTTTATATATCTTTATAAATGGTTTAAAACTTGTTTCTCGAAATGTACTAACCTAAACATTTTACTTCGTTATAATACATAACTGAGCAAGCTGTGCTTTCCTATAAATAAAGAAGCACACATATTGTAATTTTTAATTACTTTTTATGTTTTTAAATAATGTAAAATGTGTATCCTTTGTTGTAGATCCTTGACTAAATAAAATATTAAAAAAAGATCAAACAAATGTTAATGCTATAATGTCATCTCATGTCACTTTAGTTGCTGTATTTTTTTGTCTTTTCCAATCTACGTGACATTAGCGAAGTAATCTGTGCTCAACTGGCACTCTTTGAAACCATTAAATAAGAGAATTGAATTAATTTTGTTTATATAATGGGGCCCAATTGCATTTTATTTCCTTTGTTTATTTTTATTTAATTTAGATTGTATCCTAAATAAAATACTTACTGTTTCGATACTTGATTCGAGCTAGCCATGGAAATTCATCAATTCCTGCAATTAATCCGCCGACTATCCTATCACGTATCGCAACTTGGCCACAAATTTTTCTACTTGGCAATAGTTCTGAATTTATTTCGGGAATCATAGTAGTGACTTTTGATTCTTGGCTTATTTCTTCAATCTTTTGAGTAGTGACTTTACTTGGTTTTCTCGTTGCAATTTCTTCTGTTAAATTGGTAAATATTATAGAAGTTCCCGATACAGGGCAACACACCTAAAATTATAAGCACAAATGAATCTATATATATATTTTTAATGTTATAAATAAAAATGAATGGCGAAATGTGATGCTAAACGCAAACCTCGTAAAGGGATGAACCAATTCGGATATTTTTCTTTTCAAATATTCGTTGAAGTTCGAGGAAGGTTCTTAGGAATAGAAAATTGAAAAAAAAACACGGAAAAACGTAAAAATCACATTTTTCTACTTTATAATCATATGAACGCAACCTTAAAATTAATATAAACTATTTGCATACATTTGTAGATTTGACACTTTTTTTTCTACAACATTATACAACAGTTGTTTACTGGAAAATGGTATCTACTTTTAACGCGGGAGATTATCTCATTCCCACGGAAAATACATTATAATACAATCCACAAAAACTCATCGAACTTATGGAGTCAGAAGCTTTTTAGTTGAACTCCTCTCCATACTACTAATTATTATCTATACATACATATAATAAAATTGTAACTAAGTTGAATCTGAACATTAAATATTTTTTGGAAAATCTTATTGAAATAAACATTATTTATTTATTTATTTATTCGATACAGAGGCGGAATCTATAGTTTTTAGATTTTTTGTCTGGTTGTCTGTCTGTTTGTCTGTCTGTTACCACATCACAGACGAACCACTGGAGGGATTTTGATGAAATTTGGTATGGTGACAGCTGGTTATCCGGGTCAACATATAGGATACTTTTTACCGCGGAAAAATATCTCATTTCTGAGAAAAAATACAAAAACTGCAAAGCAAGAGTATACTAATACGTAAAACCTGAGAATTTGGTTTTTGGTCATCTGAACGCAGGCGGAGCCGCAATGCTAGTATACTATAAATTTAAATTAATTTATAGGCCACTGTCATATTAAGTTCTATATTAAATTCATATTCTAAATAAGTGAAACATTTAGGTGTTTGTGTGTTCTTTACTTCTTTACGCTGCAACGAAATTGAGTGAAATTTTTGAATATTACCTTTCAATACCACTTTTTAAATTTCTTTTTTAATTGATAAAGATCCAACAGTTTAAGATGCACTTTGATGCATGATTAATGAATCTATACTATTATATAACAGTAGAGGCCGGATGTCTGTACAGAGCAAAAAAATGCTAAAAACCGAGTCAGGGTGATGTAAGAAGACAAATAAAACAAATCTTCAAATTTTTTGTTTCTCTGTCTGTTTGTCTGTTTATCTGTTTGTACGGGCTAATCTCCGAATCTATAGGACCAATTTAAATGAAATTTTGCATGGTGGTACCTTATATCCCCGGGCAACATCTTAGATACTTTTTATCCCGGAAAATTAAAAAGTTCCCGTGGGATAGTTAATAAACTATAATAACTTATACAGCTTAAAACACAAAAACTACTGATTGAATTTTGATGAAACTTTACAATAATATAGGTCATACATCAGAATAACAAATAAATTACTTTTTATCCCGGAAAAATGTACGGTTCCCATGGGATAGAGGTTTCGTTTATTTGTAACGTATTATGTACACAGCATAGACCCCAAAACAATAGTTATTAAAAAAATTGTCTGTTTGTCGGTTTGCCTGTATGTCTGTTTTTCAGTTTATATCCCCGGTCAGAAAACATGTAAGATACTTTTTATTCCGGAAAATTAAAGAGTTCCCGTGGGATAGTTAAAAAACTATAGTAACTTATACAGCTTAGTACACAATAACTTATGCACCTAATTTAGTAAAATTTGGCATACTGATACCTTCTATTGCCGGTCAAACAACAGGTTACTTTTCATCTCGGAAAAATGAACGGTTTCCATGGGAACTAATAGATCTCTATTAGTGTTTTGGAACCCGAGCGAAGCGAGGGTGAGCCGCTAATTTTGAAAAATGTAAATGTAAAAATTTTTAGATATAAATAAAATATTTACCTTGGGTGTTGTTCCATCAAATCCGCAGGTCATTTCTTTCACTACGTCCCTATTAAGTCTTATCAAGGATAATGCTAATGGGCACTTATATATATTCATACAAGTGCTGTTGGGGGTCATACTCTCACATGTAGAATTTAAGGGAACTGCAATAAAATATTTTTAACACACTAAAATATGGCCAAAATGTTTTTAATTTTTAACATTAAATGAAAAACGTCGATTCGACGGCAAAGCTTTACAAAACTTATGTCCCAATGATACTATTACGCATTTGAGATGGTTATCATTTTTATTTCATATACCTATTATTATATATAAATGAACGCTATTGTGTAGTGTATCTTGGCGTCACCTGCTGTCATAGTACATATGTATGAATGTATCTACTATCTAGTTATTGTTGATAGAGTAAAGTTAGTGCAAAACCTCGAACTATCGCAAATCTACAATTTTTCTAGTGAAATCTTATATGGCTATTATATAAAGAATAAAAGAAGATTTTGTGTTGCCAGTAAGCCGCAAATTAGCGTAGCCCTGAAGTGGGAGTATTTCGAAACTAAAACATAAAAATCGTGTTTTCATCGTAAGCATCAGCCTTGTTTATATCAGATTATATTGGTCGAGTTTTCGTCGACACTATTTTAAGATCTACTTTTTTTTAAAGCAACGGATTTCTTTAATTACAATAAAGTTACAAAAATATACTTAATTATAGATGCAAAACTAATGTACACTTGATAATAAATGTATTGTATCTAATACCTTAAACGAGCAATTCTTGTATATTTATTTATATAATATATACCGGCGATTTCGGAATCGGCTCTAACGATTTCGCAGAAATTTGGTATGTAGGAGTTTTAGGGGGCGAGAAATCGATCTAGTTTAGTCTTATGTCTGGGAAAACGCGTGTTTTCGAGTTCTTGTGTGGTTTTCTTTCGCATTATTCCACGCAAAATATAGTCACTAATTTCGCACGTTCGAGCGTCAAGCGGCCAATGCGCAAGATTGACAGTCACAGGTGTCCGAGTTCGAATCCGGGTCGGATACAAAGTTTTTACTTTCGTATTTTTTGTGTTTATTCAAGTTTTTAGTTTTATTTATCTAAAAAATACGATATAACAAAAAAGAACTCCGAGCGTAGCTTGGTCGCCCAGGTAGTCTACATAAAGTAAGATTCTATTTCAGACACGAGCTTGATTTTCTACCGTGTATGAGATATGTCTGTTCAGCAGTACAATTAGTTGATTGTTGTCCCATCGACTAGTTATTCCCTTCCAGGATATCAGTTTTTTCGGAACGACCGTAGTAGTCAGGGTGGTGGGTGTGGGTATTTACCTACGCAGCGGCATTCCAGCCTGTGTTGTTTCTCACTCTATCTCACTTTGAACAGGCTCTCGTATATATCTTTTTTGAAATTCACCACAAAAAAATCTTCTTAGCATTTTGTATTGTATAAAATATCCTTGAGAGATTTGTTCCTTATTACGATCATGTATTTCAAATGGGTGATCTAAATACGTGTTTATTGAATGGCTCCAGGGCTCAAGAATTAAATGATTTAACTACCTAAGTCAATTTGCACATACTCCCTATGAATTCCCCAACCTATTACTTTCCAAATTGTCGCCAACCTCATACATTCATCCATCCCTATGACGTGTCCGCTTTTCCCACAGCACAGTTGGTGCACTGCTGGATATCATGGATGGATGCTATATATGGTATGTATGGATGCTATGGGTAAAATCAAGCTCACCGCGATGGTCTTACTTGATTTTAGCAGTGGTTTCAACTCTGTTGATTTCTACATTCTTATTGGAATTTTTCGTGCGGTTAATATTTCTACTACTGTTATAGACTGGTTCTATTATTATCTCTTCGGACGTCAGCAGTGCGCGAAAACCAACGATGAGTCATCGGATTGGGTAGATCTTACTGCTGGTATACCTCAAGGCCCCCCCTAACGTGCGTTCACCTTGTCGTGGTTGCTCAGTAGTGCTCGGCAATACAGCCGGGCGCGAAGCCAAGAAACGCACAGGGAGGTGGCCCACTTCGGTGGGCGGTGGAAGGCGGCCCTCTTCGGAGTGCGATGTACCATGCGGGTTGCTCCTGGTACTTCTCTGATAGCAGAGTGGACCTTGGAGCAACCCCATGGTTGTGGTGGTCTGCTTCAACAGACCTGCCGTCAGGGCGGCATAGTTGAATGTGTAAGCGATCCTGCGACGCCCAATTAAGACGGGGGAAGGTTTTGTTGGGTTTTAGTGGGTAGTACTGTCTTCGCCGGTGAGTCCCACACTTCGTGTGTAAATGCATTTCCCAACGTTAAAATTTTTTATTTATGGCGCGACTGACCCATGTTTTGATTATTAAAGCTATCGATTAACAAATAAGCAGCACGAACTCACTGTCAAAAATCCCGAGGAGATTTTAAAAAATCTTATTTGTAGCATTTTATAGAGATTCAATTTTACTCTTTAAAGCTAGCAAATCATTTGGTTATAATCTACTAAGACACCATTAGCCTGAAAACTTGACTAGAGTTACGTCCGTATCGTAAACCAATTATGTGACTCGGTTTAAGGTTTCATTAAGGAGTTTTGAAGACACGTGATGGATGGATGGAACTCACGTATCTACCTATGAATGAAATTGAAGTAGCTGGCTGTAATTTCAAAATAGCTTTGTTTATTTATATAGTTATATTAAAGTTATAAATACTAAAAAGATGTTACTGTGAGTATTATTGTTACTAAAATGTGTGTTTGTTCAGGCTAATTAGCAGAATGGCTGAATCGATTGTAATTTTCTATAAGGAGCAATTAGAACTTTTGGCATAGATTAATATATGGTATTTTTTAGCTAGAGTTAAAATCTTGTAGCAAACATAAGCCATTCGAATTTTAATATGAGTTAATATGATTGTGATTGTGATGTCAAGATTTAGATAACAATTTATATCCAGCCAACGGAAAGTTTTTGAGATTTATAATTATAATTTTAACTAGCAGAACCCGCGGCTAGGCATGCGCTAAAACTACAAAAAACAAATCTCTAAAAAGGTTGTTTCATAGAAACTTTCATCCCCTATTTTACCCCTTAAAGAATGAATTTCGAAAAATGCTACAATACATTTTTATTAAATTTTATTAAAGAGCATTAATACGAAGTTTTAAGTCCTTCTGATCATTAATATTTTTTTGGATTGTATTATGTGTCTTCCCGTGAGCATTAGGTAATCTCCCGCCATGAACGAAGTCTCTAATTCGTTCATGTCTCCCGCATTCAAAGTAGCCTATGTCACTCTCCAGCCCTCCAACTATCTCCGCACAAAACATCACGCCAATCCGTCGATCCGTTTCGATGTGAAAGAAGGACAAATAAACAAACATACAAACACACACACTTTCACATTCATAATATTAAGTATGGATTAATTACATATATTGTAAATGTATATTAGTAGTTGCGTGATTATTGTTAATAAAATGGTTATATTTAAAATATTAACTTTAAATCACTGACAAGAAGACAGAGACAGAGATGATTGTTGAAGATTGATTGAAACTGTGAGGTAGAGATAGATGAATATTATTTTGTTAGGACGTTTAAGTAATGATAGATTTTTAGGCAATTTAATATGTTTTTTATTTAAGCTGGGGTTACATTTACCTGTTGTCCTGGGGAAAGTAATGGCTCCTGTGGGATAAGAGATGATACTTAATATGAAAGGATTGTTTATAATAAAGTTAGTTACACTTCAGAATTTACTATAGCCTTAATGGAAATTTAGCTTAAGCCTAAGTGCTAATTTGAGATTACAGACTGACACTTTACACAATTTTATTTAAAAGTAGAATAAAAATTTATATTTACATGTAATAGGAGATAAATAGAGATAATTTTATCGCGTATGTGAAGCCGCGGTCAGAAGCATGTATGCTTAATAATACTTGTTATTGATTATTTTTGTCTTTAAAATTATAGGTTATTTGTCAAAAATGACGTTTATTATTGGAATTTACTGATCGTTTAAGACAAAAAGATGACAGTACATATGGTTGTACACATAAAATGTCTTGCTAGTAATGTATACTGTACATTTCAATCCTAATAATTATGGAATTTTACAAACACCTTTGTTTGTAAATGGCTTAACTTAACGAAATATTAAATACACTAAACTATTATGAAACAGGAAAATCAACTATTTTACTGAATCTATAATATAAATAATCAAAGTAAACTTACGGCTTGTGACACTTCCCAGTATGGTTAGGATAAACAACATAAATAATCTATTGATAATCATTTTTAATATCTAAATAATTAATAATTGTTTTTATTTCAACGATATAATGTTTAATTTAGATGTTATAAGGAAAAAAGCAACCGTTCCGAGGTCACACTGGACGAGTACTAAGACTGAACTCGATGACTACTCTATATGTATACATAACACGATGTGCTATGTATACGTCTATATATACTTACGTTTACATATAAGAAGATCTTTTGATCTTTTGTGGGTTTGTTTGTGATAATGTAAGCCAATAAAATAATTACTATTAAATTATATGTAGATTGTAGATGTTGTTAAATACTTACAGAATATTACTATATATTTTTTTATAACGATATCTATAAAGTTTTACGACAATTTTTCGTCAACAATCGAAATAGGAAAAGTATCAAACATACATATTTTAAATCATAGACCAAATTTTCGAGCATATCCGTGCGATAAGCTCTATCTTATGTGACGCAGTAACAGACGCTTATGTCAAATACTTAGAACCACCGTGTATACTTTTTCTTTGATGAATGGGATTTTTATTTTCGAATATCAAGAAAGCGATGTTTGATTAATATAGAGCAAATATTTTTCAATCTCTATGTAGAGTAGATAGCTTACAAAATGATATCCGCTAGCTAAAATTGTTTATGAAAAACAACAAGAGGAAAAAAACTAGGTGTCACATAGCATTCAAACTGACCACCCGATTAAAATCTATTCATTTTACGTATTTAATATACCTACATACATCTAAATACAGTTGAATTGCGTAATAGGTTTGTTTAGGTTTTTTGAATGGTTTACCCGTTATAAAGAAATAAAAAATGAAGGAAAGAAGAAAGGCCCTAATACATATAAAAATAATTTCATACTCGTCCTTTAAAGTTTATTTTTTTTTCACTGTTACTCAACCGGGTTCTGCTAAGTATCTAAACGAATCAGTTCCCATTATTTCATTATTAATCAATTAATAATAACTCAAAGCCTTAATTTATTTCACAAAACCTAATATGATCTCAAAATCAAAAGAAATCGTCTCTAGATCTTGTTCGGTGAATAAGTTTAGCTTATCGAATATTATCGTCTGGATCTTCTTAATCTATCTTTAATGTTGGATACCCGAATCCTCTTTATATTTAGGTTTTTTTACTTAAATAAACGATAGATTGTGCAAAATCAAAACTTAATTAAGTATTATAACATGTATTTTCTTCTTTGTTACATTCTTATTAGAGTACGAAAACAACATCATAAATTATTTTAGGACATCTGTTATATTTGGTCAAATTGTGCAGTTAAAATATATACATATTTGTACTATTGATATTCCTATTAAATAAATAAACTAAATAATAAAGTATTCATAGCCTCACTTTCAAGATAAAGATGAGGTTATTCACAGAATTAACATATAGCATCTGAACGCAAATGCCAATGTCGCTATATTTAATTATTTTGATGAAAAATATTAAATTTCCAGTCGTTGCCAAGAATAAGGTCAGCTTCTTCTCTTTTTAAGGGTGCCATTAGAACCGTAGTACTATAACAATTCCATTTAGCGATCAACAAGGGCACACGCTATCTATTAGCCCCCTTTGATGCATGGTGACGCATTGATATACGTCAACTCTTCTTGGGAATGCTATCGATGAATCATTATCGAAGAGTTGACGTCAGAGGGAGAGGGAGGTGTCTGGATAATAGAATAGTGATAATAATGGAGATATTCCCAAGGAGGATTGACGTCAGACAGGCCGGTCGTAAAACTTTTGCCAAATCCTATCAGCAGTACAGAAGATGTATATACTGCGCCGACCCCAAGTGATTGGGAAATGGGCAGGGAGAAGATGATAATAATGGAGATAAGGCCCGTAGCACTCAGCTGACGCGCAGTTGCTGCACCCGTACCTGTTGCTTCAACCTAGCATGCTCGCAGGAAACAAGAGCTTAAAGGGAACCAAAGCTAGGAAAATTGGAGAGGGTTACAATTTTTTCTAATATGGGAGTGATGGCAAGAGGAATGTTGTGGGCATATTGTTTAGAAGGTTTAAAGACAGATTGATAATACTTTCTTAGATTACGCGAATATTTGACATTTTAAATAAAACTATCTTTTCATAAAATATTGTAAGGTAATTGGTGCAATTTTCATTTTGTCAATTGTGGGTAGGCTGTCTGTAACAACTACACCTTCGAGACATCTAACACCTCAGTCTCTCCAGTGACCATGAATGCTGTGAAGCATTCGAAACGTCGGGAACCAAAAATCAAATAAATCCGCGAAAAAATCCGAAAAGATAGTTTTATTTAAAATGACAGATTAATAAATTGAAAAATAAATGTTCTCAATTCTGAAAATAAGGTAAATTCATTATTTACATATACAACAGCGGCATTAATTATGTTTCCTAAAAATGGCAAAATATGTTGACTAGTTTATTAAAATATAATTGCAACTCTCAAAGTTGAAACACATTAGTGTCTATGAGACTGTGGTCTCTGGTCGAGCCGCGGGCGCTTGTGTGGATCTAAGATATAATTATAAGGTATACGTTATTGTACCAATTTTACAATTCTGATTATTAATATTTAACTAAATTATTAGCCGATAGTTGAGCCTGTAGTCTGTAGATACCTTCGCTGGTATCTCTGACTGGTTTTGTGAGAAACTGCGTGACCTGTAACACGTTGGTCTTGAATGCGTCGTCAAGTCAGTCATTGCGCTATTTTTGAAACACATCTAACTTCGCGGTCAAAATGAGAATAATGATTTAGTAGGTAATAATAAAACAAATTTGAATAAATGTTACTGAATTTAATGTTAGCTGTAATCAGATAGACAAGGTTAAATAATAAGACAGAAAACGTAAGTCAATTTAATATTTTATAATATTCATTTGATTCAAAAAGCTAAATATTTAAAATGAAATTCTTTGCCTATGACAAATTTTTATATGAATATCATAAGACTATATTATCTAATACCCACTTCAGGAAATGCGGAACTGAAGTATATATTCCGGGTTTTCTGATACCGCATATAGTGGGACCAAATGACACAATACCCATCAGGAATGTTTTCGGCCCGTCTGGTGTATCAAAAATCTAAAAAAAGAACTTTATTGTAGTGTAATTTTATTATTTTTATTTGGGTCAGCCTATTTGTATTACTTATTTATTAAAAACAATTATAAAAATCTGTTCAAATTTGGCTTAAGATATATTAAAAAAAGATAATCATATTCAAGTCAAAACTTAGAAATTTCAAATTCTACTACTACAGAATAGTTTCTTTATTAATAATTGATTAATTATAATTAATAAATGTACATTAAACACCTTCATTAACGGTCCTCCTGAGTCGCCACCGCAAGCGTCTTTATTTTGTTGTGCACCTGCGCATATTTCTGATTGTAATAATTTAAATCCCCGAACAAATGAAGAACAAGTCTCGGACTTCACTACTGGAACCTTAAAGTGAGAAGTGTAGTTTAAATGTACTAAAACCGTTTTTTATATTTTATAGCATAAAAATATATTATCATATATTATGATGTCGAGTAGGTACATGTATATTGTATTCTTTCAGAACTATTAAGACCCAACGGGAGTGACGGGGCCCTCATTGTCGGGGTGGGGCGCAGTTTCACTTATGAAGCATCATTAGTCACTACAATGCGATGATTGCATATATGTAACCTGAGCCCTAACCTACCTAGAATATATAAAATGCGAAAGTTAGATGGATGGACGGTTTGTCACTCAATCACGCTTGAACGGCTGAACGGATTTGAATGAAATTTGGCACAGTGATAGGTTATAGTCTGGAATAATGTACGTTTATCTTGGAAAAATGTACAGTTCCCTTGGAATAGATTTGCTTTTGTTTTTCATTAGGGACGAACCCGAGCGAAGATAGGGTGGATCGCTAGTTAATCTATAATTTTCATAACTCGCGACTTTGTCTACGGTGATATTATATCTAAAAATAAATTTGTATAAACCACTGATAAATCTTTATCTAATCTATATTTATTATGAAATAAAAATAAACTTCCAATGTGGGGAATTTGTTACATTTTGCAATCAGCTATCGGGTAATTCTACTAATTACTAAAAGAAAATTTATCTTATAGATAAATGTATGTAATACTATTTTGCGGATCCCATTAAAATACACATGGAAGAAAGTATTGTTTTTTATCTTCCATTGATTATGGGGCGTCAGCATATACATATATAACTGCATTGCCGGATTAACCACGTAGCAAGAGTAGCAATTGCTACGGGCCCCGCGCCAAAGGGGGCCCCGCATATTTATATAAGTTTTATGATTTTAAAATGTTAGTAGGTATATAAGGAATTCAAATTCCTAAATGCCCCCTATGTCCAGCTACCCCCCAGAAATGGCGGGACGCAAAGCGTTGAAAAATATTATAATTATTTTTGGATTTCAATCGATGTGATAAGCGTATCAGAATTAATTCAATTGTAATTTATCTTCTAAAAATAATAATTAAATATAAAACCTCTGAAAATGAAGAAGCAATATGATTTTTACAGAAAGAGAATTAAAGCATTATTACTAAAAATAATTGTACTTTAAATTCTTACTCCTAAATTAAAATTAAAAAATTGAGGTGCTATTACCTGCTTAGCAAAGCGTGTGTTAATAACATTGCGCATTGTATTACAACAACGCCCTCAAATATAAAAGTTATTTGATGCTCTACCTATATTAAGATTAGTGTATAAAAATGCACAGCAAAACAAAATCGGCGATAACATAGGGGCTCTCCCTCGCTCCGCTTGGGTTCGTCCCTAGTTACGTTTTAATGTTTATCTCAGAGATGCGATATTTTCCCGCTAAATGTTTATTATAATAATTATGGCACGCACGTAATAAAAAGGCATTGTTAATATATTTAGTTTTTTTTACATGGAAAAAAAATAGAGGTTTAGTTCTTGTGTTGATTTTATGTAAATGAAGCTTAAACATTCACTGTAAGCTTATTGATTCAAAATTATTTATGTGAGTTTTACTGTCCTACTCGTAATATCATAGTGTTTCATATGTTCATGAAAGGAAATGTCTCATAACGTAATCTTTTTATACGAAAGCAATTTTATTAAATTTTATTCTCTGTAATATACATTTTTGAAATCTATTACTTTTACTGAGATTTTTTTAAAGTAATAACAAGACCAAAGATAAAATGAAAAACTAGATTTTTCGAAATCAATTTTTTTAAATACTTAAGAAATAGTTTTAATACTAATAAAAATAAATAGAGTACCTACTATATAGTCACAAGCAGTTATTTTAAATATCTACGCGTTTATAATATAAACTATACAGATAAATTAAATTGAAGTGTCTGTTTGTAATATCAAAATAACAGCTTTTTACATTGAGTAATATGAAATCATATTCGGTACTTAGAAGAAATACACAATTTTTAAAATATTTGTCTGTTTGTCTGTTTTGACTAATCTCCGACACGACTAGACTGCTTTTGACGGGACTTTCACTGGCACATAGTTTATTTTACAAGGAGTAACTTAGAGTACTTTTATTTTAGAAAAAGAATTAAGTTTACTCTCAAAAAAATGTACCTACATAACTGAAGCGATGGTAAGTCACTATTTTTTATAAGTAAGTTTACCGAAACATATTGCAAAATTCGAGCCCGTTCCTCCGTGCTCATGTTCATTTTACCCCAGCCAGCTACTATGAGTAATTCACCTAAAGTTAGACTTTGTAGTTGTTCTACATGAGGCAAGCAAATAGGTGACACATAGTCTGAAAAAGAAAATTTTATTACAATAATAATTAACACCAATATCAATATTGTCTGAGCTAATTTGAGCATTAGGTAAACCTAATGCTTAAACTTTCAGTTTCATTTTTGACCGACTTAAAAAAATAGTAATTTTTTTTTTTTCGATTAATTCCTTTTTTTTTATAAATGGGGTATACCTATTAACTACAATATACATATCTCAAGAGTGGTCACATATAAAAAACCTTTCAAAAAAATGAGGCCGGAAAAAGAGTAATGAAAATAGTTTTTTTTTTTAATTTTAATAGGTCTAAAATAATCATAATATGTGAAATGGTAACAGTGTACAAACAACTCAGTCAAGCATGACTTTATCAAGATTTAAATTAAACCTTTGGTTTTTTGCGTAAATCAATATAATTTAATATTTATTTGAATTTAATAGCTTGTATTGCATAATACTATAACTTTTTCCTCCTTAATTATAGTTCATATTAAATAAACACATAACCCTTCTTTGGGCTTCGCTGCAGTCGGGTAAAAATACAGTTAAAAATTATTTATTACTCTAGGGAATTTCCAAATAAAACTACGATACAAATAGATTACTTTTTCCTTTGGGTATTCCTTATTTAAAAAAAATATGTTTAACTATGTTATAATGTGAAGGCAAAAAATACAAAAATAATAATAGTAGGGGAGCCCACGATGCTAAATGGGGATTTACTCGAGCGTCGTAGAGACCTATTGGGATGCAAAGCTTAGACGATAAGAAGAAAAAAATGTTATATGATATATACCTTTACATCGGTGGGGGTAGCGGCTATATATTTTTAAATATGTAAAAAAAAACTGTTGCATAGACATCCTCGAGCGCGTCAGATATTGAAAGCATCAATGCCCTACGTATTTTTAATAATGTACGTATGTTAATCTGATCGTTTGCATGATGCGGGTGGTTGTATTTAAGGGTTGAAAATGAAAAAAAAAAAATTTAATCGAGCGCGTCAGATTTTCTAAGGGAGTGTTAAGTGCACCAAAAAAAAGCTCTCATTCACTAATCTGACGATTTCGATGGGACGCAAACTCGCGGCCATTTTCATAATGTGCAAAAAAAAATCGTCATTTTGAAATACTCAAGCGCGGTCAGATTAAGATATATATGGTTCATCTTTATGTTCTAAACGTACTGTCTCATAATCTGACGATTATCTAGAGGGATTCGCCTGATCTGACAAAAAAAAATTAGAAAAACGGTTCACCTTAAAGGCTATACTTGCAACTTCCCGCTAATTCCATTCCTGGGCGCTTAAAATTGTACTTATGACATTTTTGAGCTCAAAATATAATTTATGTGATATTTTGAGCTCGCTGAGTTCAAAGAAATAATATATCTATGCATTTGAGCTCTCCCAGCTCGAAAGTCTGATAGAAGTTTCATAGAACACTATTTTTGGAATTTTCAAACCGCAATAACTTTTGAATAGATCAAGCAATTTTCACGCGGTTGACGCCATTCGACGCAGTTTTATCATCCTCATAAGTTATTTTCAGGTTTTAATTGATCGAACCAAAAATTTCGGAGTAATCCCGAAAAAAACACTTTTTTCGGTTTTCTTTCATTCACGATATCTCTCGAACGAATCAACCGATTTTGACCGGATTAGCGACGATCGGCGTGGTTTTTCTAGCTTAAGGGCGGATTAGTTTTTGAAGTTAATTGATAAAGCCGGTTAAAAGTTATTCCAAAAAAACCACTTTCAAAAAAAAATGTTTCTTATTTTTTTTGAGATTTTTCAAAATTTCTCAAAATCTATCGGTCCGAATCGGTTCAAATTCACAGGAAATCTAATTTTGAGAGAAATCTTTAGAACGCCGTTTAGTAGATTCCGATCGGTTTAGTCGTTGAAAAGATATAAGCGAGTCACACATACACACACACATACATACATACAGACTTAGTGACAACATCATACTTCACACAAATAATATTAAAATAGCAAACAAAGCCAAAACGTTGGAAACACGTTGTAAACAGTATGCCACGAACGAGTCTTTATGATCAGCTGTGAAGGCGTCATGGCGGCAGAAACCAGAGTGGGGATGGAGTGAGAGAGTAATAGATAGAGAAAGAGTGAGAGAGGAATAGACACGCGGAGAAGGAAATGTAGGCATCACGCAGCTGCACGCATTTAACTTTATCGACGAATTTTTGTTATTTCGGCTTGCGGAAATCGTCAGATTATATATTTTTCATTATCCTTGAATTATTTCCTTCAAAATAAAAATTTTTTAGCTACGCTCGAGAATGTCGAGATGACGTTTTTTTTTACAACTTTGTCGCCCTCCCCTTTTCTTACGTCACTCTCAAATTGTCAGATTAGTGGAATATACACTTTTTAGGATGTAATTAACTCACCCTACCTTAATCTGACGCGCTCGAGAATTTCTGATGGTCAATTTTTTTTTACTAATCTGATCCTGTATCCTTCACGGGCGGCCTTATATATGGGCCTCATGTTTTGTGGAGGTACTTAACCGGGTACAAGGTATCCCCCTGTATATTAATCTGCCGCGCTTCAGAAAATCCCGAAATCCCCGCTTGGGCTCCCCTACTATAAGGAAATCTCCGAAAGTAGATTAATGTCACAATTTTAACTTATAGTTGGAAGCAGTAAGTTCCACATGAAAATTGCCGATTGTCGTAGAGATTTCATATTGATAAGTAATAATTAATATTTTCTTTATTTTTATACTAGCATCACAGAACAGATTTGATCATAGTATTAGTTCTCTAATAAATTTTAAACAATATAACAGATACCTACATATCTCATTTATACTCTTTTTTGGAGATATTACTATGTTTAATAGTGACAATAATAAGAATATACCTTTTTTTTTTTTTAACGTTGGGAAATGCATTTACGCACGAAGTGTGGGACTCACCGGCGAAGCCAGTACTACCCACTAAAACCCAACAAAACCTTCCCCCGTGTTAATGGGGCGTCGCAGGATCGCTTACGCATTCAACTACGACGCCCAATAAGAATATACCTATATTAAGTAAGTGCTAGCAGAACCCGCGGCTTCGCTCGCGCTAAAACTACAAAAAAGCTAAAAAGATAGGTTTCGTACAACTTTCATCCTTTCATCATTTTTTTACCTCCTTATCGAATGAATTTCGAAAAATGCTAAAATACGTATTTCTTTAATTGTATTGAAGAGTATTAATACTAAGTTTGAAGTAATTCTGATCATAAATATATATTTTTTGTTGTATTATAATGTGTTTTCCCGTGGGAATGAGATAATCTCCCTGAAAAAAGTAGCCTATGTCACTCTCTAGCCCTCCAACTATCTCCACATAAAATATCACGCCAATCGGTCACTCTGTTTCGACGTGAAAGAAGGACAAACAAACAAATAAATAAACACACAAACAAACAAACAAACAAACAAACAAACAAACAAACAAACAAACAAACAAACAAACAAACAAACAAACAAACAAACACACTTTCAGATTCATAATATTAATATGGATATGGATGTACATAACGAAATTGTAACAAAATCATTTTTTTTTTTATTTATTTAAGACATGTTTCGAACTGTAATAGAATGAGTAACATTTTTGTCGTTGTGTATCATTTCTATTGTTATAGACTCTTTTGCAGGATATTAATAAGTATATCTTTGTATTTTACATATACATCAAGCTAGGCCATCAGTATTGTTTAGTGGCTGTAACCTAAATAGAATTCTTATAGGTACAACTATGAATATTACGATGATGTAACTGAAAAATTTCAAGAATACAAAAAAAAATGTTAAAATTTTTCCCTATGCCCTTGGCTTATATAATTGTGTTTTTACCGTTAAGTTCCACAGGTTTGTCCATTTCAATGATCGCAACGTCATTGTGAAAAGGCGGTTTGTCGAAATTCGGATGCATTCTTATTGCCCGGATTTTCCGATCTTGAACTGGTGGCGCACACACATGCAACTGGCAGTCAGGGTTGGTTTCAGTATCGTATTCACCTACACGAATAACGGACCTACAAAAAAGTATTGTTTAATTTCATGTATATACATTATACATATTAAATATTATGGTAATATTAAAGTGCGGAAATCAAAGGACTCTTATATTAATTAATTATTTGAGGGTTCTACTGGTTCTTTGCTAAGAATTTATTTTTACTTAGAACGTCGAACGAACGTATCATCATAAGTATCTGGTACTTATGATGATACGATCATGTGTTTAGGGATGCATTTATACTAATATTATAAAGAGGTAAAAGTTTGTGAGTTTGTGATGTTGTAGGGAGAAATCTCTCGATCTGCTGAACCGATTTAGATGAAATTTGGTAAGAAGATAGTTTGAGACCCTGGGAAGGATATAGGATACATTTTATACCGGAAATAATCGCTTAGGGGGGTGAAAATAAGGATGAAAGTTTGTATCGGGAAGCAAGCTAGGGACAAACCCGAGCGAAGCGAGCGTGATTAACTAGTGTTATATAATAATATAATATATAAAAGCCGTGTGCACTCTTTAGGCCTCTTCTATAGGCCTTTCTTCGATATGTTTTAACATGTACAGTGTACGTTGTTTGATACATTATATATTACACTAGCATTGCCCGCGGCTCGGCCCGCGTTCAGATGACCAAAAACCAAATTGCTAGGTTTTACATATTAGCATACTCTTACAATGCACTTTTTTGTATTTTTCTCAAAAATAAGATATTTTCCCGCGGTAAAAAGTATCCTATATGTTGACCCAGATAACGAGTTATTATCATACCAAATTTCATCAAAATCCCTCCAGTGTTTTTTCTATGATGCGGTAACAGAGAGACAGACTTAATCGTATCGATAATAATGTTTATTTCAATAAGATTTTCCAAAAAATATTTAGTGTACAGATTCGGCTTAGTTACAATTTTATTATATGTATAGATTACTGCTAAAATTTGCGATACTTCCTTTTCCTCCTCTTCTCAACGAAACACATGATGAAACTTCCCCGAAAATAGCAAGAATATACATACACCTAATTATTAAAGGAAATATTTAATTGTGTGGAATAATTCACCGTCTGCGGTCTAACACGCCTTTTTTACGTCATATAGCAGGCAAATTATATCGTGAATCATGATGCAAAAGTAATGATTAAATCAATAAGTCTATTGTTAATGGATAGCGGAACTAATGTGTCTAGTACGTGGGTTTTCACTTATCAATTTGGTCATTGATTTTATTACAAGTCCCTGCCTGTTGTTTTCTTTTTATTTGATACCTTATTAAAATAAAATTTAGCTCTGCCTTAAAATTATCTGTCTCAAAAACTTGCATAGCTCTAAATTCGTAGGTTTAAAAAAACTGTTTATTTCGGTAATGTAATAGTAATTTCCTCGCTCGTTCTTTAACTGGTTAATGAAAACGAACGGTTAGTAAACCGAAATAATAACGGTTAACGGTTGTTCTAAGAGATAGGTTAGATTTCAGTTTTGATACCGAAATAAACCGGTTAATTCGTTCAAAAATAAGAAATGTGTATCCATCCTTTTACTAAGCCATTCACCATTAGCAAAGACGCGCCAAATGTAAACACACAAAAACTCATTTTAACCAGTTAACTTTGTTCATGGAACCCAAATTCGTCAAAAACCGTTACTCCGGATTTAACCGGTTAAAGAACGTAACAGAAACCTTAAACCGAAAAGCCTTTCGATTTGGGGTCAGTGACCAAAACCGGTTTAAAAATTGAACGGGTTTTCGAGCCCTGGTTTCTAGTCCCGGATCATAATAAAGTAGTATATAAAGTTATTGGATTTTTTTGTCAAGAAAGTTAGATACACGTGCCTTAGAGCACTTTTATATACATACATATGTAACCGTCGATCCCGCGCTTGACCTCTCACAGTCATCGTTCCGCCTAGCGGTCAGCGGACTTTGACAGTAAAAGAAGAGAATGCAATTGAGCTTGTGCAAATACGAACTACAGTACTTCCTGTCTAAATAACTAGCCTTAGTCAAATTGGCCGCCAGGTCAGGATAATGTTACATGTCTTACACGCTCAAATACAAATATTAAAAATGGATTTTTAAATTATAGACTAACAATTGATAATCATCTTCAGCTTTTACGCAGTGTGCAGCGGTTATAAGATGAAGATCTGTTAAAAGAGCGCCGCCACACATCCAGTCAAAATCATTGTATTCTTGTACTGAAATAAAAAAACATACATTCCTATAAATATGACTAGAAAGTAAAAGAATAAAGAACAAAAATATTTAAATCTTTACATTTTTTGTTTTAAATTCGATCAAGACCAACCCTATCATTTTGTACCTACCGATGGGTATACTCCATTCACTTATATTGGTATAATACAGTAAATATGTATATACATTATAATATCTATAGTAATATTATAAAGAGGTAATCTGGATCTACTGAATCAATTTAGATGAAATTTGGTAAGAAATCATTCCTTTTGGGGGTGTGAAAATGGGGATAAAATTTTGTATTGGGAATCAACTATCAAGCTATGGACGAACCCGAGCAAAGCGAGGGTGAGTCGCTAGTATAGTATAAATCTGTTTAAGCGAAGTATTCTGAAGATATTTGGATTGTTTTCTTGTATGACGCTATCCCTTTTTGCTGTGAAATAAATTTTATGGCGCTTAACGTCACATAAATAATGAATAATATTCAGAAGAACACGAATGATAAGATGCGATTCCTAAAATAGTTATTTTAGTGTTCCAAATAAAAATGACTCACAAGAATATCCCAGCCGCACTACCCATGGAAACTGCCCAAGTGCCGCATTCATCCCTCCGATAATGCGGTCAGTTGCACTAAAACCGCATTCTAAGTCATCTAGTCTCTTCCATGCTGAGTGATTGGCCACGTCTAGCCAAAAATTTTCTGTAAAATAAGAATGTATAATATATGGCATCCCTATTTTCGGTCGTATTTAGCCCTTTATTTTTTGAATTTCCAATGTTGAATACGGGCTTCCCTTCACTGCAAGGTGGATCAGGCCATAGTCCACCGGCAGTTGGCGGACTTCAGATGTGTCTTTCGAAAACTTATTAGGTTCTCTCAGACATGCAAGTTTCCTCACGATGTTTTCCTTTACCATAAGACACCCTCCCGCTTTACTCGGTTTGTCAAGCGAGCGCGTTAACACTGGTAGCCCAATGGTAACACCCGCTGTCACTGCCTGATTTTCAATAGAAAGATCTATTTCTGATACTAGAACACATTATTGTGAATCGTATAGTATTATGTAAAAATACGTGTATTAAACCACTTTGCATTTCTAGATAACTTTTTCCTTTATAGTTTTTCGCAAGAATCTTGAATGTGTTCATTCAAATATTATTTGTTAATCTTTTTTATTTAAATTAAAAAGTCGTAGCGTAGGTTATAGTACTACTTTTATACAAACTAGCACCTACTATGTCGTGAGAGCTTTAAGTGTATTAAACTGTATTTTGAATCTTTTAAACGATTAAATAATAATAACAATGATACTGAAAATCCTGCAGGGCCTTGCAATTTCTTGCATAACTCGATAAAAATAATCAACAATATACAATATTTAGTTTTTTTAAAACACCGTTAATATCATGAGTTGATTTCGCATATTACACAGATTAAACATTTTCACCCTAATCGACCTTTTGCTCTTCACTCTGGGTGGCCAATGAAGGTGGGACAGAGGCGGAGATCTGATGTTGTTTCTCGTGGGCATTTCAGATCCGTGATGTTACAATTCACGAACAGTTCGCTACAAGCTGCCCTGCAGGTTCACTTTAATAACAATCCAATATGGTAAATTCTCCTTTACCCAACACCTTCATATAACTATCCTGCGACAGCCGGGTAAAAAATACTGGACTGGTGTATAGATTTGTAAGCAATCGTACGTCAATATAACTAATGAAATAAAAAAAACTTTATTTTCAAGAAAAAAGTGAATTATAAATATATTTATATTATATATATATATATATATATATATATATATATATATATATATATATATATATAATATATTTTATATATTTCATTAAAAATACAAAGCAAATGCACATTTAATTGTAGTAATTATCGGACACTGCACAAGTCATGTCCACGTGGAATTGTGGCAATGATAATATGGATATCTTCCAGATTCTTAGAGGCGATAAGAATATGAGTTATGTTCTTTTTAGCACTTCAACTCTATGGGCAAAGGGTAGATACTGGGATCAAGATTTGTAACTAGATAGGATTTGGAAATCGGAAATGAAAACGATTCACACTATTATTATATAACGAGCGACTCACCCTCGCTTCGCTCCGGTTCGTCCCTAGGTGCATTTTAATGGTTATTATGGAATAGATAGACATATACATATAAACATAGGTATGATGAGTTGTTGTGGGTTATACATATATATAGTTGTGGGTTTTCTGTGAGAATAAGATAATCTGCCGTAGTAAAATGTAGCCAGATGTCAGTGTCACTCTCCAGCCCTCCAATGTGGAGATACCATACAAAAATCACGCTAATCCGTCACCCTGTTCCGACATGAAAGAAGGATAAACAAACGAACGAAATACATTTTCACATTATATTATATTATATTAGTATGGGTAATAAATTGAATAGTTTCTGTATGACTATCACAAACTGATATTTAAAGAGAAATGTTGAGCTGAGATTAGTGACCTCTTTGCTTGCAAATACAAGTAATAATAGTTCAGATGTACTTTGTTTTTAGAGTTTTTTTGTTAGATTTACGCGAATATATACGATTTTTGGTTCCCGATGTTTCGAATGCTTTACAGCAATCATGGTCACATTACTTACATTAAAAAGTTTAGAATCGGGAAGGCCACAAAAGAAAATATAATAATAAATTAAATTAGAATTTCTTTCTACATTTAACTACGTACTTCGATCGATACGTTATCATTTACTAGTAAAATACTGTAAGTGAAGCTTTTTATTAGCTTAGCAAAAATAGGTCATAGTTTAATTGTAGGGCTAGTGAATAATATACTATAGTCAAAACCAAATGAAAAACCCTGTAGTTGTGGGTTCTCAGTGTGCGTACTTTGTTTAATATTTATGATTAGCCATTAGTCATTTGTGGTAAGAATATAATTATTCCGTCCACCCTTTAATCGGTATTCGGTAGGCGAAAACGTTAAGTTTTCCCAACAATTAGTGTAGGTATTCTTTTGTCAAATATGTTATAGTTTAATTAACCTCGTTAATATAATCAAGTGCCACTTTCATTCCGATTTTAATCAAAGATATTTATTTCTTGATAGTACACTTATTTTTAATTATTTTATTATTATTGATAAAATAGCCTATATTAGTGAATAAATTTTCAGCATTGGACCAGTAGTTTCAGAGATTACCTCCAACATACAAATTTAAAAATCTACACACTGTTCTTATTTGCAATATTAATGTAGACTAGCATTCGTTCGTGTAGCTTATTTATATTTTTATATACCTACTATAATACTCTATGATAATAGACTAATAAACGTAAAAGCTATGGTACTGTGAAGTTATATCAAAATCCGCTCATTAGTTTTTACGTACAGGAATAACAAACACCCATCTGTTTATCAATAAGTATATCCATATTCCATCCTCACAAACTTTCGCGCTTATAGTATTAGGATATTAATAGTGTAAGCGGAAATTGATTAGAGTAGCGAGGAAATATACAATAATGCTTAATAATAAAATTAACTCACCACTCTTAACGTGACGCATATGAAAATAAATAAATATAGAAATCCAATAACGACACATTCCAGATTATTTTATACATATATCGTTATCACAAACGGTTATATGTGTATCTACTTAAGAGTAATAGTTTGTAGTATCGTTTAAAGTAGTTTTTCCGTAATAAAAAGTTCATACTGTTAGTAATATGTTTCCCTAATGTGTGATAATCCAATGCGGTGAGAAATGATTGGTTCCGGTAAAAAGAGTTATGCTTGCCAGCCAGTCGTAAAATGTTTAATTCGAATATTTTTGCTCGCTCATTACCTTTAACACGCGAAAAAACATTATTTTCAATATAAAATATTAAAGCGTGTCTAATTATAATTTAAAATATAATGTACAATAAGTAAAAGTTTCATAAGAATTTGTAACTATTTGCCGATCATTGCTACTATCGCACTAGACATTTTTAAGATAAGTAGAGATTAATCATAGGGAACATAAATTCAAAATATGCGTGAAAGTACAAGTGTTATTATACAAGAAAAATTAATATATTTGGGTGTTCGGCACAAGTATTTAGGATTTTTTGTCAAGAAGCCCGGAGTCGTGAAGTTGGCGGGATGTCACTCCTCGAAGATCACGTAAAGTCGTCGGCCCTGCGCATGTCCTCTTACGGGGGGCATATCGAATTGTCACTTCACCGAACTTTGAGAGAAAAACAAATAAAAGAGAAGAGTGCATGCGCATTTGCGCATAGTTTTGTGCACTATTATACCTTTTGAGCAGATAGTAGAGTCTCAGCGAGATTGGCCGCCGTGGGCGTAATCGGTTCGAAGAACATTATTATATTCAGAAATTAAAATTATGAATGACCTTATTCAGTCACATTTTATAAGAAATATTAATGAATCGTCAACTTATTTTAAGTAAAGTGCAGTTATTCCTTAACCACAGAGGACATAATATTACTCCAAAAATTGTGGATTTGAGAGCACTTTGAAAATTGGAAAAAAAATGGTCAAACAGTAGCTCAGTTAGAATCCCACAGCCGGATTTTAGTTCAAATTTATTTTTTAAAACGTAGTATTCAAAGAGAAAAAATTCCGTCTTGATCGAATCTCTAAGTTATAAAGGAGCTTATGTATGAATTTTGAAAATTAGTAAAAAAACAACTTTTTTCAAATTTAAAAAAAATCTCCAGTGTCTGGATTTGATCGTATCGACCTGAACTATCTTCGTCCAAATCGGTGACCCACGCGCGCAGACTTTCGTCAAAAAGTAATGGATTTATTCTACTACTACTATTATACTAGTAAAATAGCCCCATCCCATACAAAAAATTAGATGACCCAAATGGGACTGATTAACGTGCGATTTTGTTTACTTGATTAGATGATAGATGGCGTTGATCAGCATACTAGTTTAATGAATCAGTATAGCTGTACCAAAATAAGCTAAATATAGCAATATTCATCCTTATCCTTAGTGACTAACAGTTTTTGACCGTGGTAAGCAACTTAAGTATATGTAAAAAGAAAACAGCACTATCTGTGAATAAACACTACAATTAATCGCTGATAGTTGATTTTTCAATTATCAGTAAAATTAGGCAATTTTGATTTATTATTTTTATTGACAGACGTATTTGATTTTCCTTTACTTAGAGTATTTTTTAAAATCGTAGGTATTGGGTATACCTATCCTTGTTAATTTTACACAAACTTCGCTAACGAATTGAATATCGATTTTTCTTGTTCATTTGTTTTGATTTTTGTTGTTGTTGCCGTGAAAAAGCCACAGCCAGCTCGAAATGCAGTTCTGCCGGGGGAGTCGGTGTGAAACTCTATAGTTGTTCATTTGCAGTATTTTAATACGTCATAATAATTATCCCGCATACGAATTAATTTATCTTAATTATTTAATTTGAAATATGAGAGAACTCTCTCTACTCTACGTAGAACAATTAAATCTATTCGTACATTTAGAGATGGATACCTACTTCAAAAATCATACCGGTAGCTTATTTTTGCTAAATGCTCATGATAGCCTTCATAATACCTTCTTAAATATAGTAGTTTCTGAGTTTTGCGGTCTATATTTTGTACACAATATGCTATAGTCAATGTTTTTAAGAAAATATGTCATATACAGATTCACTCTGTTACTATTTTATTTTTTTGTAGTATAGATATTAACAGAATGTGCTAATTGCAAACCCCACGGTGTGGAAAATTTTAAAATGAATTTATTTAACGACTTTATTATAAAGATTTCTACGGTAATATTGATACGACTTCCTTGATGTCACAAGTTCACAACAACAACAAAGACCGGTTCTTTGAATTGACAAGCTAAAAATTAAATTATAAAAATAACAAAAAAACGACCGCGTAAAAAGCAAAATAAAAAGATAAAAACAAGTTGACGAAAGAATAGTTTTATGTGTACCACCTGCATACATACAGGTATGTGGGATTCACCGGCTAGCTAAAAGCCAGTACTATCCACTAAACTCAATGGAACTCCTTCATCTTAATTGGGCGTCGCTTACACACTTAACCACGATAACGGCTGGCCTGCCCAGGCAGACCGCAACGTCCATGGGACTGCTCCCACGATCCACTTTGCTTTCAGAAAAGTATCAGGAGCAACCCGCATGGTACACTGTCCGCCGAAGTGGGTTACCTCTCAGTGGCTTCACGGCCTAGATTGTTGGAAGCTAATGAGCCCCGCCACCACGACAAGATGAGATCGGAAGGGTTAGTCGACAACGTTTAAAGCAGTTTAGGTTTACTTCGGGTTTATGTACTGGATCAATTCGGAACTTTTTGACTGAGGGATATAAAAGGAAGCACAGGAGAGATAAACAAGGAGAGACTCTCCCGTGACTATCCAAAGATTCTCATCCAAAAAGATAGTTTAAAATGTGAAAAATTCGCGTAAATTTAAGAAAATATTATAGGAAGTAGGTACTGAATTCGATTGTATATATTTTGTATTGTAAAAAGTGCCTCAGATATTTTTCTAGTCGTTTTTGAGAATATGCGTTCACAGAACTAGACAGACACTATTAGGTAAAGCTATTATTACACACTAGCGGCTCACCCTCGCTTCGCTCGGGTTAATTTCGCCTCCAGACAAACAAAAACAAATCTATCTCACGGGAACCGTACATTTTTCTGGAATAAATAGTAGCTTATTTGTTAGTCTGATGTATGAACTATATTATTGTCAAGTTTCATTAAAATCCAATCAGTAGTTTTTGCGTACTAAGCTTTATAAGTTATTATAGTTCATTAACTATCCCACGGGAACTCTTTAATTTTCCGGGATGAAAAACGTCTTAAATGTTGACCGAGGATATAAGGTACCATCATGCAAAATTTCATTTAAATTGGTTCTACAGTTTCGGAGATTAGCCCGTACAAACAGACAAACAGACAGAGAAACAAAAAAATTGAAAAAAATCTGGATTTGTTCTATTTGTCTTCTTACATCCCCCTGACTCGGTTTTTAGCATTTTTTGCTATGTACAGACATTCGACCTCTACTGTTTTATTATAGGATAGATATAGTAGATAGATAGATTAGTAGTACATCTCAGTACACATCAGTACATGTACAGTACCTACATCTCTTATAATAAATACTGTGAATCAAAATATTTAAAAACGACTACAAAACTACGCACAAATTGACTTTGTGGCAATTTTACTATAATATTGAAGTATCGCTTGTGGTGAAAAATAACCAACAATGGCGTCAAATTGAACTTGGTTTTCACATTATTGATATTTATTTGTATATTCATTTTTTTTTATTTTGCAGTTTATTTATATTTTATATGAAGCAATCATGAATCATTGTCCTCTTTATTTTACTAATGTTGACCCTATACTTTGGCAAAAATAAATGTAAAGGTTTTTTTGACCATCTTTAAAAAGGTGATCATATATATAGGTATACTTAATACGTCAATCTATCTCCTAGATCTACTAAACCGATTTAGATGAAATTTGGTAACGGGGATGAAAGTTTATATGGGGAAGCAAGCTAGGGACCAACCCGAGCAAAGCGAGTCTATACTAATATTATAGGTAAAGCGGTAAAATTTGTGAGTTTGTGATATTGTGAGTTTGTGGCGTTGTGGGGAAATCTGTGGATCTACAGAACCGATTTAGATGTTTGATAAGAAGATAGTTTGAGACCCTGGGAAGGACATAGAATACTTTTTATCCCGGAAATCATCCCTTAAGGGGATGAAAATGGGGATGAAAGTTTGTATGGGGAATCAAGATAGGGACGATCCCGAGTGAAGCGAGGGTGAGTCGCTAGTTTCTTATATTTTGCGTTATATAATTTTGTGTGCCATGTTATGTCTTTACTAATTATATTAAAGTTAGAAAATAGTAAACTATATATACTGAAAATTATAATCAAAGCTAAAACTTGATCTTAAATTACACTTAAAATTAGAATTAAAGTTGTCTCTTGAGGTAAAAATCTACTAACCATTGCTGCGTTGCTACTTAGAACCTGTTCCCTTTTTTATGTCGGTTATTTAACAAATATAATTAACATTTTTATTTGCCCAGATCCACAGTGCATTTTGCGAACTTTGCGTAACTTTTTTTTACAACACAATTAAACATCCCCTACGAACTAAACATTTCATGTTAAAAGTAGCAAATAATATCAGATATTTATAGACCATAAACTTTCCCTAAATCAGATGTCAGAGAAAGACGAAAAGAAATTAAGAGACTTTAACGATTTTTTAAAACAGTTGGTTTTTTATTAACAGTTTGAATAAAGAAACATATCCTTGGCAAGGGTAGACTTATCTACACTACTGTCCCATTTAACTGAAATGCGTAAAAATCAAAACAGTCCGTTTTTTTATACAAGTATAATATTCTTATAGAACTGCTGTATAATAGTAATTTAAAATGAAACATCTGTTCATGCAACTGCTAGAGTTGCATGAGCAGATGTTTCATTTTAAATTATTATTATACAGAAAATGAAACCCAATAAGGTTGATAATAGATTGTTACCTACAAATTTGTTTTTAAATATAGTAAATATGTAATTTCGTTTTCATCATATACCATCTTTCTAAAACTAGGTATATATATTAGAAACTGAATACCGTTTTCTTCCTAAGCATTTAACCCTATATTCCACCAATTAGGTAATTAACACTTTGAAGACATCAGTCTAAAAAAATATATAACAAAAATGAAAAAGCTATATATTTATAAGTGAACGCATACACTGTGCATACTGAAATATTTATAAAATTTTATTTTCTGTATTATAATAAAAATATTTCATTTCCTAGAAAAAATATATAAAATTCAGTTTTTGTAAAATCGCGACAAAATTATACATTCTATTTACTTTATAACTTACAAGATAAGCCAGAAAATAATTATAATTACTTTTGAGAAGGAATTATATATTATTTAAAAAAAAAAGCAATATTTGCATTTTACCGATAGGAAATATGCATGATTTTTTTTAGGTTTATATACAATAGCTTAAATCGTTATATAATTGTAAAAAAATATCCAACTCCAAAAAATTCCTTAAAATGTTTCCGTTATGGATAATTTACACGCTCGCCATTTAGCTTGGCGTGACGTCACAGTATGATATACACAGAAATGACGACTCAATTTGTAAGTGACAAAATCGCTTATCGCTCTGTTATGATAGACTCTGACGTCATATTCGGTCTGACCAATGGCGTTGTGTTTCAACTACTTTGAATTTCCCACCTGTTCTTGAACTTTTTGATAAATATTTTCTTAATCAAAAAGGAATTACATAAAAAAATGTAAACATAAACTGAATTCAAAAGCAATAATGATTAGAAAAAAAAACATTTTACCTTTCTTTAAATCACACGCATATTCCCTATTATTATCTTCAGTCTATTCTTTTTTTTTTGTATTGAAACGATTGGTAGTATATACATATTACCTGATACAATTTTTTACACGATTATTGCAAATGCAGGTAAATGGTTATTCACGGAAGATGAGATCGTGACCTCTGCTGAAGGATGTAGTATCTAATAGTAGTGAAATATAATTTTAAATTTACTAATTACAGTTTATCAATATCCTGTAATTTACTCTTATAAGACATTTAGTATTATTATATTTTAAATTAAGTAGGTATGCTTAAATAATTAACATTATGATGCCTTGCATTTTATTATGGATAAGGCATTGCATATTTATTAGAACTAAATAACAATGGGTAAGTAAGCATTGTGAATATAAATTAATTTTCCATTACACTACTACTTCCTTGTAGTTTGTAAAAAATAATTTTAAAGTAACTAGCAACTCATCCTCGGTTGCTTCCCCGTATAAACTTTCATCCCTAATTTCATCCCCTCAAGGGATGATTTCTGGGATAAAAACTAACTTATGTCCTTCTATTACCAACTGCCTCGGTAGTGTAGTGGCTAGCATGTACGGCTGCACACGCGGAGGTCCTGGATTTGAGTCCCAGGTCGGGCCAATTGAGTCTTTCTGTATAGTAAGTCTCAGTAACAGGACGGAGTTGTGAAGTTGGCGGTGTTTCAGCCTCGTGCCTCGGAGAGCATGCAAAGCCGTCGGTCCTGCGCCTCTCACTGGTCGTGTCAAGCAGTCATCCCACCGGAGTATGAGAGTGACAGGAATAGAGAGTGCACTTGTGCACTATAATATCTCCTGCGCAGTTGGCTAGTCTCAATAAGATTGGTCGCCGTGGCCGGAATCGATCAGGAGAACATCACTAAATTTCATCTAAATCAGTTCAATAATTTCTGAGCCAATTCGGTACAAAGAAACAAACAAAAAAATTAATCGTTCTTCTTTGTAATATTAGTATACTTAGATATTCGACTAATTGTACAGGAAAGTAAACCAAATATTATTGTAAACAAAATATACATTACTATTCATTAACAATCTAATATTTAAATTCTTAAACAAAGGTCATCGAAAATAAAAATAAATTTAATAAAGTAGATAATGAATTGGTGTAGAATATCAATCAATAAAATATGTAGTCCCATGTTGTTACATTTTTTCTTATCAATAGTGTCAGTATCATATTAATATTCAAAAATGATCTATAACTGTTTTTCGAGCATGTACGAGGACGGGCCTCTTTACGCTTTTTTTTCTTGTTTTCATAGTATTTCCCCCTTCATTAAGGGTATTTCAACCGTCATAACCATCTTAAATGATTTCACCAACGTCACATTAGTCAACCTCTGGTACTTCGCTTTAAATATATTTCGTGCGAATTAATTAAACTGTATACTGGAAGTAAAAAACCTGTTATACTATAACCTCTCTTTAACAGGTATATAGCATATAGTAACGTCATTCGTATTGACAACAGTGGACGGTAGGGTTCTCTCGATTACTAGAATTTTTAAAATCGACGCGTGACACCGGCGCCACCTTTAATGATAAGTGAATTCTTCTTTAATTAAATAAAATAAATTTCAGTGATATTTCTCAACGACTTAGAGACTGACATGTGGACTCGCACCGTACAAGTTAACATACGTGTAAAATGAAAGCATCATGATGTTACGTTTTCTCTTGTGTATTGTTTTTGTGTTTCTGCCGATAGAATGTTGTAAGTAATCGTTATTAACTAAATCAATTAGCTTTTAAAAGTAATTAATGAATAAATAAATCGTACTAGTAATACCAGTAATATCTGCGTCTAATACGATTTACACGCTTTCATATTAATCATTTTTAAACGCTTTATTAATTGTTACAGTGTAAACAATGTTTTCGATAGCACTTAACTGTGTTGAATATGTACAGAACGTTAGCGTCAGATTGATATTGTGGTCACTGACATCAGTTTGTTTACGACTTTGTACTATATATTATAAATACTTTAAAATTATTAATTATTCTATTAAATTACGACAAAATATGTTGACTGTTAATACTGAGCAATTTATGATAGTATTAAAGCAATTTATATATAACTTAAAAGATATTTATTAAGTATTTAAATTTATCACGGTTTAGTGTAGTAGGTAAAAAGCTTTATTTCTTTGTTTCATGGCTTTTAAGCAAGCCAAATTTCATTCGTATGTTTTAAAAACAATAAAGACGACGAAGAAAGCTATTTTATTTTATTTATCTATCTATATATTTATTTGTTCCGTTCAATTTTTAAGCCAGTTTCTGACGAATCTAATTTCGTCGATCTGGACCTAAGTCCAGAAATAAGGTTTAAAATGAGTGTGCGTTTACATTCTGTGAATCTTTGCTAATAGTGAATTACGTAGTAGAAGATTAACCGGTTTATTTCGGTATCAAAACCGAAATCCAACCTTTCTCTAAGAATAACCGTTAACCATTATAATTTCGGTTTACTAAATCGTCCGATGTCATTAACCGGTTACAGAACGAGATGAATTAACCTACATTAATGAACCTACATTAACCTAGATGAATTTAATTACATTATCGAAAAAAAACGTTTTTTTAAACCGGTTCTGAGACCTGCTTGGTACTTGGTATTTCTTTATTATCTGGAAAAAAAAAGAAAGATTATGCTTATTATAAACAAATATTTCAAATTTTAATATTTCCAATATAATTATTTTCCAAAGTCAATTAACTTCCAATGTCTGAGAGATTAAAAGTATTACAGAGGGAATATGGATAGGTTTGCCCTAAGTAGGTACCTAATATAATATCAGTGACAAATATTGTATACATTTCAATAAATTTGGAAAAGTTATGCTTGATAGGTAGGCCAGTACTTTCGAATATAATTTACTCCGCAATAACAAGACCTCCTCCTCCTCAAACAAGCTGGATAAAAAATATACGAATAAAAAAGTTATGTTACAGAAAAATATATGCTTAAATTATCGAGGGTAAATATAGTTTTAATTTGATTGTTAGACATTATTTCTTTTTTGTTTATGAGAAATAAAAGGGGTTTCCGTTTGACATTAGGTATAGGTTTTTACTTTTTATGTCAAATTCGGTTCTGATATAGATTCGCTAAATTATAATGCAATGATAACACACACAGTCGCTTGGAAAACCAAGCAAGTGAACCGAAGATCTTAAACCCCGGGTCTTAATATTTTCAGCGAATCATTTTCAACATGGTTCCCACTTGTCGTACGGCGAAAAAAACATCGTCAAGAAACCTGCGTAGTTTTCGAAAAACCCAAAGAATCCTGCAAAAACTTTCATTAGGCCAGCTTGGAGGGCTTTAGCGTGATGACTGTCTCCCTCGTATTAAAGGGAGGCCCCGTATCCTACAGTGGGACGATAAAAGGGTGAATCATTATATAAGTTATTCATTATATGGCTCAAGGAATGGAAAATATTCCGAAGATGGAATATTCCGACAAGGAATGGAAAATATTTCCATTTCAGTACTCATTGCTGAAATCGAAAGATATGTATGTAACATTTACTTTGTGAAAAATACCTTATAATATACCATACAATAACAATACTTAATATTCGCGGGACGAGTTATGGTAGCTTAGAATAATTTTCAATCGGATTATAATATAAGGTTATCAATTATTATGTAGCCCTCTTCTCAGCAGAACTGCTTTCCGAGCCGGTGTTAATATCCTTACGAGCTAACTACAATGACGGTCTTTAAATTAAATTGATGAATCAAAAGTGCTTGCATAATTCTTAACTTAATTTCATTTCAAAAAATATAAAATTTTAACAAAATTGTACGAAGAATATTTTTTAAGAGAGAATTAAAATCAGTAATAAAAAAATTAAATATATTTTACATATAGCTACTTAAAACGCGATGACATATTTAATATCACTAGAGTTCGCCGAGTGGTCGAACTTCGATCATGATTATGGTCGATTTTTGCTTCATGTATTAATACATGATTCTCAATTTGACCACAGACTTTAACAATAAACAAAAGAGTATACTTATAATATGCGCGTTTCAAATACATGATATTGTGTGTAATGTTTTTTTTATTGATTTCATGTATTTTTTATGCATAATTAAAAAAAAATATTAGCATTCTGCACTCCTTCTCTATATAAACTATAAGTGTGGGAAATTGCATACTCCTCCGTCCGCGCAATTTTCGTAAAAAGGTGTACAAAGTTTTTGCTTTACGTATTAATATATATGTAGATAAATATTTATAGGTTTTCCTTCACTGCTAATTAAGTAGAAAGTATCAATAAATTACAGATATACGTAAATTGTAGTTATGGGTCATTTCTAAATACTCTTATACTCTTAAAATATTATAAATGTAAAAGTGCGTTTGTTTTTTGTCTTTCTTTCAAGTCGAAACGGCATGGCGAATTGGCGTGATTTTTTGTGTGAAGATAAGTGGAGGGCTGGAAAGTGACATAGGCTACTTTTCACCGCGGGAAATTATCTCTTTCCCACAGGAAAACACGTTATAACACAATCTAAAAAAAAATATGATCAGAATTATTTGAAACTTGGTATAAATGCTCTTCAATACAATTAATTAAATACGTGTTTTAGCAGTTTCCGAAATTCATCCCATAAGAAGGTAAAATAATAACGGATGAAAGTTTGTATGAAACCTAACATTTTAGAGTTTTTTTTGTAGTTTTAGCGCGAGCGAAGTCGCGAGTTCTGCTAGTACTCTTATAATGTAAGGATCTCAAATGAATGAATATGCTCAGGGTTGTTATTTATTTATGCTATTTTTCGCGACGCGACGTTTTTCTCTACCAGACCGAATAGTGAAACCAAACCTAAGCAGGAGCAATGTCTATTTATTGTGTTTTTTGATTTACTCGAAAGTTTAAATTGTTTAGTTTAGCACTAGTATAGTATTATATGTTTTAGTGAAGAAAGTTTAAAAATATATAGATATATGACAAAACATTTTATTTTAATTATGGATATTTATTAATAAAAAATGAAAAAATACTTATTAGTTAAACGTTGGAATATGTAGTAGGTATAATAAACATCTCTATTAAATGAATTTCGAGGTCAAACCTAAGGACGTTGCACTATAATCTGAATATGTGAATCTTTTCTTCTAAAAATTTTCCGTTGACTTCGGATACGAGAAATAAAATGATAATGACGATTTTGAAGAAAATAGAATTTATCGATTTGTAGAATATACTGTAGGTAAATACAGATTCATATAACTTTTGTGTCTTCCAAGTTATTTGTTTAATATTAACAAATGACTCTTTAACATTTTGTGTAAAAAAAAACTAAAAACTCAATAAATAAATCTTGCGATACGGAGGGGTTTTTACGAGAGACGAGCCAATTGGTAAATCCATCATATTGATGTAGACTTTGACCAAATTTAAAAGGTTAAAAAAATCAAATGTATTTTTATTCATGCTAACGATTATAATTATTATATTATTGTATGTATTTTGTGGACTTTATGTTAAAATATTTTAGGTTTAAAATTCAAGTATGTTCGTAAAGGGATGAAAAATTAAAAAAAAAGTGTAAAAGCATTTTTTGCCTAGATAGATAAATAAAAATGTGTCTGTAATGTCAAAATAAAAGCTTTTTACTTAATGAAAGTATATACGGTACTTTTATAAGTATTGTACTTTTATAAGTAGGTATGTTATATACAAAACAAGAATTTTTAAATTTTTTGTCTGTTTGGCTATCTGTTTGTTCCGGCTAAGCTCCGAAACTGCTGGACCGATTTTGATAGGACTTTCACTGGCAGATAGCTGATGTTATAAGGAGTAAATTAGATTACTTTTATTTTAGAAAAAGAATCCGGCTTCCGCGAAAAAAATTAAAAACCATGAAATTGTGACTGTAATCCGCGTAACTAGTGATGCGACCGCGCGAAGCGAGTGTAAGTCGCTAGTAGTAATTTTTTCTCTTTTATTTTTTTTAGTTGGTATTATTAATTTATGACTTCAGACAAAGGCTTTTCTTCTTCACATTCTTCATGAGAGATTTCTTTCTTTGCACTAGATGCTAGAACTACACTTCGAACTTCGACTTGCGCTGTGCTTTATATTAACAGATTGGATATGAGCAAACTCGTTGTCAAACATTATCATATAGATAAATTCTCCGTTCTTTTTGTCTGTTCAAATCGATGGGATTTTTGCCCTTTACAAAAATTGCATTTAAATTAAGCTCGAGCAACGTGAAGACTGGTTGATGACAAATTTAATTTTGTTTAATTGGATATAAAATTTGACGATAAAAATGTTATACGTGTTGAATTTTAAAATGAAAACAGTTATTTTATATAATTTCTAATTACTTTAACGATACATATGTATACTGTTGATAGATATCAGAGAATATCGATTTGTTTGTTTAAACGAGCTAATCTCAGGAACTACTTTAAGTACTATCCGATTTGAAAAAATCTTTTTGCATTAGATAGTTTTAGCGCGAGCGAAGCCGCGGGTTTTGCTAGTACTCTTATAATGTAAGGATGAATGAATATGCTCAGGGTTCTGCTAGTACATAAATAATATTAAGATTTTTTCGGAGTTTCCATAAATAATAAAATGAATATAAGAATTATATACAGACGTTACGACAAATCATACGTAGTTCCTTTTCTTTGTTCTTCATATATATCGCTGGAAAATGATTTTGATGACGTCCGGTCCCAAGGGGGACCGAAATACCCACAAACCTAACGGTACCCTAACCGTGTTCGAGAGGCGTCATGTTGCATTTTCATAATATAATAAGGTAGTATGTTCTGCATACGAGATTTAACTCTCGTTTCTAAAGTAATTATACGTGGTACATTAATTACCTAATATAAATTATTTTCTTTTTATGAAATAGATATATTATGACTATATTATATACAACATAGGTATGATGAGTTGATGAGTTGTTGTGGGTTGTATTATGTTTTTCCCCGTGCGGTGGTAAGTAGAAATGAGATAATCTCCCGCAATAAAAAGAAGCCTGTGTCACTCTCTTGCTCTCTTACTATCTCCAGTCTCAATACAAAAAAATCACGTCTATCCTGACGGATAATAATAAACGGATAATAAGTGACCTCCGTTTCGACGTGAAAGAAGAACAAACAAACAAAAACACTTTCACATTTATAATATTAAGTATGGTAGTAAGGATTAATTATCTTGTAAAACTAAAGTCTGCCAATCCGCACATAGCCAGCGCGGTGGACTATAACCAGATCTCCCTCATATTAAAGGGAGGCCCGTGCCCAGTAATGGGACGTTAAAAGGGACTGAATACAATCTAGTAAAAGTTGTATCATCTGCAGAATATAAAATATTCAGTGACCATTTCTTTATCTTTTAGTTTATCGAGGAGATAGCTGCCAAGCAGATGGCAGACCAGGTAGCTGCAAATTACTTTCAAAATGTCAAAGTATAGTGGCGGAAATCAAAAATGCTGGAACACCTATGCCATATAGTTTGAGAAATAAGCTGCAAAAATTAGGATGCGGTTTTGAGTACAATGAGCCATTAGTAAGTTAACATATTATTTTATCGAGAATATGTAAGAATTTAACAATTAACTTAACTTTTAAGAACAATACTTATAACATCTAAGTCTTTTGTTATATCTTATTGAATTTAATATGATACATATAATAGAACTATGGTATACTCAGAGTATCTTTTTTAACTAAGAATTTTTCAAGCGAAACTTCTGACAAATATAAATAATATTTTTTTAATGAAACGTATTTACCAAGTTATTTTATTGTGTAATAGGTACCAACGTTCTGGTTTTATTGTTTAGCGCATCAAACGACGGCGCATTGCGCATTTTAAATACATCAACAAATAGATAAGCTTTTTTCCATTAGGTATAATAAGTGTTTATTACGTCGATGGAAGCGGTTCTGCTATGTATTAATTCTAAATCTAGTTCTCAAAACGCACGTACATACATACCTACGTACGTACAAAAGTAACGGGGTTTTACTGCAGTAGTATGTATGCACCTTAAAAGTTGATTACACTTTTTGTTTAATATTTTATAAAAAATATAAAGAATAATTACACTGAATACAGGTTAGATTAGCATTTTTAGGGTTCTGTAGCCAAAAGGCTAAAACGGAACCGTTATAATTTATGCTATTCATTTTTTGCCATATTCGTTTATCCTTCTGTCAAATCCGTATAACTCTAAGTGTTTAGTATGTACGAGTATATTATGTAAATATTGCTAGATAATCCTGTAGTGAAATTTCAAAAATAAAGTAAAGGATGAAGTATCGATCGAGTCTGGAGTAATACAATAAAATACCAAGTTCTTTATATCGTCAATAAAATAAATATCGTAGATGGGTAAATTAATAAAAAAAAACTTTTATCGTAACAAATTAGCTTGTAACAAAACATAATATGCTATAGAACTCTCGGTGTGTGAGTCAGACTCGCAAAAGAAACACTTATAGGATTATAATAATAAGTAATTATAAATTTTATTACAATAATTTATTTTCAGATATGCTGTGAATCTTATTTAAATATTAATAATAACGAAGCGGGTGGTTTTAATAATAATCCGGACCCATGGTCTAATTCCAGCCCAAATAATAAATGGGGATCAAACGTAAATGGTGGACAAGACCCTAATAGCTATGAAGTCGGTTATCCAAACGATAATATAAACAGCAATAGAAATGAACAAAAGAATCCAGCTTCAAATACAGCTTCTCATCGAAATTTAGAACTGTTGCCAACTAACTGTGGACCGATTGAGGGTGAGAGAATCTTTGGAGGAAACAGGACGAGATTATTCGAGATGCCTTGGATGGTGCTGCTATCGTATGGCTCACGTAAGATATTGTTTATTTACCATTTATATAATAATAATATATAATAATAATGAATTTACTATCGGTAATTTTGCTTTATTAGTATTTTGTGGTTGAGGTAATGAACAGATTTTAAACATATATACGTATATTCAAAAACAACAACAACAATTATAATTGTAACTGATCACTGTCTGTACGTGGAACATATTTGAGAAAATCTATTATTGGAGGTCTTTATTAACGCAATAGAACCCAAAAAAAAATATTAAAAAAAAGATGGCCAAGTGCGAGTCGTACTCGCACATATAGGGTTCCGTACCATTATTAATAAAAACGGCAAAAAATCATGTCTGTTGTATGGGAGCCCCACTTAAATATTTGTTTTATTTTTATTTAATTATTTATTTTTACCTAGGGACGAACCCGAGCGAAGCGAGGGTGAGACCCTAGTTATTGTAATAAGCTTAATAATATAGAAAGAAACCAGCTATTCTCTATTATTAATTTAAAGACAAATAAAAAAATCTATACATATAATAAAACGTAAAGTTTTTTTAAACAATGACTATAGTATTGTGTTTACAATGTGCACTTCCAAAACAATATTCATTAAAAATGTTGTTTGTTTGTCTGTGTGTGTTTTACGCAAAATATACTGAACCGATTTTAACTATATCTTGTGTAGTGATAGCTTATTACTTAAGTCAACATTTTACTACAAGAAAAAATTTTACAACAGGAAAATCTTTTATTACCACGGGAAAACACAATAACTCGTTCTGAAGCATATAGCACACTAACACAAGAACTATTTATTACTATGTAAAACGTACCCGCTGGGCGGGTACGTTTTCGAACAACGACCACTCAGCCCAAAAAGCTCGAGCTCGGGCTTAGTGGTCGTTGTTTTCGGGTAATCGCCAAGTACCTTCGTAATATTCGCTTTAGGTATATAATAAAAATGTTCCTTTATTTTATATATTGAAAAACAAATAGAATTGAATAAATTAAATCTTTTCCTATTTCACGGAAAATTGACATTTAAAAAAAAAACAAGACTCAATCTTTGACTAATGTTTTAGCTCGTGGTACCAAGTTAAGTTGTGGAGGGACGCTCATCAATGAGTGGTACGTTCTCACTGCAGCACATTGTGTGTCCTTCTTGGGTGCAAATCTGGAATTACGTGAAATTATTTTGGGAGAATACGATGTAAGGCGAGATCCTGATTGTGAGAGGATTGAAGGGGAACAGTTTTGTGCACCGAAAATTCGGGTAAAAATTCCTTACATTTAAAATCTTATATTAAGGTTTTATTTGTTACAAAAGAAAATTTAATGCAAAATATTTAATAAAATATTGTTGCGTTTTCTCATCATTTGTATATTTAACAGTATTTTTCTTTTAAGTGAGCCTTTTAATAACTAAAACCGTTAACTTCAAATAAGTAAATCCAAGTTACATAGTTACAAAAAAAAGTGTGTGTGTACTTACGTACGCACGTAAGAAGTTATACTTCTTTAGCGTAACAGAATAAAAATAGCTAAAGATTTCATCCCGTATGTCACAACTCTGTTTGTAAAAGAAACGATAAATTAATAAAATAATTAGTATACTAAACTTTTCCATCCAAACATGTTTTTCCGACTAACGAATCCATTATTATCATATCCACGCTTCATCTGACTTCATCATGTCGCTTTTAGGCTGTCGGTGTGAGCGCGCATCGTAAAAATTTTACTCTCATATTTTTTTCCAAACTTTCTAAAAGAAGTATAAGTTCAAAAGTTAACACACATTAATTAAAACTATAGGGATATTTTGTTATTTATGAGTTTGATCTCAAAGATATATTGCTTTTACTAATTTCAGTTTACTCATTTTTGAACATTGATCTCGTATCAGTTTCCAGATAATTCATTATTTATTATTAAATTTGCAATTTATATGGGTTAAACATAAGATAAATATATTTTAATTTTTATTTATTATCATCATTTAAAATGAGATAATAACTTTAGGGGTTTTTTATCATCCGGCTTATCGGGGTTTTTTAAAGTTACAAGTATTAGTAACATATATTTTGGTTTTAATTATATTTTATAAACAAATATTATTACTAAAAATATTATACGTAAAACATTTACAATATTTTATGTGTATTAACTTTACTATATACTCCAATGTGATCAATGCGTGCGGTAGGTACTTTCTACTGTATGCATATATCGCAGGGAAATTGTATAAACCTTGAAATTGTTAATAAAAAATTACTGATCTAACACATAAACTCTTCTTTTTCAAGGTTGCTTGAAAATGTAATTGAAATAATAAAATTACATGTTAAAATTTGGTCTATATTTTACAGAGAGTTGCCATTGACTCCTTAATTGCACATCCAGGCTATAGTCCTCAGAAGTTGGCAGATGACATTGCTCTCATACGACTTGCTGAACCAGCGGACTTTTCTTTAGGTCAGTTATGAAAAAAAGAAATAATACATATAATAAAATTGTAACCAAGCCGAATCTGTACATTGAAATTTTTTTGGGAAATCTTATTGACATAGACTTTATTATCGATACAGAGGCCGAATCTATAGTTTTTAGAATTTTTGTCTGTCTGTCTGTAACCGCATCACGGAAAAACCACTGGAGGGATTTTGATGAAATTTAGTATGATGATAGCTGGTTATCCGGGTCAACATATAGGAACTTTTTACTGCGGGAAAATATCTCATCTCTGAGAAATCTATATTAAATATATGGTATAGACATTGTTTTAACTGCCTCGGTAGTCTCGTGGCTAGCTAGTTTAGTTATTGAGTTTTTCTGTTAAGGAATACTCAGAAGCAGTCAGGAATTGGGAAGTTGGCGGTGTTTCACCGCTGTGCTACGAAGAGCACAGGCAGGAGAGAATAATATAACTTGGTTTTTAAGTGATTCATTATTATAATAAATACAAAATAAAATATCACTAAGAACACTTAAGTTCGGCTATAAGTTATTTTTTAACTTACGTAACTCGTAAGTCAGCTAGAGCCCATATAACAGGTACTCAACCTGTTATATGTTTTCATATTATGCTAATGCCTAATAATTAATACCTTAAATTATTTAGGTATATACATTTGTTTTTCTGTTAAAACAATTCTAAGTATTGTTACTACCTCTTCGATTAAACTACACGCTAAAACCAAAAAGTATGTAAAAATTGCAGATAGCATGAAGCCAATTTGTTTACCAGTAACTTCAGAGCTTCAGACAGAGAAGTTAGAAGGGTTACAAGGTGTGGTTGCCGGGTGGGGTGCCACTGAGGACGGCTTGCAGTCACCGGTACTACTTAGTGTGGATCTGCCAATCATTACAAATAGCGATTGTCAATCTATTTACAATGGGTGAGACGTTATTCATAATGTGGATACTTTAGCTTGTCCTCTCCACTTGCAAATAAAATTGTAGTATATATATTTTTATCTATGGTTATAAGTTACTATCATATATGCAAAGATTTCAATTTAAAGTAACCGTTTAAATAAATAAATGTACATGCTTATATTTGTTCTCAAGGTTCGTTTACCCCAATTTTTTTTTTTATTTTGTAATCGAAAGCCCCGAAACAATATTAATATTTTACATTGCTAAACCTTTTTTATACTCTTTCAATATTCTTATATTCAAGTCAAGAAGCGTATCCTATAAGTGTGCCATAGTTTTAAAACGGCTGAATCAATTTTAACTTAATAATAATAAATGTACTTGAAATGTGTACTTGCAAGTTTGCTTCATGTATTTAACTAGGCATTTTGTTACGCCTGAACAAGTTTTGTTTTAAATATGGTATATTATAGGAATTTTTAAAACCTCCATGGTTCCTCCAATTGTAGTGACATACATAAAATACATACATATACATATATACATATAAAAAAACAAGTGCCTTACAAAGGTAGAGTAAAAAAAATTATAACTGTATCAATATGTTTTTCAGATCACCAGAAATACATGACTCACAGCTATGTGCAGGAGGGGTACCAGATAAGGACTCATGTGGAGGAGACTCTGGAGGTCCTCTCATGTACCCTGGTAGAGCCCGAGGAGTAGGGGTGCGTTATGTACAAAGAGGAGTTGTCTCATATGGTTCGAAACGATGCGGAGTTGGCGGCTACCCTGGCGTATACACAAGAGTGGCTTATTATATGAACTGGATTTTAGATAACATACATGAATAATTTAAATTTAAGTAGCTATTTTTTATACTTAGTTTCAGACTTTAACCGATAGGTACGGACTATAGATGGTCACATAATATTACCTTGAGAGTACCTAACAAAACATCACTGCGTAGTTGATATTATTGAAATAACGTTGAACCTAAGAATTTTGTTAATATATTTCTTTACTGCTGAACCCGTTGTGACGTATTGACTAGTATGTCTGTAGGTGTTAAGACTCTGTATTATTTCCAATTCAATAGTATTAATTTTGTAATTATTTAAACAGCATTTGCCTATTTATGATATAATTGTGATTTACAAACTGTCAAACATTCTCTATTTTTTGTTGTGAATCAATGTATACTAATATTATAAAGAGGTTAAGTTAGTGAGTTGTGACGTTGTAGGGGATAATCTCTGTATCTACTGAACTGATTTAGATGAAATTTGGTAAGAAGATTGTTTGTGGGCCTGGGAAGGACATAAGATACTTTTTATCCCGGAAATCATCCCTTAAGGGGGTGAAAATGGGGATGAAAGTTTGTATTGGGAAGCTAGCTAGAGACGAACCCGAGCGAAGCGAGAGTGAGCCTAGAATATGTTGCCTACGCAAATACAACTTCCAATAGAAATTATCTTAACATTGCAGTGCAGCTTAAAAGAACTAAACAAATTAAATGATAGACAGATTTAGCAAGCGAGATATAGCGTAAAAATAATGATTCTGATTTATGTAATTTATATAATATAAACATTTGGACAGTAGCAATTCTGTAAATAATAAATATAATAAGGAACTCCAGTCTATGTTTTGTTTGTTTATCGCCACAAACCGATAAATAGATTTTAATATGTTTTTTCAGTCTGTGTTCTGAAAATTTAGAACCAAATATTTTATACTTTCTTAAAAAAACTTTCACAGTTAGTAGGTACACAATTAAAAATGTACCTCTACTTGGGTAAATGAGGTATCTCGCTTTGTTGAATTCTTTCGTCGACGTTAAAATTATAATACGCGCTCATAACAAAACGTTAGTTTTCAAGTAAATAAACTATTATTTTGTTTATTTTTTTGAACTGAATTCATATACTCGTATATATAAGGATTTGCTATTGTACTAATGATAAACTATATGATTTTTTTTTATATATTTTAAATATCGGTTCGTAGGAAAGCCAATAAGACCGAAAAAAAGATCACCAAAAAAATTGACAGATGGCTTTGCTAGGGCACAAGGAACTTTTAGGAATCACGAAAATATTAATACTTATTTTTTAGTTGTAAATACGTATCGGGAAAGGTAAAACAAAATATTGCTTATAATCATGCTTTAAATAATTTTATTTTAAAACTCCTTTTGGCTTTACAAGGAACAGACCCATAAGAAGGCCATTATAGTCTGTTTTCATTTTTTATAATTGTATTATAAAGATTATTGGCAAGTTATTTTATATCGATATAATACTTATTAAAATTATTTTTAAAACTTTTTCACGAATTCATTGTTAGTTTTACGATAGTGTTCAAGTAATGTTCGTTGACTATTTTTTATGAGAATATATTATGATATGTAATGTTTACAATGTTTCATTTTAATGAAAGCCCTTTTTATAAAGATTAAGTATAACCAGATACTATGATTGTCTCACCGTTAGTTTTTAGTTAAACTTCTTCTTCTTCTCCCTGCCCAATTACTTGGGGTCGGCACAGTACATCATCTGTACTGCTGATAGGATTTAGCAAAAGTTTTACGACCGGCCGCCTGCCTGACGTCAACCCTCCTTGGGAATTCTATTGTCTCTCTTTGTCTGGATGGTATCACGGAAGTCTTATAGTATGCACTTTCTATTTTTTTGTCTTTCATAACATTTTTTATACTATTACTTGATAATTTAATGTTATTTTCGGATATATTTTAAAATAAATTTTGATTGCACAATAAATTTTGTTTTTTAGTTAAACGATTGATTTATTATATCGGTCTTGTATGGAGCCCTGTTCTGCTTGCAAGGCCATTTTGGAAGAGTTCAATAAAACTTAAATTTAATAATTAATCATTATCTCTGCAATAAAATAAAATGTTTTATAAGTAATATAATAGAACAAAGTGTTACTTAATAATTAGTGTTTCATTTATCCTATGAATAAAATAATAATAACTGTTTATTTGTTAGAGTGGCTTTCCATAGTCCACCCACTTTACATAGTTATTTTAGTTAGAGTACTTTTCGTGAGATAATTGTATATTGCAATGGATGGTGTAAGTTGTAACTAGTAAAATATATGAACAAAATTAGTCGGAAATCCTTTTTTACACGACTGCAGTGAAACATAAAAAGTAAAATATTAATAATTTAAATAATAAGTCCTCCTGAATCCTGACCGATTTCGGGTACGTTTCTGTCACTGTCATACTCCGATGGGACAACTACTCGACACGACCAGTGAGGGTTAAGGCGCAGGACCGAAGGCTTTACGTGCTCTCCGAGGCACGGGGGTGGAACACCGCCAACTTCCCAACTCCGGGCTGTTATTGAGGCTTACTAAACGGAAAGACTCGATAACTAAACTTGGCCTGACCCTGGACTCGAACCCAGGACCTCCGGATGTGCAGACGTATATGCTAGCCACTACACCACCGAGGCAATTATTCTATATTAACATCTAAATTACAATATCTCAGTTAAATGAAAACCTACACCCTGCTACCTAAAATACCTATACCTCTGTGATTGGGCCCATTGCCCGTCTTTTGGGTTATCTTAAATACAACCCATGTTCATAATTCATTACTAGCATCACACACTTAGTGTCTACAAGATCTTACCTCGGGACGTTGGGGTTTTTGAGACGAAAAGTTATTGCGTATTTTCCAGAATGCGAACTTTTTCAAATAATAATAAATCATATACCTAATTGTATATTCTATACCAGTGGAATATGCAATTATAAACAATTAGGGTACATTACAATACAGCGCACTACATCTCCCTGTAGTATTTTTTTAGGCACAAGTTTAGAATTGGGGACGTGGCCCCTGGCGGAGTGAGTGGTATTTCTGGATAAGGGACGTGATAGGGAGTCGAAATGTTAAATAATTTTTTTTAATACAACAAAAGATTCAAAAGTTATTGAGACTTAAAGTTACAACATTTCCATACATTTTCATATATTTCTTTACCACCATTCGGAGTGGGTGGTATTTTTAGATAGGGGAGGTGACAGAGAGTCAAAATATATTAAAAATATTTGGAGGAAACGTACGAGTAAAAAGTTATTGAGACTTAAAGTTATAACATATCTAACACATTTCCATACATTTCTTTACCTAAATAAGTGATTACAACAGATAAACATACCTTTAACGAATAGTACGCATCCTTTTTTATGTACATTACACATTTTCACAACAATTAATGCTTTATTGTATTTAATATTTTAATAATTTCACAACACAAACAAAATGATCTTACATTTTGACAAAAGCAAAACTGACAATTAGATTTACGCGAATATTTGACATTTTAAATTAAAAAAAAATCGGATTTTTTCATGGATTTATTTTGGTTCTCGACGTTTCGAGCGCTTTTTATAGCAATCATAGTCACAGCAAAAAGTAAGGTTTTAGACGTCTCAAATATTAATTCAATAAAAATAAATCCAGAACGATAGTTTTATTTAAAACACGATGTTAAATTTATAGAGAGTTAAGCAAAGTCTATAGGATGACTTATAGGCATATAGCAAATCTAAAGACCCAAACAAAAAGCGAATATTCCAATATTTAATTTTGTATGAGAATATTGATGATAAAAAGAAAATCTTTAAACGGTATTTTTATCTCTTTATATCAAAGAGTTAGTTCGTGGAAGCGTACTTTGAAGGCTGGGAAGATATAGTATGACATTAATTTTACAAGCAATCATACGTATTATTTTCCACCTCAAGACTCTTGTTTTACACAAAAATTATTTGTAAATTTTATCTTTATTCTAGACTAGCGACTCATCATAGCTTCGCTCGGGTTCGTTCCTAGTTAGTTTTAACGTTTGGTATAGATTTCTCAGAGATGAGATATTTTCCCACAGTAAAAAGTATCTTATACGTTAAACCGGATAACCAGTTTTCATCATACCAAATTTCACAAGACAAAAATTCTAAAAACTATAGATTTGGCCTATGTATCGATAATAATTTCTATTGCAATAAGATTTTCCAAAAAATATGTAAAGTACAGATTCGACTCAGCATTTTATTATATGTATAGATAGATTAAAAGGCTCTGTTAAGTTGTTTTTATTAAAAGAAAAAATTATGTGAGTAAATTTTATGAGTTTAATCTATTTTTAGAAATATATTATTTGTAATTTTTTCATTTATTATTTGTAATTTTCTTTATGAAGTTAAAATGCTAAATTCCCTTAACACAATTTCTGTTTAAAAAAAAATTTGATGTATAACAGTTTATTATAGATAATATTACAATTTTATTTTCAATATTACTTTCTTTCTTCTGAGAATATATATGTAGAGTTTTAGTACCCTGTTATTAATAGAAGAAAAATATTATATACTTTTTAAACTTTATTATAAAAAAATATTGTAAAAAAAATATTTTTTTTTAATATTCTCCATAATGAAGGAGAAAAACTTCTTTAACAGTACACAATTTAGTTTTTTACAAAATAAATTATGAAAGTTTTCGGAATACTATAATAAAAAAAAAATTAGCAAATTATATATTCATGTTTTATTTGTTAGTAATACAAAAACAAATCTATCTCACGGGAAACATACTTTTTTCCGGAATAAAAAGTAGTCTATGTGTTATTCCAGACTATAATCTAACTCTGTGCCAAATTTCATTCAGATCCGTTCAGCCGTTCTGGCGTAAAAGAGTAACAAACATCCATACATACTCAAAAATATCACATTTATAATATTTATACAGATGACACGCTCTACAAAACACTTTAATCATTCTAAATTAGTGTAATATACTTAATGTAACAAGTCTAGTATTAGGGTTATAATGCTTTAATTTCACACTACAGTATCCAGGAGAAAGCGCTCTTGCAGCTTATACTTAAATGTTCAAACAAAATAATTACATTTCCGTCTGCACCCCGGCTAGATATCAACCCTCCCTATAAATTACAAGCTTTTGAGTGTTTATGTGTAGCTTAAGTTTGTCTACTTTAGTATTATTATTATGACACCACATTATTTTTAGTTCTTAAAAGGAAATACTGCTTGAGTGTTTCAGAAAACTGGTTTTATTTGTATTCATAATATAAATTATACATTAAGTGAGCATCAAGTACTTATCTTTCTGAAATCACTTAACGTTCTAGAGGTAAAGTAAACTGTCATTCTCAGCCTCATAAATTGTTTCTTTGGCAAAAATCACGTCATATTACGACAATCTGTTCTTTTGTGAAAAAAATAACAAACACTTTGACGTATAATATAATTAGATTTATTGTTTATTCTAGCATTGCCCGCGGCTTTTAAAATGTAATTTGATAACTTTTCCCTACTTTAAAGTAAAACTGACATAGACACACTTTACACATACGCTGTTATATTATACCTACAGGAGACCGAAGAGTAATCAATATAATTATGTATAGTATATATACAATAGTATGCAATGCCAGGTAGAAAGATTATAAAGTCATCTTCTTTTCTTCAGATTTAATTCTACAGCTTCTCCATTCTTCATCGGGTTCGGCGCTATTTTCACAACTTTTACGTGTGTATAATGTCGCCCGTTTTATTTATCATTTGTGGTAGGCCCCATTACATTTACTCATTCAATAAATAAGGAGATTTTTAGCCAGTCTTGCTCAGCATTAACTGCCGAGGATGGTGGACAGGATTTGCTTGGTAGTATTTCTGCCAGTGTGTTGGCATACATTAGTTACTTTTTTTTTGTAATGGCTTATAGTTGCGTTAACAGACGCAATCCATTCTGCCAGTGTCACGTTTTGTGAGGAAGACACTGTTATAAATACTCTTTACATGTACATTCTTTTGTAATTTTAAAAAATATTCTTATGTTCGATTCTTATGTATGTCATTCATTCATATTTTTATGCTAATAAAAATGTCTTATGATTTTGTGTACTGAAGTTATTATATTGGCGACGAGGATGGGATAAAAATGAACCCTGAACAAATAGACCAATTACTTCGAAATCAAGTATCACAGCAACAACAAATAACAGAAATCCTGAAATTTTTAGTTGAAACACGAATTACCACACCCACACCATTGAACAACAATGGAACGGAATTGCAGGTAACTACCTCAACACCGACAGAAATAAATAAAATAGCCATCATTAATAATTTTAGAGGAGACAAATTTGAACCGTCAAGTAACTCGTCAATTGAAAATTTTATCGAATATTTTGAAGCCAAATGTAGAATAGGGGGTGAAAGTTACTTAAATATACAGAAAGACCTTTTATTATCATGTTTAAAACCAGAAACATATCACGAAATTAAAACAGCACTAATACCCTCATTCGAAAATTCTACCTACGATGATATTAAAAATAAACTACTAGATATATATAAAACACGTAAAACAAGATACAAGGCATTGACTGAATTTTGGTCTTGTATCAGAGATACCTGTGAAAGCATGGAACATTATGCCAATAGGTTAAAAGAACTCAGCAAAGATTGCGGTTATGATGACACTATATTAGAACGACAGTTACGAGATCGCTTCGCTACAGGGCTAAATCATCAACAATTACAAATTGAACTAAGACAAAAATGGCCTGATCTTATAGATACTCAAAACGGAATAAAAACAGAAGTAACATTTTTACAGTTATTTGCTATTGCTCAGTCTAGGGAACTAGCTGAAGCAGATATTAATACAGAGTGTAACATTAACAGAATATCTAACAAAACTGGAAACAGAAAAGAAGAAAACATACGGAAACCAACACGCAAATTACGCCTAGACCAATGTCGCAGATGCGGCAAGCACAATAGACACAGCTTTAACAAATGTGAAGCCAGAAATCATGAATGTACAGAATGTGGAGTTATAGGTCACTTTGAAAGTTGCTGCATTAAAACTGGCCGAGCGTACCTTGACAACTATAAACCGCTTAAAAAATCAACTAAGTTTCAGAAAAATAGGCACTTATACAGAATTACAGAAAGAGCAAATATAACTAACAGAGTTTCACAAACACCAACTTCATCATTTTCAGGTAGCGAAGAAAGTGAGGAAGAGAGCAATACCTACAAAATACAAAATAAAAAAACAAGCAGATGTAAAAAAATAGATGTTAAAATTAACGGTATTAAGTGTACAATGGATTGGGATCCAGGTTCCGTATATTCCATCATTAATACTAAAATGTGGAGAAAAATTGGATCACCCTCACTAATGCAAGCACCCACATTAAAAGCTTACTGTAACTTCAAACTAAAACCGAAAGGCTTAACTGATATTACTGTAGAGGTTGATAACCGAAGTTTAATATTACCAGTAATTGTAATGAAGCATGCTGAGCCAATGCTCTTTGGCCTACAGTGGAGTGAATCTTTTGATATGATTTTTCCGGAACCCGTTTACTCTATAAAAAATATTGCAATGACAACGAACATGTCACTTAAGCGTGTATTAGATGCTCACACTAGGCTCTTCGACGGTAAACTAGGAAGAGTAAACAATTATCAAGTAAACATCCACATTAAAGAAGGAGTAGAACCAAAACATCTTCCTGCTCGTCCTATAAAATTTAGTATTAAAAGAAACGTAGATATTGAATTAGAGCGTTTGGTTAATGAAGGCATTATTACTCCAATAGACCCAAACATAACTCCAGTAGAATGGGCAACACCTACAGTTAATGTTCTTAAATCCAATGGTCAAATAAGAATATGTGGTGATTACCGTATAACAATTAACTCAGCACTTATAAAACATGCACACCCAGTTCCTCTTTTCGACCACTTACGTCAACGACTATCAAATGGAGAGAAATATTCAAAAATTGATTTAAAAGACGCATACCTACAATTTGAAATAGCCGAAGCATCAAAAAAATATCTAACAATTTCGACCCATAAAGGTTATTTTCAATACAACAGAATACCATTTGGTATCGCAACTGCGCCATCTATTTTTCAACATTATTTAGACAAACTTTTAGAAGATATACCAAATGTAGCTGTTTATTTTGATGACATAGCTGTGACTGGAAGAAATGACAGCGAACACTTAAAAGCACTTTCCACAGTATTTACTCGATTGGAGAAGGCAGGTCTCAAAGTAAACTTAAAAAAATGTTCATTTTTACAACCAGAAATAGAATACTTAGGACATACAATTGACAGATTTGGTGTGCGGCCAACAAAATCAAAAATTGAAGCTATCCTTAATGCGCCACCGCCCACTAATATAAAAGAATTAAGATCTTTTCTAGGTTTAGTTAATTTCTATGAGAGATTTATTCCAAATTTACATAGCATTTGTGCAGATCTTCATAAGTTAACTGGAAGTAAAAGCAAATGGCAATGGAGATCTTATGAAAATGAAATTTTTGATGAAATTAAACACAGTATAACGACGTCCAAATCATTAATAGCTTTCGATGAGACACGCCCTCTATGTTTAGCATGCGATGCTTCAGAGAAAGGCATAGGCGCCGTATTATTTCATAAAGCAAACAAACTTGAACAACCTATAGCATATGCATCAAGAAAACTTAAATTAGCAGAATCCAGATATTCAGTAATAGATCGGGAAGCACTTGCCATATTTTATGGCATTAAAAAATTTGACCAATATTTAAGAGGAACTAAATTTACTTTGGTAACTGATCACAAACCTTTAATACACATTCTAGGACACCAACGTAACTTACCAAAAATAGTAAACAACAGACTCGTGAGATGGGCTTTATTAATAGGTAGCTATGATTATGAAATTTTATATAGAAAGGGCGAGAATAATAAAGTCGCTGATTATTTATCACGTATGCCAAATCCTAAAGAGGAACCTACAAGAGCTGAATTAAGAATTCATAAAATTGACGAAATTACACAATACGACAAAATAAATGATTTATCACTAACTCAACAACATATTAAGGAAGAAACCGCGAAAGATAATAGCCTTAAACAAGTAATGCAATTCATTAAAACAGGATGGATAAATTTAGTAAAGGAAGCAGAACTACAACCTTATTTACGCAAACGTGAAGAACTTGCAATAGAAAACAATTTAGTTATGTGGCAGGGTAGAATTGTGATGCCGTGCACATTGCGCCTGCCCACGTTAAAATATTTACACAGAGGTCATCCAGGTATTTCGGCAATGAGAGCTTTAGCACGATTTTATGTATGGTGGCCAACAATCGAAGAAGATATTGATGTTTACGTTAAAAAATGTCATATGTGTCAAGAGAATCGACCAAATAACACAGAACTTCCTATATTTTCATGGTCAATCCCAGACAATGTATGGGAGAGAATACACATTGACTTTGCAGGACCGTTTGAGGGAAAGTATTGGCTAGTATTGGCGGATGCTCTATCAAAATGGATAGAAATTGTTCCAATGGACAAAATTTCCACAGATAAACTTTGCAATAAACTAGACGATATTTTTACTACATTCGGATTACCACAAATTATAGTTTCTGATAATGGACCACAATTCACATCATCGCAGTTTCAAACATATTGCAAGCTTAAGAACATTGTACATATCAAATCGTCACCTTACCATCCACGAACAAATGGATTGGCAGAACGGCTAGTTCGAACTTTTAAAACTCGAATGGCGGCAAGTAAAGGTGACAATGACTGCCAAATAAATCGCCTAAGAAAGTTCCTATTTACGTATCGCAATACACCTCACACGACGACAGGAAAATCACCAGCTCAAATGATGTTTGGACGCAGACTTACATGTGAGTTAGACAATGCCCGCCCGAATCTAAAGCATCAATTGAGATTTAAGCAATTACAAGCAGACATTCTGAACGAAAATACAAAAGCTTTTAGACCCGGAGATAACGTTTATATTCGAGATAAAGTGATGAAACAGTGGAAGCCAGGTGTTATTAAGCAGAGAACACATAAATACTCATATAAAGTCAATACACCCGATGGAACAGAAAGGCGAATGCATGCAGATCATATTAGGCCAAGAGCCATGGATAGAGAAAATGATACAAAAGCTGAACATACACCAATCAGCTCAACATGGTTTGAACACAAAGCACCAGACAGAAAACAACCAAATTCATCTGAAAAATCTACTGAACCAGTGACTCCGATAAAAGCCTCGATTCCTAATATTACACCCACAGAAACGATAACGATACAATCAACACCTAGACCCGGAAGCCTAATAGCAGAAACAATCGAACAAGACAGGCTAGCCAATGAATCGAATAAGGATAGAGAAAATAAAGCGATACAACGACGTAGTAAACGTACTATAAAACCGCCACGAAGGTTGATTGAAGAAATGTGATTAAGGAAGGATGTTAAAAAAAAAGTAGCCCCGGAGGAATGTTATAAATACTCTTTACATGTACATTCTTTTGTAATTTTAAAAAATATTCTTATGTTCGATTCTTATGTATGTCATTCATTCATATCTTTATGCTAATAAAAATGTCTTATGATTTTGTGTACTGAAGTTATTATAGACACAAATGAGATTGAGCGGTAATTTTGAAATTTGGTAACTATATTGTGGATATTGATGCTATAACATTTACTTATATAGAACGTAACAATATATTTTAGTTATTTTTATAATAACCTCAACTAGTGAAAGGCGTAATCTTTGACACTAATGCCAATATGACATTTTACACCTTTATTTTTTAATTTTTAGACTTGTAATGGACATTGAACATATTAATTAACTATATGGTTTTTTAATGTATGTCTCAATTAGATTGATATTTATAATTGTATTTTAATAACACACTACAGGGTTTAAGGTTTTTTATTAAAAATATTTAAAATCAAGTTATGGTTCAAAACAAAGATTTCTTAAATTAAAACGTTAATTGTCTTTAGTATCGTATAGCAGTACCCACTACGGTTGATGTCTTGGCATATGAACTGTCATTGATAATAAAGAAATTATTCTTTAAAAAACTATCATATTTAAACTAATAGGTATATAGATATAGCTTACCCTTTGAACTTTCAAGTCAAGTAGTCGGTTTGATTTACGACGCTGTAAAAGAGAAATAAATTCTCTCAAAAATACTCTTAAAAGCTTCAAAAATTGATAACAATAAAATCAATCAAAAATCAGCTCAATTGCTGGCACTTAAAAGTTTTATCATCTAAGAAAGTAGTACAAAAATATAATGTTATCGTAATACGACTGAAAATATAAAAATAAATTAATAACTTTAAATGAAAGTGTAAAAAAAGTAAAATATTATTTTCTAAGTTTGTTAACTCGTAACGTTGTGATTTATATATGTTTTCAAGTATCTGTCATAATAAAGTTTATTCTTAAAAAAGAATAAAACATTTTGTTAACTTAAATAACTTCATTCACACACAGACAGACAGACAAAAGTTCTAAAAACTATAGATTCGGCCTCTGTATCGATAATAGTGATTATTTCAATAAGATTTTCCAAAAAATATTTAATGTACAGATTCGACTCAGTTAGAATTTTATTATATGTTTAGATAGATATAGATAGATACTCGTAGAGATCAGACGGCGTAAACTAATTTATCTATAGAATTTCGTAGTTTCCTTTTGAATATAAAGTTTTTCATAAAAATATGGTCTACTTTTACTAAACTAGTTGGCTATGATTTTTAGACTTCATTATTTACGTGTAAGGATTCTGTAAAGAATTCTCTTTAAAATGTGCAGAAATATTCTATTTTATCTAAAATAATTATATAGGTTTGTAAAAGTTATTTTCATTTTTCTAATCATCAACTACGTTGGTGCCATAAACAGAAGTATTTGTGATATTGTTGTATTTGATGTATATATATATATATAGCTTCTAGAGGAAACAAATTTAAAAAAGAATTGTCTGTGTAAAAGCCCGATAGATGGAAATTTTATAAATAACAATTTTCAGAGTAGGTACTTGATACCAAATTGAATATTGTCATTATTCAGCACTACCAACTTCCCTCCCTTTTCTTGGGTATCTCCCTAGGTATGCTTTATTATATAATAGTTAATGTGAGCGTACTTTGGAAGGTAGACACTATCGTGGACTGTGTGGGTAGTTTTAAAAGAAACTCTTTTACTTAGACTTAGACAAAACACCGTCTAGGCTCAGTTATTTTGTTTGCGAGATTTTTCTGTAATAAAAGGTATTCTAAATGTTGACCCGAGTAATATGTTATCACTACACAAAGATCAGTTATTAATACTTTTTGCGTGACAAATCTTCTACAATATTATTTTGTAACAGTCAATATATTTTTTATATTTTAATGTTGTACGGATTGTAATATGTCATTAACAAATAGAGTAATATTTTTGGTATTAAACATACAAAAATTTTAATTGTAAATTTTAATTTTGCTTATTGAATCTATATTTCGTCTTCAAAAAAATATTATCATATAATAATAGATTAAAAACTTATTTGTATGATGCTTTTTTACTGCCATCATTAGTAGCGGACGTCAGAATGATGTTAATGACAAAATATTTACGGAATCACTTTTTATAAACGTCTTTTATAAAATATGCAGTGCCGAACGAGCGATGAGCGGATGCAAACTATCATGTACGAGGAAAAGAAGTAAGGCAGGAGATGAAAGGTTCGAGGGCGGTAACCAAAAGCTAATAGCACCTATTCCATTGCAGCCGATACCTGGTACTTCTTCGGAAGAAACCAGATTCGAGATAACCCCGGCTCCTCAGTCCGGACATCGAACTTCACCAAATGTTATTATCACAATACTTAAATTAATGTTAACTACTGTACTGAGTATTTTAATTCGTAATTCTCAAATATGAAAGAGGATGTATGTAGGTACAATAAGGTTATAAAATATACCCATAATAAAGAAAAATGAAATAATGCGGTCTTAAATCAAATTTCCGTAAGTACTTTAGTGTCGTATGACGAAATGCTTGGCTCAGTTTGTAGTGACCCTACTTACTGTGCCAGTGGAATTTATCAAAAAAAAAATAGGTAATTTTGAAAATGCCTGGACCAACTCTTTAACCGATTGATCTGGTTTTATTTTTTTAAAACTCTTTTGAAAATAAAATGTATATACATTTTTCCGGGATAAAAAGTAGTCTGTGTGTTATTCTGATGTAAGAGCCATATTATTGTAGTTTCATCAAAATCCATTCAGTAGTTTTTGCGTTAAAGAGAAACATACATCCATACATACATTTTTAAGAAAAAAAAATATCTTCACAATTACGTTTTTTTTGCATTGACTATTGATATATAAAAATATATATCAATGTTTTTTGTTTTTTTTTTTCAACTTACGCCACTGATGTACATTTATGTGACACGATATAAAATGAAATTACATATTTTTATAGATTATCACTAAAAAAATGGGAGCGACTGATTTCCATTCCCATACCTTATTTAGACAGATATTTGTCTTAAATAATTGAAACCTTCTAGATGATCAAGTATTTACCTTAAATTTATGAGGATTTAAGATCTTAATTATTTGTTATTGAGTCAGTACACTGTGTCATCTCCAAAAAATGATAAAATTATAATTCTTATTTTGTTTTTAGCTTACAAGTAGACTAAAACAGAAACTTACAATTGTTTGGAAGAGTGTTAACGATTTATGGAATAATACATATCATTGGCAGTTGGTAAAGAGCATTACTATGTTTACGTTCGGCCTTAAACTTTTCGACGACCTTAACCGGCATATGGTCAAAAGTTCTTCCACTTGCCGCCATTAATGTGTCTTTTATTTTGAAATAAAATTATAAAAACAATCATATTTGTAATAATTTATAAATATCGACGCCTTCTTACATCCAAATAAATGAGAATTTAGTTTTTCTTTAACAATGTTGTTCTTGCGCAATCCATACTTAATATTATGAATGTGAAAGTGTGTTTGTTTGTTTGTTTGTTTGTTTGTTTGTTTGTTTGTTTGTTTGTTTGTCCTTCTTTCACGTCGAAACGGAGTGACGGATTGGCGTAATTTTTTGTGTGGAGATAGTTAGAGGGCTGGAGAGTGACATAGGTTACTTTTTACCGCGGGAGATTATCTCATTCAAACTGAAAAACACGTTATAATGCAACCCGAAAAATAATTTATGATTCATTACAATTAAATAAAAGCGCGTTTTACCATTTTCTGAAATTCATCCCATAAGGGGATGAAAGATAAAATAGGGGATGAAAGTTTGTATGAAGCCTACCTTTTTAGAGTTTGTTTTCGTAGTTTTAGCGCGAGCAAAGCCGCGGGTTCTACTAATTTATTACATAATTTAACAACAGTTCACATATTGAAGAAAAACTGAAAACAATATGGTTTTTTAATATTTTTTGTTTTGATTGTAGGTAAATAACTAATAATTTTTACTTTAATTGGAATTTTGATTGATATCTAAAAAAAACTATATTGATAACAGTTACGCGAAAATAGAACATATTAAAATGTAATATATATACTAACATTTCAATTTTACATCTTATCTTTTAAGGCTTTTCCCATGATTTATTTAGTCAAGTTTTATATAATATCACTTCTATATATATAAAAGAAAGTCGTGTTAGTTACTTCGCTTATAACTCAAGAACGGCTGAACCGATTTAGCTGAAAATTGGCAGGGAGGTAGTTTAGAGCCAGGAGAAGGACATAGGATACTTTTTATCCCGTTCGACCGCGTTCCAATTTTTATGATATTTTAATTTTTGGATTTCTCTTAGTCCGGAATAGGTAAGTATTAAAACATATAATTAAAATGTGAGAAAGAAAGATTTTTTCTTTTTATATCTATTTAAAACGTACCTAGCGACGAACCCGAGCGAAGCGAGGGTGAGCCGCTAGTTGTTTATAAATAGCTAAGACCTAAGATCGAAAACTTTCCAGTACATTTCAGTACACTATTAAGTATAATTTAAAATATTTTGTACTTCATCTTTAGTAAGGCAACGACCTTCATTAACTTTCATTGACTGGAAATAATACTCAGAAAAAAAATATAACCAACGTTTTAACTGATGAGGAACTAGATGATTTATCGCAACATAATTTTACAATAAAATATAACTCAGGAAAATCAAACCTAGAGCAGACTGTTTAAGCCGAAATCCAGCTCTAGAACCTTTGATAATACTGACGATTTTTTAAAAGTAGTAAATTTAATAAACCTAGAAGATATAAAAAATTACCAGTACACAAATCTAGACTATAGAGAACGAAATATACTACAAAAAAACATAAAGGAAGAAAAAAAATCATTCTATCAGAAGAACCAAGCAAAACTTTGATAAAATATCCATAATACCTACTGCCACTTTGGGAGAACCCAGATGATACATAAAATCATACCATTCAACACAGCAAAGAATATCATCGCAAACATTAAACAAATGTTTGATTAATGAGAAATTTATATGAAAAACTAGCATTACCCGCGGCTCCGCCCGCGTTCAGAAGACCAAAAACCAAATTCTTAGGTTTTACATATTAGTATACAAAAATGATAAAAACTATAGATTCGGCCTCTGTATCGATAATAATGTTTATTTCAATAAGATTTTCCAAAATATATTTAATGTACAGATTCGGCTTAGTTACAATTTTATTATATGTATACACAAAATAAGAAAGAAGTCGAAATATGGCTTAATGCCATGTTTAGGTCCAGCAACACGACCATTTCAAATTATATCTATTGATACAATTGGTGGCTTTGAAGGATCATGATTAACAAAAAAATACTTACGTCTTCTGCTTGATCATTTCACAAGGTATGCTTATATTCTCACAGTAAGAAATCAAAACGTCATTGAGGACACGAAGTTATAATATTTTTATGGTTTTAACGACCAATATCCTGGCATAAATTCCAAAGAATTTAATGAAAGAAAACAGAATTGTTTTCACAACTGTGGATACAACATTTTCAAACGGGCTTAATGGAAGGCTTAATCAAACCTTGGTCAATAAGATAAGAGATGTAAAACAAATGAAAGTAATAAAAAAACAGCACGGACCACTATTGCACAAAAATCAGCATAGCCGCGTCGGAGAACCGATAGGTAAATAAAATTAAAACCAGAATACAAATAAAAAGAAGATTGATATAGTATTAGCGGTCCCCCGACGTGGCGGCACTCACCATCAAAATATAAATGGGTACTTTTAGTGAAGTTACAAGGCCATGAGAGAAACTTTATTTTTTAGAGTTTTTTTTGTATCGAGGGTTATTTAAATTTTTGATTTTATTTATTAAATAGAGTACCGAGCGGTGCAGCTACTTGTCTGTGTTTATACATCTTCGCATCTATTGAATCTTTTGCAGCCCGTCTAGAGGATAGCTGAATGAATAAATGAGGAAGAATTGAGCAGGATACAATGGGACATTGTAGGGTTATTGGAAGCTCGAAAAGAGGCAGAGTACTGGATAACGCTTAAATTTAGTAACCTATTGTATATAATTAAAATCTACTTAATGATTACGAGTGCGTTATAAAACATATTATGGTAAAAACGACCCAAATACATTGAAATAGGTACTAACTAGTAACTACTAATATTATTTTTATAATATATTATACACAATATTGTTTGGAAGTTTGTTCATATATTATAGGTAAAAAAATATAAAATCGGACATGACATAACATTTCAGAGTGAGGAAAAGAAGCAAAAATATGAGTAGTTGTTAAATCATAGCCACCGACGCGTGGAAAGTACAAGGAAATCCCGCGTCAGATGAGCTTAACAAACTGGTTGTGAAGCACGCGTCAACTGATTCTATTATAATATAGTAATATTTGTTGTGGTGCGTTTTAATGGATTGATAACCTCAATCCTCACTGGTCAATTTACAAGTTTATCAGTCGTAAGTGTTGCGTCTCGAACGAAACTTCTGTTAAAGTGAAAATATTCAGTAATAAATGGATTGGTACTACAAGAACACCCTAGTGTGGCTTCTCGTCCTGTTTTCTACTGCTGACCCAACAGGTATTTACAGCTATACCAATGGCTTATGCCATCAAACTGTTATTGAGATTTATACCTAAAAGTTTATATTTTTAGATAAGTATAGGTCTTAACAACAATTTGATTACTTTGTGACATTCAGAGATGAGTTTGCATGACGTAGTTGTTTGATTAAGCTAGTTTGATCAGTTTTATAATATGAGCGACTAAAATATAAATAAAAAATCTTAACATTAACGTACACCAATAATGTCGCTTTATTATTATTTATGTAAAATGAAATTGTGTTACCATACTACATTTTAAATTGCATATCTGCGTTTGACTCATGCGTTCTCTAATATTGTTTTTGTTTTTACATGAAACATTTACCCTCTCTACCATGCGAAATATCAAATATGTACCAATATATAATATCTATAAAAACATATAAATATGTATGTTAAAGTATAAGAACGATCTCATTGATTCCTAAATAAACATCGTAAATATTATTTAAAGTATGGATAGATAGATATAACTTAGGAATATGATTCTGTATTTAAATATCTACTCTTTAAATCATCTGTTTTAATATATAGTTAGAGGTAATCACGTGAACTGTTCGACCTACTAGGTATTACTATTGTACAGAGAGTAAACCTTACGTACTTAATAATAATAACTATAGCAAAATACTCGGCTAACTGTTTTGTAACTGAATATAATAAAATCTTTATGAAGTACATACATATGTTTAACTATTTAAACCATGTTTATGTATTTGTTCTAAGTTGCAATTTTCTTTTTATATCTACAAAACTCGTACTAGGTATATCAGGCCTTTTTTTTCTTTATATTAATTTTCAAAATCTTTCTTTCTTCAAGGGATATCAAATAAATATTATCTTATAAAATTAACTAGAATAATAATTTAACAGAGATACCAGATAAACCAGATTAATAGCTAAAATCGGATAAAAAAAATCTGGTCAAGCTACTTCCAAACATGCTATGGTTTCTAAGAGTAGCATTATAATAACATGTAATTATTATATTTATAAAAACCGCTGAATTGAAGGATTCTATCACAAAAAGTATTATGGACAAAATCGATGATAAGTTAATCCCTTTAGTGGAAGAAAACAAAACCTTGAAAATCAAAGTAGAAAAATTAGAAAAAGAAATTGATTTTATGAAAAGAGCGGAGAAGAAAAATAATATCATAGTATTTGGCCTGGAAGAAAAAGAAACATCAACTTTCGAATTACTAAAAGAATTTAAGGAGCATCTGAAACAAGATCTGAATATTACTATAGAAGATTACGAAATCAACAAAATTCACCGCTTAGGTACTAAAAATAGAGAAATTAAAAAATCGAGGCCAGTACTTTGTTCGTTTGTAAGCAATTGGAAAAAGAACGAAATTATTAAAAACAAAAAGAACCTCAGCAAAATCAATATCAGTGAAGATTACTCAAAAGAAGTGTTAGAAAAGCGAAAAACGTTACAAGCCAAGCTAGCAGAAGAAAAGAAAAAAGGCAATATAGCTTATTTGAAATATGACAAACTAATCGTTATAGAGAATAAAAAGAACCAAGATAAACGGAAAAGAGAATCATCTACCTCACCCATTGCTCATCACCCCTTATCACCCATTAACCAACCTAAAAAACAACAGATTGCTTCAATCAAATCAAACAGGACAAACGTTTTTGATACGATGCGGGGTAGGTCTAACTCTCTTTCAAATATAACTACTACAGGAAAACAATAACAATTAAGAATCGGCAAACGGAAACCAAAACCAACCGAAGAAACTGGCAACAATGAATCAAGAATATACCAACCTCCCCCAAGCCGACTGGTCCTCGTGGGGGAACGAGACCACAACCCTCCAACAATAAGTGACAATAAAAATAAAAACAACAAAAACAATAACTCCAATATAGCTCAGAAATCTAAAATCTTTATCGCAGCACTCAACGTACTTACTCTGAAAAGTGAAGAAAACCTTACAGAACTTATGTATGCTTTAAAACACATCAAATGGGACATTGTTGGCCTCAGTGAAGTGAGAAGAATGGGTGAAAATATCATATCCTATCCAGATTACACATTTTACCATATAGGAGAGACCCCGGGACTCTATGGGGTTGGATATATTGTCAAGAAACATATAACAAAACACGTGGAAGGATTTGTAGGTATATCGGAGCGTATTGCGATAATGAATTTGAAATTACCTGGATACAAAGATCCTTGGTCAATAGTACAAATTTATTCGCCTACTGAACAGTCGAGTCAAGATACAATGAATGCATTCTACCTTGATCTAAATAATGCGATTCACGAGCATGGTCATAAAAACCTTATAATAATGGGAGACTGTAACGGCCAACTTGGAGAAAGGCGCCCGGAAGAGAAAAATATACTGGGCCCTTTTACATACAGTAATAAACCCAGAAGTAGAAATGGAGAACATATTACAAACTTTGCACTAGAAAATAATCTAACTATCTTAAATACTGTGTTCAGGAAAAATAAGAAAAACATGTGGACATGGATCTCGCCGGATGGCAAAACAAAAAACCAAATTGATTTTATAATGTCCAACAGAAAAAACTACTTCTCTAACTTTACCGTAATCAAGAAATTGAACTTCAACACTAACCATAAACTAATAAGAGCAGAACTAATATCAAATCAACCAAAGAAACCTAGACCAAGGCATGACTTAAGAAACGTTAAGCTTGGAAAACATCAGTTAGAACAAATAATAATCGCTCTAAAAGACAAATTTACAGATTACGAATCTAACACAAAAGAATTAGTAACACAAGAAAGATACAATTGGATAGAAAATACTATAAAAACCCAAATACAACTAATTGCAAATAACAAAACTGAACCAAAAAAATGGCTAACAACAAATACCACAAAACTACTAGAAGCGAGAAACCACTTAATTAACACTAAAGATATACAGGACAGAAGAAAACATTTAACGGAAATAAGTAAACAAATTACAGATAGCATAAGAAAGGACAGGAAACAAAATAGAATGGAAATCATAGAAAAAATTATAAGCGAAACGGGTGGAGTCAAAAAGGCGTACAGAGAGTTGAGGAATTCAAAGGATTGGATTGTTAAAATGAAAAATCACAGGGGAAAATGGAATCATCGAAGAATAGAAATATTAGATATAGCAACTTCTTATTACAAGAGACTGTACGAAAGTAACACAACAGAAGACGAAATTGATTTGGCGGATACCTCGAACATCCCTACCATACTTCAAGCTGAAGTCGAGAAAGCCATAGACACTCAAAAGGCAGATAAAACACCAGGTCCTGACGGCATAAGCAATGAAATCTTAAGACAAGGAAAGGAAGTGTTAACACCTGTTCTTACAGATATGTTTAACAACATCATAAGCACTGAAATAATCCCCCAGCAATGGACTGAATCAAACATTATCCTGTTGTATAAGAAAGGAGATAAACACGAAATAGGAAACTATCGCCCCATCAGCCTTATGTCAAACATTTACAAAATCTTCGCAAAGATCATTCTAAAACGTATTGAAAGAACGCTAGACGAGCACCAACCCATCGAGCAGGCGGGATTTCGTAAGGATTATTCGGTAATAGACCACGTCCATGTAGTTCGTCAAGTTATTGAGAAATACAGCGAATACCAGCTGACATATTACATTTCCTTTATCGACTACAGCAAAGCATTCGATTCTCTTCTACATAAAAACATATGGGAAGCATTAGTTGAACAAGGGATTGAACTTAAATACATTAGATTAATAAAAAACGTGTACAGGAATAGTACAGCCAGAATCCAGTTAGAAAAGAAAAGTCAGCCATTCAAAGTAGGAAAAGGAGTCAGACAGGGAGATCCCTTATCTCCAAAATTATTCTCGGCGGTACTGGAGTCAATTTTTAGAAAACTCAATTGGGAAAATCTTGGGATCAATATAGACGGCACTTCACTGACGCACCTAAGATTCGCTGATGACATAGTGTTATTCGCCAAAACACCTGAAGCCATCACTAAAATGATAGAAGATCTAGCAACAGAAAGTGAGAGAGTAGGACTAAAAATTAACCCAGAAAAGACTAGAATGATGACAAATGGAGAGAAAACCACGATACAGATAAAAAACATCGAATTAAACTACACTGATGAATACATCTATCTGGGACAACTCATAACCCAAAAAGAACCTATGCGTGAGGAAGTGAAAAGAAGAATTACGAACAGCTGGAGAAGATACTGGAGTTTGAGGGAGGCTATGAAAGACAAACAACTTCATATAAACATCAAAAGTAAACTATTCAATACCTGCATACTACCCGTCCTTACGTATGGCTGCCAATCATGGACTTTAACTCGAGAAATGTTAAACAGACTAGCAACTTGCCAATATGCTATGGAGAGAAGCATGTTAAATGTCAAAAGATCAGACAGACTGAAAAACTGTGTCATCAGAAATAAAACAAGAACCATAGACGTAGTACAGAAAATAAAAAGACTCAAATGGAGATGGGCAGGGCACACAATAAGAGGTCATAACAAATGGAGTAAGAAGGTGACAAGGTGGTATCCCAGGGAAGGCAAAAGGAAAAGAGGCAGACCACAGAAAAGGTGGGATGATGATATAAGAGAAGTGGCAGGAGTGATGTGGAACAGAGTGGCTTTAGAAAGGTCAGAATGGAAGAGGTTGGAGGAGGCCTTTGCCGATTGGCAGACAGATCTGCAAAAGATAAAAAAGCAGCAAATACTAGATATATATAGATAAGTTTAAGTTTGCTTTAAGTTTTAAGTTTACGTTAGAATATTGTTTTTTTAGGTTAAGTTGATCTGAATAAAGGCTATTATTATTATTATTATATTTATAAAACAACATTTATATAAATAGCTCACGACTTGCCCTCGCTTCGGTAGGGTGCGTCCCTAGGTACGTTTTAATCTATTATCTAATTCTAATAGATATACTCGTAAATATGTAGTTATTGCAAATGTACCTT